GTTAGGTAATGAGTCAGTCAGACTGTTTCCTCTGTAGTTAGGTAGTGAGTACAGTCAGACTGGTTCTCTGTAGTTAGGTAGTGAGTCAGTCAGACTGGTTCTCTGTAGTTAGGTAGTGAGTCAGTCAGACTGGTTCTCTGTAGTTAGGTAGTGAGTCAGTCAGACTGGTTCTCTGTAGTTAGGTAGTGAGTCAGTCAGACTGGTTCTCTGTAGTTAGGTAGTGAGTCAGTCAGACTGGTTCTCTGTAGTTAGGTAGTGAGTCAGTCAGACTTGTTCTCTGTAGTTAGGTAATGTGTCAGTCAGACTGGTTCTCTGTAGTTAGGTAGTGAGTCAGTCAGACTGGTTCTCTGTAGTTAGGTAATGAGTCAGTCAGACTGTTCCTCTGTAGTTAGGTAGTGAGTCAGTCAGACTGGTTCTCTGTAGTTAGTTAGTGAGTCAGTCAGACTGGTTCTCTGTAGTTAGGTTGTGAGTCAGTCAGACTTGTTCTCTGTAGTTAGGTAGTGAGTCAGTCAGACTGGTTATCTGTAGTGAGTCAGTCAGACTGGTTCTCTGTAGTTAGGTAATGAGTCAGTCAGACTGGTTCTCTGTAGTTAGTTAGTGAGTCAGTCAGACTGGTTCTCTGTAGTTAGGTTGTGAGTCAGTCAGAATGTTCCTCTGTAGTTAGGTAGTGAGTCAGTCAGGTTGGTTCTCTGTAGTTAGTTAGTGAGTCAGTCAGACTGGTTCTCTGTAGTTAGGTTGTGAGTCAGTCAGACTGGTTCTCTGTAGTTAGGTAGTGAGTCAGTCAGACTGGTTCTCTGTAGTTAGGTAATGAGTCAGTCGGACTGTTCCTCTGTAGTTAGGTAGTGAGTCAGTCAGACTGGTTCTCTGTAGTTAGGTATTGAGTCAGTCAGACTGGTTCTCTGTAGTTAGGTAGTGAGTCAGTCAGACTTGTTCTCTGTAGTTAGGTAATGTGTCAGTCAGACTGTTCCTCTGTAGTTAGGTAGTGAGTCAGTCAGACTGGTTCTCTGTAGTTAGGTAGTGAGTCAGTCAGACTGGTTCTCTGTAGTTAGATAATGAGTCAGTCAGACTGGTTCTCTGTAGTTAGGTAGTGAGTCAGTCAGACTGGTTCTCTGTAGTTAGGTAGTGAGTCAGTCAGACTGGTTCTCTGTAGTTAGGTAGTGAGTCAGTCAGACTGGTTCTCTGTAGTTAGGTAGTGAGTCAGTCAGACTGGTTCTCTGTAGTTAGGTAGTGAGTCAGTCAGACTGGTTCTCTGTAGTTAGGTAGTGAGTCAGTCAGACTGGTTCTCTGTAGTTAGGTAGTGAGTCAGTCAGACTTGTTCTCTGTAGTTAGGTAATGTGTCAGTCAGACTGGTTCTCTGTAGTTAGGTAGTGAGTCAGTCAGACTGGTTCTCTGTAGTTAGGTAATGAGTCAGTCAGACTGTACCTCTGTAGTTAGGTAGTGAGTCAGTCAGACTGGTTCTCTGTAGTTAGTTAGTGAGTCAGTCAGACTGGTTCTCTGTAGTTAGGTTGTGAGTCAGTCAGACTGGTTCTCTGTAGTGAGTCAGTCAGACTGGTTCTCTGTAGTTAGGTAGTGAGTCAGTCAGACTGGTTCTCTGTAGTGAGTCAGTCAGACTGGTTCTCTGTAGTTAGGTTGTGAATCAGTCAGACTGGTTCTCTGTAGTTAGGTTGTGAGTCAGTCAGACTGGTTCTCTGTAGTTAGGTAGTGAGTCAGTCAGACTGGTTCTCTGTAGTTAGTTAGTGAGTCAGTCAGACTGGTTCTCTGTAGTTAGGTTGTGAGTCAGTCAGACTGTTCCTCTGTAGTTAGGTAGTGAGTCAGTCAGACTGGTTCTTTGTAGTTAGGTAGTGAGTCAGTCAGACTTGTTCTCTGTAGTTAGGTAATGTGTCAGTCAGACTGTTCCTCTGTAGTTAGGTAGTGAGTCAGTCAGACTGGTTCTCTGTAGTTAGGTAGTGAGTCAGTCAGACTGGTTCTCTGTAGTTAGGTAGTGAGTCAGTCAGACTGGTTCTCTGTAGTTAGGTAATGAGTCAGTCAGACTGTTCCTCTGTAGTTAGGTAGTGAGTCAGTCAGACTGGTTCTCTGTAGTTAGGTAGTGAGTCAGTCAGACTGGTTCTCTGTAGTTAGGTAGTGAGTCCGTCAGACTGTTCCTCTTTAGTTAGGTAGTGAGTCAGTCAGACTGGTTCTCTGTAGTTAGGTAGTGAGTCAGTCAGACTGGTTCTCTGTAGTTAGGTAATGAGTCAGTCAGACTGGTTCTCTGTAGTTAGGTAGTGAGTCAGTCAGACTTGTTCTCTGTAGTTAGGTAATGTGTCAGTCAGACTGTTCCTCTGTAGTTAGATAGTGAGTCAGTCAGACTGGTTCTCTGTAGTTAGGTAGTGAGTCAGTCAGACTGGTTCTCTGTAGTTAGGTAATGAGTCAGTCAGACTGTTCCTCTGTAGTTAGGTAGTGAGTCAGTCAGACTGGTTCTCTGTAGTTAGTTAGTGAGTCAGTCAGACTGGTTCTCTGTAGTTAGGTTGTGAGTCAGTCAGACTGGTTCTCTGTAGTTAGGTTGTGAGTCAGTCAGACTTGTTCTCTGTAGTTAGGTAGTGAGTCAGTCAGACTGGTTCTCTGTAGTGAGTCAGTCAGACTGGTTCTCTGTAGTTAGGTAGTGAGTCAGTCAGACTGGTTCTCTGTAGTTAGTTAGTGAGTCAGTCAGACTGGTTCTCTGTAGTTAGGTTGTGAATCAGTCAGACTGGTTCTCTGTAGTTAGGTTGTGAGTCAGTCAGACTGGTTCTCTGTAGTTAGGTAGTGAGTCAGTCAGACTGGTTCTCTGTAGTTATTTAGTGAGTCAGTCAGACTGGTTCTCTGTAGTTAGGTAGTGAGTCAGTCAGACTGGTTCTCTGTAGTGAGTCAGTCAGACTGGTTCTCTGTAGTTAGGTAGTGAGTCAGTCAGACTGGTTCTCTGTAGTTAGGTTGTGAGTCAGTCAGACTGGTTCTCTGTAGTTAGGTTGTGAGTCAGTCAGACTGGTTGTCTGTAGTTAGGTAGTGAGTCAGTCAGACTGGTTCTCTGTAGTTAGTTAGTGAGTCAGTCAGACTAGTTCTCTGTAGTTAGGTTGTGAGTCAGTCAGACTTGTTCTCTGTAGTTAGGTAGTGAGTCAGTCAGACTGGTTCTCTGTAGTTAGGTAGTGAGTCGGCAAGACTGGTTCTCTGTAGTTAGTTAGTGAGTCAGTCAGACTGGTTCTCTGTAGTGAGTCGGCCAAACTGATTCTCTGTAGTTAGTTAGTGAGTCGGCCAGACTGGTTCTCTGTAGTTAGTTAGTGAGTCAGTCAGACTGGTTCTCTGTAGTTAGTTAGTTAGTCAGTCAGCCAGACCAGTGTACCTATCTCTGGTCAGTCCTGATGGTAATGTAATGGGAGACCAGGCCTGCTATGACACTACAGGACACATCCACTCTGCTTCCCACTGCACCATAGAGCTGTTATTTGAACTCTGCATGGGGAGGGTATCGCTGTACGGACCAATAGTGCTGCTACAGTACTGTAGACTTCCATAGGGTTGGTGATGTGGTTCCCAGTACTGACAGGAGAGAATGTGCTCCATATTCCATTTCGCTACTGTATGTATGTCTGCTCTCTGGTGACGCTGAACTTTGTGTGTGTGTATGTGCCTTGATGTGTGCGCTCTGAGATATATGGGTGTGTATGTACTGTGAGGTTTGTGTGTTTAGCATGTGTCCGTGGCGGCGGAAACAGTTCTGTACTGAAAAACGTGGAGGGGTTGGGTTGTGGGTTGGGGAACGCTGTCAGCATGGTCACTGTCCTTTTAAATATGCCACTCATTGCTTCAAGCCACACCTCGCCACACCCACCAAACGGGATCAAACGTACTGTTGAAGAACGTATAAGAACGTTTTGGGGAATGTTTCAGGACAAACCGTTCCGTAACGTAGCAAACGTTCAAGCGAACTGAACACACCTTCGGTTTAATTTGGGCTGTTTGTGGGCAGGGCAAGGCAGGCTGCTTCCCCTGCTACTGCCTGCCTCACCAACCAGACTGGTACTACTAGAGCCAGATCACTTCAGCATGTTGCCATGGCAACCCCTGCACAGGAAATACCCTGCCCCAGTCCCCCCCTAGAGAGAGAGAGAGAGAGAGAGAGAGAGACTCAGCACAGGTCATTGCCTCCCTCCTCCCATCATTCACTCCTTAAGGCCAGATCTCAGCAGGGTTCAAAGGCTGGATTTAACCTGCCACTCCGCACCTTCCTTCACCTGTTATCATTATCAATACCATGGTTTATACACACTTTACTAATGGTTACTAACCTATTTGATAATGGTTTAATGACAGTTTATAAGCAGACCTCCTAATAGAAATGTTACCTATTATCAATAAAGCCATTGGTTATGTGAGACAGAATCCATTCTAACAGAATTAATCATGTAGGCTATCCATTGACTGTGATTACCACTTTAATGTAATGTAATATTGAATCAATCAACTGTAAGTAGGAGATGCTATCTGACAGGATGGTCCCTGGCTACTAAAACAGGCCTCCTCCTTAGACTGGCCTGTAGTGTCTCAGACACATGAGGAGATGACTGGAGGGTTAGGAGAGTTCAAATAGCAATATTTACTGTTCAGTCACTGCTTTTCACTACTCAGTCTGTAGCTGTGGCATGTTTTAGATACATGTGCGTGTTTGGGGGGCCGAGGGGTTATGTGTTCATTTTTATTCATTTGTTTACTTACTGTATTGTTGGGTGATGCTGCTTACAGTACCAGCTGATAATGAATAGTTCATTATGGGGCATGTTTATCTGTGTTCGGTTTGCTAATAGCTACTCTCTCTCTCCCATCTCTTTCTCCCATCTCACCCCTCCCTCTCTCTCTCTCTCTCTCTCTCTCCCCCCTATCTCTCTCCCATCTCACCCCATCTCTCTCTCTCTCTCTCTCTCTCCATCTTTCTCCCATCTCACCCCATCTCTCTTTCTCTCTCTCCCCTATCTCTCTCCCATCTCACCCCAGCTGATATCATCTCCACTGTAGAGTTCAGCCACACTGGAGAGCTCCTGGCCACAGGGGACAAGGGGGGGCGTGTGGTCATCTTCCAGAGGGAACCTGAGGTACATGCACACACCAACCACAGACTTGGCACTGTGTGTGTTCACTACATAGATGTTTAGGGTCAATTTCAGATAATTACTTGAAATCACTGCAATTGAGATTAAATTGAATCCAGCCCTGCATAACTGTCTTCTCTCTCTCATTCATATATATGCACACACACACAGTGTAAGACAGAGCCGTACTCCCAGGGAGAGTATAATGTCTACAGCACGTTCCAGAGCCATGAGCCGGAGTTTGACTACCTGAAGAGTCTGGAGATAGAGGAGAAAATCAACAAGATACGATGGCTGCCTCAGCAGAACGCCGCCCACTTCCTCCTCTCCACCAATGGTGAGGGATTGCTGCCTTAGCACCAGGGAGTTATTATAATGTTTTTACATGATATTACCATGTTATTGTTACTCTATCATCCATACTTGTCCTGCCTGTCTGAAAGTTAAGACTATTTGAGGCATATGATTGGGGAATTATCCTGTCTGTGTAATAAGGCTGTTTGAGGTATATGATTGGAGTATTGTGCTGTCCGTCTATCAGATAAGACCGTTAAGCTGTGGAAGGTGAGTGAGCGGGACAAGAGGCCTGAAGGCTACAACCTGAAGGATGAGGAGGGCAGGATGAAGGACCTCTCCACCGTCACCTCACTACAGGTACACACCTCCTCTTCCTCAGGCTTCTTTCTCCTCCTCTCCTTCTTCTGTCTCCATCTTTCTATCTACTTTATCTATCCATCTCTCCTTAAATGTATCATGTTACTCTGGACTACCTTTCTTTCTTTCTTTCTTTCTTTCTTTCTTCTTTCTTTCTTTCTTTCTTTCTTTCTTTCTTTCTTTCTTTCTTTCTTATTTCTTTCTTTCTTTCTTTCTTTCTTTCTTTCTTTCTTTCTTTCTTTCTTTCTTTCTTTCTTTCCCTTTCCTCTGTGTCTATGTTCTGTATATTCTGTATGGCCTGTGTGTGTTATGTGCACACACAGACACACACATTCGCACATGTTCCAGATCGGACAGCATAAGTAGGTCAGAGGTGCAGATGTGTTTGCATTTATAAAAGTGGGTCATTGACCCAAGGTGTGTGTGTGTAACAGTATTTCTTCCGTCCCTCTCCTTGCCCCAACCTGGGTTTGAACTAGGGACCCTCTGAACACATCAACAACTGCCTCCCAACACACCACCTGTCGCTCCACAAAAGCCGCGGCCCTTGCAGAGCAAGGAAAACAACTACTTCAAGATTTCAGAGCGAGTGATGTCACCGATTTGAAATGCTACTAGTGCGCACCGCTAACTAGCTAGCCATTTCCCAGTGTGTGTGTGTGTGCTTGGCGACAACAAATAATGCCAGCTGTTCTGTTTTTTGGGGGGACTGTTGTCTCTGTGTTGATGAAAACACAGCCATACTCCTCTTTACTGGTTGACATTATCTGTTGCATTCTTCTCATATCATCATCCCTGTGCCCTAAAGCACAGACGGAAGAAGAATTTGTACAATGTCACATGACCAATAGGTACGGGAAAAAGCAATTAGTGAGAAACCTAGCTTTTTTCTGCCTTAATTTCCACAAGCGATAATATCACATTATTACAGGCATTCCTAATGGGTATATATCAGTGATTTCTCTGTGCTCTCTGTAAAGATACAATCATTTTCAAGCTCCCATTTTGGACAAAATGAAATAAAAATATTTATTCTATGAATGTGGACTGTATCATTTGATCTCATCATGTTGGGTCTACTCACCACATGGTACATGTATCTGTGTTTCTGACTGTATCCTCTGTGACAGGGATCATCAACTAGATTCAGCCGCGGGATGATTTTTTCTTGAGGCGGAACATACTGTAATTACAAATAATTTGTAGACCGCAAATTGACTTCAAGAAGCCCAAACAGATATAATATTTGACTAAAATGTGTGGAAATACTTGAACAGATTTCCTAAATTTCCTAAAATAACTTGGAGCTGATTTCCTGGTGTTTTTACAGCACTTGGGGGGCCAACTAAAACCACCCGCTGTGTTGTGTGTTCTGACTGTCTGTACTCTGTCTAGGTGCCGGTGTTGAAGCCCATGGATCTGATGGTGGAGGTGAGTCCTCGGCGTGTCTTTGCTAACGCCCACACCTACCACGTCAACTCCATCTCCATCAACTCCGACCACGAGACCTACATGTCAGCTGACGACCTGAGGATCAACCTCTGGCACCTGGGCATCACCGACCGCAGCTTCAGTATCCTTTAGATCAGACAATGGGTCAATACACACACTCCTGTATGAGACACTGTTCATTTATATACACACACACAGTGATGTGGGGAGGGGAATCATTCCTGAGGAGTGAAAATGCAGCTCAATGAATTATTCAATCTCTTTTATAAATATTTAACTCCTTTTGTGGCATATAATGCAGCTGAATAGAACACACACACACACACACACACACACACACACACACACACACACACACACACACACACACACACACACACACACACACACTCCTCACCCCAGACAGGATTTGCTTGTTACAATTCATATGAAGTTGGGATTATTCTCCCACTACCCCTAGTACCCCCTAAAGGTGTGTGTTTGACTATATGTAATGATGTCAGTGTGTTTTGGCGTATCATTCTGAATATGTATGTATGCTATGTTTGTAATCACCCTCGCACACAATCAAATGTGTGTATGCTGTTATATAGACAGTATGTTGTAGTCCTGAACCCGTGCCCCAGACATCGTGGACATCAAGCCAGTGAACATGGAGGATCTGACAGAGGTGATAACAGCAGCAGAGTTCCACCCTCACCACTGTAACCTGTTGGTCTACAGCAGCAGTAAAGGAACTCTACGGCTCTGTGACATGAGAGAGGCCGCACTGTGTGACAAACACTCCAAATGTGAGCATACAGACAGACAGACGGACATAGCCTACAGTCACACACACACACACACACGTTACAGATACACAGATGCTGTACATCACACACACACACACACACACACACACACACACACACACACACACACACACACTCTCTCACCCCCTCTCCTCTCCTCCTCTAGTGTTTGAGGAGCCGGAGGACCCTAGTAACCGCTCCTTCTTCTCGGAGATCATCTCGTCTGTGTCGGACGTCAAGTTCAGCCACAGCGGGCGCTACCTGCTGACCAGAGACTACCTCACCGCCAAGGTGTGGGACCTCAACATGGAGAACAAGCCCCTGGAGATATACCAGGTGAGGAGCCCAATATCACTATTAACACAGAGACATAAATAGTATGTAATGTCAATATTAACACAGAGACATAGACAGTATGCAATGTCACTATTAACACAGAGACATAGACAGTATGTAATGTCACTATTAACACAGAGACATAGACAGTATGTAATGTCACTATTAACACAGAGACATAGACAGTATGTAATGTCACTATTAACACAGAGACATAGACAGTATGTAATGTCACTATGAATACAGAGACATAGACAGTATGTAATGTCACTATTAACACAGAGACATAGACAGTATGTAATGTCACTATTAATACGGAGACATAGACAGTATGTAATGTCACTATGAATACAGAGACATAGACAGTATGTAATGTCACTATGAATACAGAGACATAGACAGTATGTAAGGTCACTATTAATACAGAGACATAGACAGTATGTAATGTTACATGTCACTACTAACACAGAGATACCTTGCTGAGCCACTACACTGGGAAAGGAGGGGGGATACCTTACTGAGACACTACACTGGGGGGGGTACCTTACTGAGACACTACACTGGGGGGGGGTACCTTACTGAGACACTACACTGGGGGGGGGGGGGGGGGTGGAATACCTTACTGAGACACTACACTGGGGGGGGGGGGTAACTTACTGAGACACTACACTGGGGGGGGGGGGGGGGGTACCTTACTGAGACACTACACTGGGGGGGTACCTTACTGAGACACTACACTGGGGGGGGGGGGGGTACCTTACTGAGACACTACACTGGGGGGGGGGGGGGGGGGATACCTTACTGAGACACTATACTGGGGGGGGGGGAATACCTTACTGAGACACTACACTGGGGGGGGGGGGGGGGTATACCTTACTGAGACACTACACTGGGGGGGGGGGGGGGATACCTTACTGAGACACTACACTGGGGAGGGGGGGGGGGGGATACCTTACTGAGACACAAACACTGGGATGGGGGGGATACCTTACTGAGACACTACACTGGGGGGGGGGGATACCTTACTGAGACACTACACGGGGGGGGTAACTTACTGAGACACTACACTGGGAGGGGGGGGGATACCTTACTGAGACACTACACTGGGAGGGGGGGGGGGACACCTTACTGAGACACTACACTAGGGGGGGTGGGGTACCTTACTGAGACACTACACTGGGATGGGGGGGATACCTTACTGAGACACTACACTGGGAGGGGGGGGGGGGGTACCTTACTGAGACACTACACTGGGATAGGGGGGATACCTTACTGAGACACTACACTGGGATGGGGGGTGTGGATACCTTACTGAGACACTACACTGGGATGGGGGGGTGGGGATACCTTACTGAGAAACTACACTGGGGGGGGGGATACCTTACTGAGACACTGGGGGGGGGGGGGGGTACCTTACTGAGACACTACACTGGGGGGGGATACCTTACTGAGACACTACACTGGGGGGGGGATACCTTACTGAGACACTACACTGGGGGGGGGGGGGGTACCTTACTGAGACCACTACACTGGGAGGGGGGGGGGGGTACCTTACTGAGACACTACACTGGGATGGGGGGGATACCTTACTGAGACACTACACTGGGATGGGGGGGGGGGGGATACCTTACTGAGACACTACACTGGGGGGGGGGGGGATACCTTACTGAGACACTATCTGAAAAATCTGTCGATGTGCCCTTGAGCAAGGCACTTAACCCTAATTGCTTATGTAAGTCGCTCTGGATAAGAGCGTCTGCTAAATGACTAAAATGTAAATGTAAATGAGACACTACACTGGGAGGGGGGGATACCTTACTGAGACACTACACTGGGATGGGGGGGGATACCTTACTGAGACACTACACTGGGGGGGGGGATACCTTACTGAGACACTACACTGGGGGGGGGGATACCTTACTGAGACACTACACTGGGATGGGGGGATACCTTACTGAGACACTACACTGGGGGGGGGGGGGGGGGGGGGGATACCTTACTGAGACACTACACTGGGAGGGGGGGGGATACCTTACTGAGACACTACACTGGGGGGGGGGATACCTTACTGAGACACTACACTGGGAGGGGGGGGATACCTTACTGAGACACTACACTGGGAGGGGGGGGGATACCTTACTGAGACACTACACTGGGGGGGGATACCTTACTGAGACACTACACTGGGATGGGGGGGATACCTTACTGAGACACTACACTGGGGGGGGGGGATACCTTACTGAGACACTACACTAGGAGGCGGGGGGGATACCTTACTGAGACACTACACTAGGAGGCGGGGGGATACCTTACTGAGACACTACACTGGGGGGGGGGATACCTTACTGAGACACTACACTGGGGGGGGATACCTTACTGAGACACTACACTGGGAGGGGGGGGGATACCTTACTGAGACACTACACTAGGAGGCGGGGGGGATACCTTACTGAGACACTACACTAGGAGGCGGGGGGATACCTTACTGAGACACTACACTGGGGGGGGGGGATACCTTACTGAGACACTACACTGGGGGGGGATACCTTACTGAGACACTACACTTGGAGGGGGGGGGGGGGGGATACCTTACTGAGACACTACACTGGGGGGGGGGGGATACATTACTGAGACACTACACTGGGAGGCGGGGGGGTACTTTACTGAGACACTACACTGGGGGGGGGGGGATACCTTACTGAGACACTACACGGGGGGGGGGGGATACCTTACTGAGACACTACACTGGGGGGGGATACCTTACTGAGACACTACACTGGGAGGGGGGGGGGGTACCTTACTGAGACACTACACTAGGAGGCGGGGGGGATACCTTACTGAGACACTACACTAGGAGGCGGGGGGGATACCTTACTGAGACACTATGCTAGGAGGCATGGGGTGATACCTTACTGAGACACTACACTGGGAGGGGGGGATACCTTACTGAGACACTACACTGGGGGGGGGATACCTTACTGAGACACTACACTGGGGTTGGGGGATACCTTACTGAGACACTACACTGGGATGGGGGGGGATACCTTACTGAGACACTACACTGGGGGGGGGGGGGGGGGATACCTTACTGAGACACTACACTGGGATGGGGGGGGATACCTTACTGAGACACTACACTGGGGGGGGGGGGGGATACCTTACTGAGACACTACACTGGGAGGGGGGGATACCTTACTGAGACACTACACTGGGGTTGGGGGATACCTTACTGAGACACTACACTGGGATGGGGGGGATACCTTACTGAGACACTACACTGGGGGGGGGGGGGGGGATACCTTACTGAGACACTACACTGGGAGGGGGGAATACCTTACTGAGACACTACACTGGGGGGGGGGGGGGATACCTTACTGAGACACTACACTGGGGGGGGGGGGAATACCTTACTGAGACACTACACTGGGATGGGGGGGATACCTTACTGAGACACTACACTGGGGGGGGGGATACCTTACTGAGACACTACACTGGGGGGGGATACCTTACTGAGACACTACACTAGGAGGCGGGGGGGATACCTTACTGAGACACTACACTGGGGGGGGGGGCTGAGACACTACACTGGGGGGGGGGGGGGACCTTACTGAGACACTACACTGGGGGGGATACCTTACTGAGACACTACACTGGGGGGGGTACCTTACTGAGACACTACACTGGGGGGGGGGGATACCTTATTGAGACACTACACTGGGGGGGGGGGGGGGATACCTTACTGAGACACTACACTGGGGGGGGGGGGATACCTTATTGAGACACTACACTGGGGGGGGGGGGGGGGGGATACCTTACTGAGGCCTATCAACATCTGCAATGCAGCAAGGAGACAGAGAGAGAGGTGGGGGAGGGAGAGAGGGGGAGAAGGAGGGACTGTAAAACTCTTCTGATTTGGCCGTATTAACTGAAGTCTTTCCTTTAGTGAATTGAAAAGGAGAGGAGAGAGGATGAGTGGGAGAAAAGGTTAACACTAAAATACTGAGGTAAAAAAGGAAAGATGTGAGGGTGGAGAAGGGAGGGGTGGGTTGTGAGGGGAGAGAACAGGTCATGTTTACTTTAACACAACACATTTTCATTGGTCAGCGAGAACGGTATGGAAACAAGCATGCCAATATGTTTTGATTTACAACCGTACCATAACCTCAGTTTTACTGTAGATTGACCATGGATTGACCGCTGGACGTACACATCACCATGCAGACATAATGATGACACAAGCAGGTCCAACAAATCAATAGGGAAGTGTGTGTGTGTGTGTGTGTGTGTGTGCCTGCCTGGGTCTGTCCTAAATGGATTAGATTAGAATGTGGTTCAGTAGTTCTCCTAAAATAAACGAGGTTTATCCCCTCCTCTCTCAGAATGGATATCCTGTGTTAATTATCAGAGCTGTCTATGTGGGTACTGTGCTGTGGATTCTGTTTCGAGCTGTCCCTGTCAGCGTTGCTATGCTGTGTTTTCTGTATGGACTAGATCTCTGTCAGTGTTCAGCACTGTGTCCTGACTGTGTGTGCGTGTGTTGGCTGTGAATAGTGTGTTGATTAAATCTCTGTGTGTGTTCCTGCAGGTGCATGATTACCTCCGCAGCAAGCTTTGCTCCCTCTACGAGAACGACTGCATCTTCGACAAGTTTGAGTGTGCCTGGAACGGCTCAGATAGGTAGACGAAGTGTGTGTGTGAGAGAGAGAGTTTGTGAGTGGCTCTTCTAATCCCTTATTTGTTGCTCTGGGAATGAATGTCTGTGCTCATGGCATTATTCAGAGGGCACAAGGGCAGAATGTAACATTCTCTAGTACCTTAGCATATTGACTTACTTTGACTCCTCTCAACTCCTCTCACTTTCTCCCTCCATACCCCTTTCTCAGTGTGATCATGACGGGGGCCTACAACAACTTCTTCCGGATGTTTGACCGGAACACCAACCGTGACGTGACCCTGGAGGCGTCCAGGGAGAGCAGTAAGCCCCGGGCCGTGCTCAAGCCTCGGCGTGTCTGCCAGGGCGGGAAACGCCGCAAGGATGACATCAGCGTGGACAGCCTGGACTTCACCAAGAAGATCCTGCACACGGCCTGGCACCCCACGGAGAACATCATCGCCATCGCTGCCACCAACAACCTGTACATCTTCCAGGACAAACTCAACCAGGAGATGCACGGCTGAGAGAGAGAGAGGCTGGAGATATATACACACACACACGCTGATGCACACATTCATTCGCAGACATTCAGTAAGGCAATCAAGAACATGTAACATATGCACACACACACACACACACACTCTCTCCAGATGACAGGGAGATGCTGTAAAGACACACACTCCACAGTTCTCACACACTGCCCCCCACCCTTCCACGCAATGAAGTCTACCCCCCTCCCCCCAAAATACTGGATGGACCCGCCCGCCCTAGGGCCAGACAGGGGGAGCTGGATAATCCAATGAGAATGATGTTAGATTATGGTTGATGTAATTCTAAATCATGGATGTGTTGACTGTTGACCTCTGGATTGTGGCTGATCTGATGGTGTTTGTTTTGCTATTGGTCGTTTTTGCATTCCGAGGTATTGACCTCTTGACAGGAGGAGCTTTCACATGCGTCTGTCTTTTTCTGATCATCTGCTTCTTCCCCTTCCTCCTCCTCCCTCTGTTTCTGTACATGTTTGTGCTCAGTCCTCTCCTACAGGCTGGATTGATTCTTGACGTTGGTGTAAAAAACCCTTTGTGGTTCCTGGTGGTAATTAGTGGAAACAGAATGTTTGCGGAATGTTTGAAGTCTAATTATGTTTTTTTAGTTAAATCAGCAATTCCCTTTTTAAAAATGTTTATTCTCATTAATGATGATGATGGTAATATTGATGACAATGACAGTTAATAGTACACAAGAAACATTAGTCAGTAGGACATTGGGTTCCACACCTTGTTGACGTTTAGTCCTGACGTTTCTGTTGATTGTGAAGACTGCTAGGGACCTTGGCTGTGTCGTGTGCTACTTTGAAATGAAACACAACAATCAAGCAAAAAAGATGCTGCATGATGGAATTTTTTTGGGTTTATATAAATTTACTGCCTGCCTTTCTAACCATAAACAGGCTGTAAAAAGGCTTCTGGAGATCTGCCTCTACATAGCACTAGTTCCCATAGACAACAACAACAAGCTCTCCTTTTGTTTGTGTTTACACGACACAAAAAGCATGTTTACCAGTGTTCAGTTTTACGGTGTACATTTGAAATGAAGCCGAAATAATAAATGGGTTTTAAATGAAGATACTGAACCAGAGGTATGGGGAATGTTTTATCAACGTTGTAATCTAAACCTTTAAAGGAGTGTTTTATCAACCTTGTAATCTAAACTTTTAAAGGAATGTTTTATCAAAGTTGTAATCTAAAACTTTAAAGGAATGTTTTATCAGGGTTGTAATCTAAATCTTTAAAGGAATGTTTTATCAGCATTGTAATCTAATCCTTTAAAATAATGTTTTATCAGCGTTGTAATATAAACCTTTAAAGGAACGTTTTATCAACATTGTAATCCAAACCTTTAAAGGACCTGAATGGTATCTGCTGTATATTCAACTCTTTTTGACATTCATAGGTTTGTTGTTTTGGATCAATAACCAAGAGTACAGAGCCGATCATCTCTGATGATGGTGTTAATGGCAACGAGAGAGAGAGATTATTACGCTCTTCTCTTCAGCCTTTCACCAAATTATTTCATTTTTTGTCACTTGTGTTTGATTTCATGTCCTGCTGCCCTGGCATTGATTCACATATTTTGTGTTCATGTATTTTCAACTAAAACAATTCTAATGAACAATTATAAATATGTTAATATTTTTTTTTTTTTAATAAAGATTTCAACAAAATTGCATCCTATAGTTTAGGGTTAGGCTGTGGTGTCTTTATTAAACTTCTGTAGCTGCTAAATCAATTTAATATGATCACTACTCAATCAGTTAACATTGATGTATAGCGAGTGCTATTAATTTATTAATTGCTGTTTGTGTACTTTATAGACGTGTAGCTGCAACATTAGTCTTCATATGGATCAATATATTTGAACTCCATCATTAAAACAGTCCCGAGGTGGATGAGTCTCTGTGCTGTAGTCTTGACCACCACCTAGTGGTAATATACTGTCATTACAACATGAAGCCGAATCAGAACCTTGTACGTGTGATTGCAATAACCCTTCAGGAAGCAGAGGTTTACATTTCCACGATTGGTTTATTGGTCACAGTAGTGAAATCACATCCTGCGACAGTGACCACATCATTAGAGGCCTGCTGCAGACTGGAACTGTGCGATCAGAACAGAACAGAACCCCGCACAGCAGGGGAAAGAGGAGGAGGGAGGGAGAAGGAGAGGGAGGTAGAGGGACAACAAGGCACACCAGTAAAGGCGGGGCAAAATTCTATTTGGACACAAGTGCACTTTGATATAGGCAGGCTTTGATACAGGTCTGTAGCCTATATGCTGCTAGGCTAATGTGGCATCAGAATGATTTACCAATGTGATTTAAAAAGACAAGGGACTTAATATTCACAACAAGAAGGGTATCAAAATGAGAATGATTAAAGCTCAATATTTAAGGAGACAACTGGAAGAGTTTAAGTCCATTTGTTTCTCCATCATGAAAACGAAAAACGATTCAAGAACTGTACAAGTACCTAAAATGAAACTGAATGAAGGCCTCAAACTGTTTAAAAAATGCAGTTCATTTTGAAAACGCAATTCATATGTAAAACACAAACACTATTGAGTATTTTAAACGTAGTTAAAAAGTCCTACTTTTACTTAATATGTAAACAGACTTGATAAGTCAAACAACAGATAAAAACATCTACAGTAGGGCCTAGATTCAATCAGATGAAACGATAACCAGCAATAGCAGACAACCACAGATGTTTTGCGGCATCGGAGGTGTAACTGCGTTGGCTCTGTCAAATCAGTGAACAGCTGCTCTTGATCATTGTCACAAAGCCACACCCGTCCCACTCACGTTAGAAGTTCAGAACGAGAAAGTGTAGGCTATATAGAAATAACAACGCTCACATTTTAAATCCTGAAACTAAATAATGAGGATTTCTATCATCCTAATGGAGGTGTAGATTACATCTCACATTCCAGTGTTCCAACTTGTAAACAAAGCTGCATGGGATTTCTCTTAATGCGACTCCGTGCAGCCAATGGCAATGTCCGCTTTAGGTATAATGCCAGGAGCTGCTTGTGGATTTGACAGCTCTAACGTAGTTCCACCTCCGACACCATCAAAGCAACCGCTATGCGGGTGTCGGCTAGTGCAAGTCTAATAGAATGTAGCCTTTAGTGTCATGGATGCAAATGGTAGGCCTATTTGGTTGAATGGCATGCACAATTAGACATTTGGACTGCATATCAAGAGCAAGTCAATAAGCTTATTGATCACAATGTTGATCGGCATTGTCCCACACACTTTCTCAAACATTGGCAGACTGAAAACATTGGCTATGAATGAGGAGGTTGAGGCAGTGTGTGTATTTGTGTGGAAGTGATTGTGTTTGTGGTGTATGAAAGTGTAAAGTTAGTGTAAACTGTGTCCCTCCGTTGGAATTGAGTGGTTTCAATAAGTTGTCCATGATATTATCCTCTCACACTTTGGCTCAGCAGCTATGAAAACAGTCACACAATACGAACACCCCCCCCCCCCCCCAAGCAGTTGAACATCGGTCCTGCAACTCCAGTACAGTGGAGTGGAAAACATCCTGCAGAACCAGATTTACTGACAAACCTTTATGTGATTGTATGTACCGGTACATTCCCATACACTCCTAATAGTGATCGACATAATGCATTACTTACAATCCATACTGAAATTATACACTCCTCATAGTGTACACTTATACACTCCTCATAATGTACACTCCTCTACATTTATCCACCACTACCCTTGGTCCATTCCTCCTCTGCCCTGTGTGTCTGTGTCTCAGCGTCCTGCTCCAGTCGTGCGGTGAGTAAGGGGTTAAAGAAGAAGTCGAAGGCAAACTGCAGTGCCCCCTGGGCCGAGCGCCTCCAGTCGTGTTCTATCTTGTACTGCCTGCCGCTGGGCATGCGGGCGTCTGCACACGTCAGACAGTGGATAGCCTTCAGCTCAAACACAGGCCACTTGGAGCCCAGGCGTCCTTCTAGAACCGTACTGAACTCTACCAGGCTCCCAGCGCTCAGGTGCAGGAGCACAGGGCCAAACTCATTACTGGCCCTCAGGACGATGTCCTTGGTGGCGTCTTCGTCCTCTATGATGGTCCCGTTCTTACTCTTCCTTTCCAGGGGCATGCCCAAGGTCACCTCGAACTTGTAGCGGTCAAAGCGCTTCATGTGGCACTCGTGCTTGGCCAGCTTTTTCAGTTTGCATAAGGGGTCTTCTGGAAGGGGTGCAGGGAGGAGCTGGGGAGGGGCAGTGGGGTCGGTGGTGTTTTCACAGAGTGGATAGGGCTCACCATAGATACATCTCATCCAATTCCCTACGAACGCAGGAAGTAGGCCGATGACGGACTGGGCTCCGTTCTCGATGTCGGTGATGCGGGCGTATTTGAAGCGTCCTGTCCAGGTGACCCGGTGGCCCTCCAGGTGAGAACACAGGATCTGGGTTTGGGCCATGTTGTATTCCTTCCAGGCCTTGGGCCCACACAGGTTACTGTACTCCGGCCACGTGAGGGTGGAGTTATACACCTGTTCAACACACATTCACATTTGGTTCAACTTTATTTTGATGTTGTTCATGTATTCCATTTAACGCTTTTCATACATTTAATGTATTCTTTATGTTGTTACATTTGAACACTGTAAATAGTACTCTGCTGTAAATAGTACCCTGCTGTAAATAGTACTCTGCTGTAAATAGTTATCTGCTGGAAATAGTACTCTGCTGTAAATAGTTATCTGCTGGAAATAGTACCCTGCTGTAAATAGTACTCTGCTGTAAATAGTACCCTGCTGTAAATAGTACTGTGCTGTAAATAGTTATCTGCTGGAAATAGTACTCGGCTGTAAATAGTACTCTGCCTGCAATTAGATCTGCTTCTGTCATTCTGTTGTTCTTTACTATGTAAATATGCTAGTACCTGTATTTTGTTTTAATTAGCGCTTTGGGCATAATGTAGCATAATGTAGTAAACTAGTTCTAGTGATTACCTTCATGCCTTCTGAGCGGTAGACGTACATCCAGCAGAACATCACCACAGCACTTAGCCACACCAGGATGAGCTTTACCACGCTGCTCCGCGACAGGGACCGCACCACCACCAGCGGGTTCAGGCTGAACCGCGTCCACAACCGCAACACCACCGGGACTGAGCACACGGTCAGAGTCACCAGCATCTTGGTGACCTCCAGAGCCATGAACCACTGGAGGACCCGGAAGAGCAACATGGCCGCCAAGCCCAAGGTGAGGACAGGCAGGGCGAACAGGAAGAGGAGGTAGCCCACACAGGTCCGAATCAGACCGATTGTGGAGGAGGAGTGGAGCAGGGCCAGGCACAGCTCACACCAGACGAAGCAGACCATGTAGGGTACCAGGCAAAGGTAGGTGCCCCTGAAGCCCCTCTGCTGGGCCATGCGGAACAGCAGGTAGATCAGGTGCCCGTATAGAAGACACGGCACGCCCACGTTCAGCGCCACCATCTCCCCTAGCGGCACCGTCACAAACGTTGTTCCTAACACCCGCAGGAACCAGACACTATCGGGTAATAGTTGTGTAAGGGCACAGACCCCCGATAACACCTCTGTGAGCAGGGCGCGGCGGGCGAAGAGCTCAGCGGAGGCTTGGAGGCTGAGGAAGGAGGTGACGGTGAAGAACAGGGCCACGGTGGCCAGTTCGGAGCAGGGGATCCAGGTCTTGTCAGCCACGGGGAAGGAGAAGACCATGAAGACCACCGACAGCAGGAAGTAGAGGTAGGGCTCCAGGTGGGTCCAGCCGAAGTTAGTCTCAGCTTGCTCTAGGTCCAGGCCGGGCTCGAAACGTAACAGCAGGTCTGTCAGGACCCGGAAGTTCTCCCACGCTTTGGAGTTCTGGAAGAACAATCCCAACAGCTCTTTATACACTGAACACACATTATCCTATAGCTGTCATGGAATACCTTACCATAGGAGTTACATACTACTAACCATTTTTATTCTGTTTTCCAAGAAAATACCAAAGGTCAAGTACTCCCTAGTTTGTTACAGGATAATGACAGGTTATCCTCTTTCAGTTCCTCTGCTCTAAGGCCAGAGCGGTGTGAAGGGTATCCCACCTGGAAGACGCGCAGCGTGCAGATGACCATGGAGAACAAGGAGAGGTAGAAGACCACCAGGGGGATGAGGAAGATGAAGAAGTCGAGGGTGAGGTTGCTGATGACGAAGAAGAAGATGAGAGCGTTGACGTGGTGCGTGGGGATGAGGGCACTGAGCCACTGCATGCCCGCCCGGGATGCCCAGTTTATCAGGTGCTCCTTGATCTCCAACAGGGCGTGTAGGGGGAACTTCAACACCTAGGGGAGAGAGCGAGAGAGAGAAAGAGCGAGAGAGAGGGTAAATCCATGAGCAAGATAATTACGTCTGTGTGTGAAGATGTTATTAACGCATGAGAGATAAAAAGATTCAGACCTTTTGGTGAAGGGGCAAGTCGTCTGGGTTCTTCACAGCTTCATCATCGTCATCGTCACCGCCGGCCCCAGCCATAGTGGGAGAGGGGGGGATGCCCTGAGCGTACTTCTTAGTGATCTCCACAAAGTCATCTAGACCCACGTCATAGCAACTGGCTGCAGAGACACACAGAGAGAGAGGTAGTCCTTACTCACTATTACATTGCCTTTCCATTTGATTCTATAACACATAAACATACACAAACCTTTGCTGGTGACGAGGCTCTCCAGTACTCTCCTCTGTTTCTGCATGGAGCTGGATATTGGGCCCTGGGAGGCAGCGGCACCTTGGGGTGGAGGAATTACAGAGAAACACGAAGTTGAAAAACTAGCTACGTAACAACTCTGTTTTATTGGAACAATGTGCACCTTTTGGTAACATGATACCTCACAGGTCCAGACACCCAAATAGCAACATCCACAAGGGGGCGATAGCAGAGGTTCTCTTGTCATCTTCTTATTTGCGTTGAAAGTAAAGAAAAATCACGTTTTGGTTGTCTCCCCTTGCTAGCTAGCTGGCTAACATCTCCATGTGAAATAATCAGATTTTTATTAAATAATATGCTCTGGCAAATATAATATTATTGTACTTGCCAGTGTATCCTACAACACTATCCCAGTTTGATATGCTGCATGAATGCCGGATTCAAAACTTAGAATTTTTCAATTTAAATTATTATACAAAATTCTTACTACCAATATAATGTTATTTATATGGGGGATACAATCTTCCCAGCTCTGCAGATTTTGCTGCGAAGAGACAGAATCATTAGATCATTTGTTTTGGTACTGTCCATTTGAAGCTTGTTTTTGGACACAGGTCCAGGAATGGCTAAAGGATTGCAATATTTACCTGGAGCTAACCCTGCAGATAGCACTACTTGGTGATCTGAAAAGTCATAGTCAATCGATCAATAATATAATAATACTTTTAGCAAAAATGTTTATTTTCAATTTACAATCTGTAGAAACAATGAGAATAGAAGGGTTCAGAACTTTTGTAAAACATCACAGTACAGTTGAAAAATATATGGCAAATAGAAATCCAATATGGATGGTGTTAAGAGATAGATGGGAGGTGTTGAATGGAGTTGAAGGATGGGACTAATAACAACTAACAACAACTAATAACAACAAGATAACTAATGTAAAGCATACTGTGTCCATAATAATTATATAGGTTATAGGTTGAGAGCTTTTGTGAAAGAGCACAGTTAGAAAGATATGGCATATAGAAGCAAACCGGATGGATATCATGAAAATGATCAGAGAGGTTGAGGAAGTTCAGGAGTAAAAACAAACAAAATAGAATTATTGTAAAATTGACTGTGTCCATAAAATGTATATAGTATGTATTAGCTGGAAGTAGAGGCCTAAGCATTGTTGTTCACTAGTTTACTCCAATTAGGGAAGGGGTGGTGGGGTTGGAAAGTAATAAAGGGAAATATATATTTTTAAAGGATATGTATATATATATATGTATTTTGCAATTTCTGAGGCTGGTAACTCTAATGAACATCCTCTGCAGCAGAGGTAACTCTGGGTCTTCCATTCCTGTGGTGGTCCTCAAGAGAGCCAGTTTCATCATAGCGCTTGATGGTTTTTGCGACTGCACTTGAAGACACTTTCAAAGTTCTTGAAATGTTCCGTATTGACTGACCTTCATGTCTTAAAGTAATGATGGACTCTAGTTTCTCTCTCGCTTATTTGAGCTGTTCTTGCCATAATATGGACTTGATCTTTTACCAAATAGGGCTATCTTCTGTATACCCCCCTACCTTCTCACAACACAACTGATTGGCTCAAACGCATTAAGAAGGAAATAATTTCCACAAATTAACTTTTAAGAAGGCACCCCTGTTAATTGAAATGCATTCCAGGTGACTACCTCATGAAGCTGGTTGAGAGAATGCCAAGAGTGTGCAAAGCTGTCATCAAGGCAAAGGGTGGCTATTTGAAGAATCTCAAATATAAAATATATTTTGATTTGTTTAACACTTTTTTGGTTACTACATGACTCCATATGTGTTATTTCATAGTTTATGTCTTCACTATTCATCTACAATGTAGAAAACAGTAAAAATAAAGAAAAACCCTTGAATGAGTAGGTGTGTCCAAACTTTTGACTGGTAGTGTATGTCATGTCAGTGGACAGTACACTACCTGGCTCAGTGTTGACGTGTTCCACGTTCTCCAGCATCTCAGACACCGCCACCCTTCTCTTCTTCTCTGGGTTGAGCTTCCAGTACATGACCAGAGCAGCCTTCCTTACTCCTCTCTCAAACCTCGTCTCCGTACACAGCTTCTTCACCTCCTCAAAGTTCTCTGACGTGATGCCTAATGGTAACCACAAACACAACCTTAATGCCTCATAATAAACGCCATGCACGGAGACAAACAATCAGTTCAACATTCCCAATGACAGTTGACTCTTGCTAAGTGCATATCGTTTAAGTGCATACTCCATTTAATTGCACACTGTACTTTTTCAGACCCAATTCAAAAATATTTTCTTGAATTGCTCTGGTTCTCCATACTGTTCCAAGGTGAAGTGTTCCCTAGGTACAGATCTAGGATCAGATTCCCCTCCCCCAAATTGTAACCTTAACCATTAGTGGGGGAAATGCTGAACTGATCCAAGATCAGAGTCTAGGGGTAACTACACCCTACACCTAACCATGCTCCTGTTAATGGTTTAGGCCATGCCCTCTCACCTTTCCTGGTTGCTAGGCAGCGCTGTAGCATCTTGACTGCGTCCTTGCGGCCCTGTTTGGTGGCCTGCACCAGCCAACTCACTGCTGTACAGTTGTTCACCTCCTCATCTCTCTCCTCAGCCAGGGCCAAGTAGTACCGGCCCATCTACACACAGACACATTATATATCACCTACAATATGTGCACATTCAAAGAAACTTGCCAGATGTGGGATTGTGCAAACAATTCTAATCAAACTAAATTAATCTGCAGTTCTTCCCACTCCAACAATGGGTCCATATGAAGACCCATTGTAGTTCATACGTTAGGACTATTCACGTTTGCTTTGGTGGTCTCTCTGAGGTGGACTATGGGTAATACTCACCCTACTCTGGGCTTTGGCGTCTCCAGACTTGGCCCTCTCCTCCAGCTCCTCCACACTCAGCTCCTCCTCTGGCTCCTCTACACAGAGACACAACACCCATCTCATTCATCTATTTCTCCATTCATTATGATGGTTATTACATGGTGACCGGCAGCATTGATACATACAGTAACAGATGTTGCATAGCATTTTAGGAACTAACAGATGCATATGACTCACACAAACAGTGGCAGTCTGTAGCAGTAGTGTTATTCATTAAGGGCAGGATGTTCCTTCCCGTAGACAGATGCTAACTGCTTATAACAACTGTCCTTGAACAGAGAGACCACTTCAGTAGCACACATGGACAAGGGCTGTGACACCCCCCCCCAACAGACAGTCTCTCTAACCATTACTGCCACCTGTCCTTCTTCTCTAATAACGTTTATGTATTTGTAAAGGAAAAATCCACCCCTTTCAACATAAAATTCATCATCTCCAGCAACATCATCATCTGTTTTGTAGTCAAAGAGACAGCAGAAGATAAATGTTTCAGGTGACATCATCCGAAAACACTGATGACATTATCTGATGTGCATGATCATGTGATTTTAAAGAACTATGAGCAGGCAAAGGTTGGACAAATGTGTTTTAGAGCCCTTGTTATCCTATGTAGGCTAAGTGAGGTCTTGCTGTACTGTATAAAGCTTCTAGAGGTAGTACATCTGTGTTGTGTCACTAAGGAGCAGAGGAAACCATCCGCATGTGCTCTGCTGCTGCATCCATCCAGTTCCTTCCCTTACATGCCATTGATTCCTGGCAGCATGGTGGACCTAGCCCAGCCCTGCGCCTCAGCCCTAAAATAACAGTTTATTTAGCTCACTCAACAGCTACTCCTCACCCCCTGGCACTGACACGACACCAACACGTTTATCAGAAGTGTATCTGTGTCTATTCTTTTTCAGATATCATTTTTCACACATTCTCTATCCTGGTTCTTTGTCCCCACTGGTCATGTAGCATAAATTCACTTCCATGTGTGCTCCTCTGAAAAGCAGTATTAGAGATTCAGTACACCTGAACCAGCCATACCAAGCAGTGAGAAAGGAATTTGCTTTCCATGCAGGCTTTGGCCAGTAGCATCAGAAAAGCATGGAGAGAAGTAGAGGGATAGGGTTAGGAGAGAGGGCTCTCTGTCTGCCTTACACAGCAATCCCTGACTGACTGACTGACTGACTGCTTTACATGCTCTGGTCAACATCTGCTGCTGTCACGGATAGATCACAAGCCACAGGGGGAGAGGTTCTGATTGGAGGGTGTGGGTAGGGGCGGAGAGGATGAGACAGGATGAGACAGAAAGTGAAATACCCAGTCTGCCCTCTCCCAAAGTCCTAAACATAATGGGCAATCAGACAAAGCCAAGGGGTTAGGTTAGATAGTAGTAGTAGTAGAAGCTTAGTCTTGGTGAAATAGCAAACACATTGGTTGCCTTGGTGAGGATGGATGGCAAGGCATTCCTGTTTCGGTTTCATTTCTAAATATAAGGGTAAGCGATATATAAAGGAGGTCAATAAAATAGGTTATGTTAGGGATGTGGTATGGTTATTATTGGTGTTGTGTGTTAATGTAGTGTGTGTGATTGTAGTGTTTGTGTGGTTAATTGTTGTGGTGTTAAGCGTGTTATGTATTGTTGTAGGGTTGTGAGGCTGAGATTGAAATTTAGTGTGTATTGAATGTTTTGTTTTGTAATTGATGTGTCTCAATGGGGTTGTGTTGGATTGTAGTGTTGAATGTGTTTGGTGATATGTTTAATGTTTGCTGTGTTTAATGTGCATTGCATTCCGTTGTCTGTTAATGGGTGATTAGGTGTAATTGTTTTGTTGTAATGTTGTCTGTGAGGTATGTTAGTTGGCTTGTATGTAGTGTTTGGTTGGTGTGTTTTGGCGTTGTGTGTGTAGGGTTGTGTGGTTGGTTTAATGTGAAATTAGTGTCTGTCTGTAATTTGTGTTCTAGTTGATGTTTGTTGTATGTTGGTCTATTTGTAATGTGTGTTTAGGTGTTGTTGTAATGTTTGTGTTTGTGAATGTTGTGTTGTTGGTTGTGTATGTCAGTAAGTTGAGTGTGTTGGATGGTATTGTGTTGTAATGTTCTGTTGTGGGTTGTATTGTTGTAATTGTAATGTAGTTGTAATGGGGTGTTGTAATGGTTTGTTGTGTGATATGGTGTGGTTGAGTTGTATTGTGTTGAGTGTGAGTGGTTGAATTGTTGTTTGTGTTGTAATGTTTGTGTTGTATTGTTGGTGTTGTAATGTGTTGGTTGTGTGGTTGTAATGTGTTGTTTTGTAATGTTGTGGTTGTGTTTGTTGTTTGTGTTTGGTATGTTGTAATGTGTGTGTGTGTTATTGTAATGTGGTTGTGTGTGTTGTAATGTTTGTGTGTTGTATGTTTGTGTTGTAATGTGTTTGTAATGTGTTGTAATGGTTGTGTGTTAATGGGTGTGTAATGTGTTGTGTTGTTTATTGTTGTTGTTGATGTTTGTTTGTAAGTGTTGTTGTTGGTAATGTTGTGTTTGTTTGTAATTGCTGTTTAAGGGGTGATAAATGGTTATGTTAGTGAATGTGTTGTGTTGTTTGTTGTTAGCTGTGTGTGTGAAGGGGTTGTCTTGTGATTAATTGTATTGGGTTAGTGTATTGTGTGTTGTAATGTTGTTGTGTTTGTGTTGTGTTGTGTGTGTAATGTGTATGTTTGTGTTGTAATGTGTTGTGTTGGTTGTAATGTGTTGTGTTGTAATTGTTGTGTTTGTGTTGTAATGTGTTGTGTTTGTTGTTAATGTGTTGTGTTGTGATGTGTTGTTGTGTTGTTGTAATTGTGTTGTTGTTGTATGTTGTAATGTGGGGTGTAATATTTGTTTTGTGTTTGTTTTAATGTGTTGTTTGAGTTTGTCTGTGTGTGTGGTGTGTTGTAATGTTTGTGTTGTAGTGTTGTTGTGTGTTTGATTGTATGTGTGTTTGTATGTGGTGTGTTGTAATGTGTTGTTTTGTGTTGTAATTGTTGTGTTGTTTGTTGTGTTGTGTTAATGTGCTGTTTGTGTTTATGTTTGTTGTTTTCATGTGTTGTGTTGTATGTGTTGTTTGTGTTGTATGTGTTGTTTGTGTGTGTTGTTGTGTTGTGTTGGTGTAATGTGAGTGTTGTTGTTGGTGTAATTGTTGTGTTGTGGTAATGTGTTGTATGTAATTTAAGTGTTTTTGTAATGTTTTTGTAATGTGTTTGTAATGTGTGTGTTGTAATTGTTGGTGTTGTATGTGTTTGTTGTTTGTAATCTGTTTGTGTTGTAATGTGTGTGTTGTGTTGTGTTGTAATGTTTGTGTTGTAATGTTTGTGTTTGTAGTGTAAAATGTTTGTAGGTTGTGTTTTATGTGTTGTATGGTTGATGTGTGAAGGGAATGTCTTGTCGTGTTTAAGGGTTTAGGTGTGTTGTTGTTGTAATGTGTTGTTGTGTTTAATGTGTTGTGTTTAATGTGTTGTGTTTATGTTTGTATGTTGTGTGTTGTAATGTGTTGTTGTATGGTGTATTGTGTTGTGTTTGTTTAATGTGTTGTGTTTGTGTTGTAAGTTGCTGTGGTTGTGTAGGTTGTGTAATGTGTGTGTTAGTTGTATGTGTTGTTGTCTGTGTGTGTTTTGTGTTGTTTGTGTTGTAATGTGTTGTGTTTGTAATGTGTTTGTGCTGTTGTAGTGTGTGTTGTTGTATTTGTTGTTGTTAATGTGTGTTCTGTGTATGTTGTTGTGTTGTGTTGTTGTGTTGTGTTGGTGTTGGTGTTGTATTGTGTTGTGTTTGTGTCGTGTGTTGTTGTTGTGTTGTTGTAATGTGTTGTTTGGGTTGTTGTGTTGTTTGTTGTTGTTTGTGTTTAATGTGTTGTGTTTAATGTTGTGTTGTGTTTAATGTGTGTTGTGTGTGTAATGTGTTGTGTTGTGTTGTAATGTGAGTGTTGTAATGTTGTTGTATGGTTATGTGTTTGTAATGTTTTGTGTTTGTATGTGTGTTTTGTGTTGTTGTTGTTTGTTTGTGTTTGTTGTGTGTGTTGTTTTGTTGTGTTGTTTGTTTTGTGTTTGTTGTGTTGTGTGTTTTTGTTGTGTTGTATTGTTGTGCTGTTTGTTGTGTTGTTGTTATGTGTTGTGTGTCTGTAGTGGTTGTGTTGTTTAATGTTTTGTCTGTTTTTGTAATTATGTGTTGTTATGTGTTTGTTTGTATAGTGTGGTTGTGTTTGTATGTGTGTGTGGTGTTTGTTGTGTTTGTTGTAATGTGTGTGTTTGTACTTGTTGTTAGTTGTTGTGTTGTGTTGTCTGTGTTGTTGTTTTGTTGTTGTTGTGTATGTTTGTTGTGTTCTTGTTGTTTGTTGTGTTGTAATGTTTGTAATTGTGGTGTTTATGTGTTGTTGTAATGTTGTAATGTGTGTTTGTTTATATGTTGTGTTGTGTTGTGTTGATGTGTTGTGTTGTGTATGTTTGTGTGTTTGTTGTAATGTGGTGTTGGTTGTTGTATGTGTTGTTGTATTGTTGTGTTGTAATGTGTTGTGTTAAGGTGTGTGTGTTTGTGTTGGTTGTAATGTGTTGTGTTGTAATTGTTGTTGTAATGTTGTGTTATGTATGTTTGTAATGTGTTTGTTGTAATGTGTTGTTGGTTGTAATGGTGTTTTGTTGTGTTGTTGCTGTGTTGGTTGTCTGTGTTGGTTGTGTGTGTTGTTTGTGGTGGTTGTTGTGTTGTCTGTGTTTGTGTGTGTTGTATTGTTTGTAGTGTCTGTGTTGTAATGTGTTTGTGTTTGTGTTTTGTGTTGTAAGGTTGTTGTGTTTGTAATGTGTTTTTGATGTGTTGTATGTTTGTGTTGTTGTTTGTGTTGTTTATGTGTTGTTTGTCTGTGTTGTGTTCGTGTTGTTTGTTATGTGTTGTTGTGTGTGGTTGTTTTGTTGTGTCTGTGTTGTTTGTGTTGTGTTGTTGTTGTCTGTTGTAATTGTTGTGTTGTTTGTGTTTGTGTGTTTGTGTTGTAATGTGGTGTTTCTGTATTGTTTGTCCTGTGTTGTATGTTGTTTTTATGTGTTGGTTTATGTTGTGTTGTAATGTCTGTGTGTTTGTGTATGGTGTTGTTGTGTTGTTGTTGTTGTGTTGTGTTGTAATGTTGTGTTTTGTTGTGTTGTAGTGTGTCAATGTCTTGTTGTTGGTGTGTTGGTTGTTTTATGTGTTGTTTAATGTTTTGTGTTGTATGTATGTGTTTGTATGTGTTGTTGGTTGTAATGTTTGTGTTGTGTTTTTGTGTTGTGTTGATTGTGTTTGTGTTGTTAGTGTGTTTTGTTGTGTTTATGTGTGTTTGTATGTTTGTTGTGTTTGTAATGTGGGTGTTGTATGTATTGTGTTGTAATGTGTTGTGTTGTAATGTAATGTGGTGTAATGTGTTGTGTCGTGTTTGTAATGTGTTGTAATGTGTTCTAATGTGTTGTATTGTGTTGTAATGTGTTGTGTTGAGTTGTAATGTGTTGTATTGTGTTGTAATGTGTTGTGTTGTAATGTGTTGTGTTGTGTTGTAATGTGTAGTGTTGTAATGTATTGTGTTGTAATGTGTTGTAATGTGTTGTGTTGTGTTGCAATGTGTTGTAATGTGTTGTGTTGTAATGTGTTGTAATGTCAATGATGCCATACAGCCAAAACAACAGTATATATTGCTAGGGGCCTCCTGTAGCTCAGTTGGTAGAGCATGGTGCTTACAACACCAGGGTTGTGGGTTCGATTCCCACGGGGGGCCAGTATGAAAAATGTATGCACTCATTAAACTGTAAGTTGCTCTCGATAAGAGCGTCTGCTAAATGAGTGTAATGTGTTGTGTTGTTTTGTGTGTCTTTGGCTGTACTCACCTGGCTGAGCTAAAGAAGCCTGTCGTAGAGGGGTAGTAGGGGGCCTGACCGGGGTATCTCCAGCAGCACCAGCCCCCCTCCTCTCCTCAGCTGACCTGCTGGCAGCATTGAGCTGGGATCGTCCTGCCTGGGAGACAGGTCTGATGGGCTGCCGCAGGGGGGATGCAGGAGGGGTGGAGAGGGAGGGCGAGGGAGGAGAGAGAGGGGGACCAGGACGAGAAGGGGAGGAAGATGAGACCGGAGAGGTCGGGACGGATGGGGTGGACTTAGGCAGGGTCACGGTGGGTCTAGTGCCTGGGGTAGATTTAGGGGTAGCTGGGGAAGGGGGGGAGGGGCCAGGTTTCAGGGTGGTTGGGGTGCCAGGGGGTGATGGTTCCATGTCTGACAGACAGAAGAGGATAACATAGTTAAAACTCTGCCTGGTGTAAATAACGTTTAACTTTTATAGATGGAGCTTTACAGAATCATTCATGCATGAGGGGCGTGTCAGCTGGAAGCACCGGTCTGTTGACACAGCTGCACCAGAGTGAGGCCAGGGGAGAGGAGAGAGAGTGGCTGCTTTGTCAGTGTGAGGAGGACCCTGGTGCAGTGACACAACAGCTGCATTACACACTCAGCACTTCTGCTCCAATGATGCAACTCTCACTGTCTAAGGAAGCCCATAGCTTCCCTTCAGGACAAAGTGTTAAGATGTGTTAAGATTCTGTCAACGACAATGGAACCTTAAATATGACCGTAAGATGGCAGTTCTGATTATGGTACAGCCAGTGGTGGAAAAATTACCCAACTGTCATATTTGAGTAAAAGTAAAAATACCTTAATAGAAAATGACTCAAGTAAAAGTGAAAGTCACTTAAGTAAAAGTCTAAAAGTATTTGTTTTTAAATATACTTAAGTGTCAAAAGTAAAAGTATAAATCATTTCACAATCCTTAAATTAAGCACACCAGAAGGCACAATTTTTTTACATTTACTTTTTTACTGATAGCCAGCGGCACACTCCAACACTCGGACATCATTTACAAACAAATAATTTGTGTTTAGTGAGTCTGCCAGATCAGAGGCAGTAGAGATGACCAGGGATGTTCTCTTGATAAGTGCGTGAATTGGACCATTTTCATGTCCTGCTAAGCATTCCAAATGTAACGAGTACTTTTGGGTGTCAGGGAAAATGTATGGAGTATAAAGTACATTATTTTCTTTAGGAATGTAGGGGGAATAAAAGTAAAAATTGTCAAAAATGTAAATATTAAAGTAAAGTACAGATACACCCCAAAACTACTTATGTATTTTTAATTAAGTACTTTACACCACTGGGTATAGCATGTCCAAAACAAACATGTCAGCGTTATTCTCTCACCTTTGCAGTCAAAGACTCAATCCGTATTTCGTCTAGTCGATAAGAATCTACTAAATCCGTGTTTCGTCTAGTCGATAAGAATCTGTTAGAAGTGTCCAGTTTAAATTGTTCAGGGCCTCGTCAACCCTTTCACTTTTGACGCCTCCCGTGCCACAAGCGCATCTGTTATCACACACCACTTACAGCGATGAGGAGAGAACTCCTTCAGCTCCTACAGACATAATAAACGCCCACTTTCTACTCCGCCTATAATGATTGGACATTGTCAGTGACTCCTTCGTTTTCTCTTAATTTCATTGGCTACAGATACAGAATGTCGAAACCATTTCCCGAGCTTTCTCTTTCAGGCATCACCAGTAGATCATCGAAATGCCTCTCGTTCAGAGAATACATTGATTGGCTGACGACATTTTTACATATTTTCATGGTTTGATATGCCATAGCCTACATGCATCGATAAGCACTATACCTCATACGTTCAGTTACGCTTAAAATTGGGAATGTGAACGCTTCAGTCACACCATGTCATAAACATTTACATTGTAAATGAATATCCAGAGCCTCTCTCTTTCTATGTAAACGTTCAACTCAAGTTTGCATAGCTCCTACCTCCATGCTCGATTGCTCTTCCTGGTTACATCATTTTTTGTAGGTGACTCCTTGGTCGCAGGTCTTAGAGATTTTCAATAGCCCGCAATGAGCCTTGAGCTGCCGCTGAGCCCGGCGGCAATCACAGAGGTATCTCCTATCTCCCTCCAAGGGTTCGCTTTCGTCCGGGACAACACCACCTGTCACCTTCATCGATGGGGTACCTGTCACCTTGTCCGTCCAGAATGTGGACCGTCAGCAGATGTTGGTCGGGGATGCCAACCTTTTTTGGGGTCACCACTTGTGGATCCGTCACTGCAATAGGCTACATTTACGTTTTGAACACACCGACTGTGTTTTTGCGTTTTGGTACATCAGAAGTACATTCATTTCCACAGGAACGCTGCGTTTGCCTTGCAGCATTGCGTTGCAGAGGCAGTTGCAGTGCGTTCTGTGTGTTGCATACGTTGGATTTATCGAACGTATGCATCAAACTGTATGCGTGAACGGGTTGACAGAAATGGTAGCAGAAGGTGAATGTTGAACTTTTGTTGCACACATATCTATATGATGCTGCATACTATTTTGCGCAATGACGCAGTCGGTGTGTTCAAAGGCTATACAACATTTTACATTTATGTCATTTAGCAGACGCTCTTATCCAGAGCGACTTACAGTTAGTGAGTGTATACATTATTTAAAAAAATGTTTCATACTGGCCCCCTGTGGGAATCGAACCCACAACCATGGCGTTGCAAACACCATGCTCTACCAACTGAGCTACATCCCTGCCGGCCATTCCCTCCCCTACCCTGGAAGACGCTGGGCCAATTGTGCGCCGCCCCATGGGTCTCCCGGTCGCGGCCGGCTACGACAGAGCCTGAATTCGAACCAGGATCTCTAGTGGCACAGCTAGCACTGCGATGCAGTGCCTTAAACCACTGCGCCTTCTCTGTCTGTTGTTACAGATATTGCAGTTGCACAAGGAGGAAGAAGTCCCTACATACTGCATTGTAGTGTTCAAAGCGCTTTGAACACACCGACTGCGTCATTGCGTAAAATAGTGTGTAGCATCATCTAGATATGTGTGCAACAAAAGCCCAGAGGTGGAACCGACTGTCAAGAGGTGGAACCGTGCGGTACTTGCATGATCATTGAGAAGCGAATAGCAGTTAGTTGGGCCTGTTTGTGGTTAAAACGCAGATAGTTTTTATGGCCCAGTACAAAACTGGGGAGTTGTATTCTTTTTTCAGGAACTCTACTACTGTATTTCTGTATTCTCTCGCAGTACTGCTACGATATGGCAGCAACTATAAAGATTAGCCTACATCATCACATAAAACGCTGATTGTTTTTGCTTCAATGCAGTATGTAGGGACTGCGTCCTCCTTGTGCAACTGCAATATCCGTTACAACAGACAGAGAAGGTTGTATAGCCTTTAATAAATATTTGTGGGAATGTTCGTTCAAATCGCCGCAGGGTTTTTTATTTCATCTGTTCAGAAATATGAGGCAGAGACATAGGCTACATCATCATGGTTCAGAAGAGGGTGAGTAAAGAGAGAAATGTAAAGGGAGGGGGAGTGTGCAGTAGCTACACTATATATACAAAAGTATGTGACACCCCTTCAAATTAGTGGATTCGGCTATATCAGCCACACCTGTTGCTGACAGATGTATAAAATAGAGCACACAGCCATGCAATCTCCACAGACAAACATTGGCAGTAGAATGGCCTTACTGAAGAGCTCAGTGACTTTCAACATGGCACCGTCATAGGATGCCACCTTTCCAACAAGTCAGTTCATCAAATTTCTTCCCTGCTAGAACTGCCCCGGTCAACTGTAAGTGCTGTTATTGTGAAGTGGAAATGTCTAGGAGCAACAATGGCTCAGCCTCAAAGTGGTAGGCCCCACAAGCTCACAGAACGGGACTGCCAAGTGCTGAAGCGCGTAGCGAGTAGATATCGTCTGTCCTCGGTTGCAACACTCACTACCGAGTTCCAAACTGCCTCTGGAAGCAACGTCAGCACAATAACGTTTGTCAGGAGCTTCATGAAATGGGTTTCCATGGCCGAGCAGCTGCACACAAGCCTAAGATCACCATGTGCAATGCCAAGTGTTGGCTGGAGTGGTGTAAAGCTCACCGCCATTGGACTCTGGAGCAGTGGAAATGCGTTCTCTGGAGTGATGAATCACGCTTCACCATCTGGCAGCCCGACGGACAAATCTGGGTTTGGCAGATGCCAGGAGAACGCTACCTGCCCAAATGTATAGTGACAACTGTAAAGTTTGGTGGAGGAGGAATAATGGTCTGGGGCTGTTTTTCATGGTTCGGGCTAGGCCCCTTAGTTCTAGTGAAGGGAAATGTTAACGCTACAGCATACAATTACATTCTAGACGATTCTGTGCATCCAACTTTGTGACAACGGTTTGGTTAAGGCCCTTTCCTGTTTCAGCATGACAATGCCCTGTGCACAAAGCGAGGTCCAGACAGAAATGGCCTGCACAGAGCCCTGACCTCAACCCCATCGAACACCTTTGGGATGAATTGGAACGCTGACTGCGAGCCAGGCCTAATCGCCCAACATCAGTGCCCGACCTCACTAATGCTCTTGTGGCTGAATGGAAGCAGGTCCCTGCAGCAATGTTCCAACATCTAGTGGAAAGCCATCCCAGAAGAGTGGAGGCTGTTATAGCAGCAAACGGGGGACCAACTTCATATTAATGCCAATGATTTTGGAATGAGATGTTCGACGAGCAGGTGTCCACATACTTTTGGTAATGTAGTGTATGTAGTGTGTGTAAAATATCACATGCGCAGAATGTCCTTAGCTCTGGAGGGGCGGGCAGGGCGTGGACGAAAATTCTCTTTTCGTAGTCCGGCCGCCCCCCAAAATGGAACACGTCAGCCAGACAGCCACTGCAAAGTATAGACTACCGATTGCTGTCCATGGTGCTGCTGCCGATCGAATTAATGATTGGCTTTCTGTGGTGCCAGGGCATGTAGCCTATAGCTTTGCTTTAGCTAATGGGTAAATGTTTATTGGGCGGCCTATTTGGTCATCACGTTCTCATGTTAAGCCTAACATTTCAGGAAGCTATACCCACGCTGTAGCAATGCTGCCAATCATTTAATGACTTGTTCAGTAATTAAAGTTGGAAATTCAAACATTGGAGATTGTAAAATAAATGTTCGATACAACAGCATACTTATCAGCTACCAATTGATTTTTTAATTTGTATTTATACAACTGTCCTGTATAGGTACCTGAACCTGCATGACATGAGCCGTCCTCGCGCTCTCTCCCAGCTTGGATAGAAAGTTGTTTTGCGTACAAACCAGTCTATTAATGCCAAATAATACAGTCAGTCCACCCTCAAAACACTAGCTTACTAGGGATTGTTTCATTATGCAGTGAAGCCTACTATGTGTAGCTATATATCTGATTTATCTGCTATTTAGCTGCTATTTATACACTTTTTATAAAAATTACACATCAAATAGCCTATCAATTAGGAAAAAGTAGTCGGTTTGAAGATAAATTCAGCTACTATTTATTGTTGATATCAGCGGGTTTTGTCTGGCTAATAGCCTACACAAATGGCCTGCAATATTCAAGGTAAATTAAATCAAATTAAAATCAAATTTGAGAGACTCCCCTGGTCTTCTGAAGTACTCATTGCTGCTTCTCTCTCTGTCTGTGTCTCTTTTTCTCTTTGTCTCTTAGAAAAAAGTATCAGTGTCTGTGCTTGTCTCTTTCTTTTCTATGTAGAGGCCTATATTAGCTATATATGCGACTGCGTTGCCTTACAATTTTTTTGTTTTAAATGTTTTCACCACGGCCTTTAGGTCCAGGTTGCGGGCCCGACTGTTTTCTATGAGTATTGCCAACCCAGACAGTCTTTCCTGAGACATTGTGCGTTATACTGTATGTCCATTGCGCTGGACACAATTTAAACTTAGCCTTGAATTAAGCATGCCAAGATATACCAGAGATAAGGGAATGTTGATATTGCAACCACAAAACTCAAACGCCGGTTCACCAGTATGAACGAAATCGCAAACCGCTTTTTTTTGTTCAAGCCCTCAACTTGTTGTCCGTTAATGATAATCTGTTTGCATCTGCGAATTTGTTTGCTGTCCAGTATCCAGACAACCTGTCCCCAGAGCTTCCTATACAGTTAATCTCTTTCCGTAACGTGTTGAGGCCGTCAATTAAGGAGAACAAGAGGCTCAATTAAAGATGTTGCAGAACTGCTGTATTTGAAACACCACTCCCTTCTGCCCAGTTTCCCTGATGTTAATACAGCAATCAAGCTGTTTTTACCATCCCTGTAACTGTCGCTTCTGCGGAGATATTTTTTTCTAAACTAAAACTCATAAAGAACTACCTAAGAAGCATTAGGTTCTCGGTCTGATATGCGCTTTTGAACACCACTCATTGCACTGGCGCCATCATAGACTTGTTCACTCTTTTCAATCAGTGACATTTTTTATTTTCCAAGGCCTGAGGCACCCTTTTAGTCACATTCCTGAAGTCCAAGAAACTAACACTTAGGTTCCTAGAACATATGGACATTAAAAATATTTATGGTTGACTTTTTGGAGGTTTACTGTCAAAATTATTAATTATTAATTAAATTAAACAAATAGACATGGAAGACTGGTGGTGGGCCCCCAGAGCTCATGGGCTCCCTACCTTGTGGGGGGCTTCTGGGGTGTCCGGTATGCCAGTGACACACACATGCACACCTGCATATACACATTAAACACACTCAAACTCTTTCATAGGGAGAGGAGATATGGAACAGAATGAGTTATTCTTATTGTGAAGCCCCTCTCTCTCTCCTGATCTCAGGTACGTTATTTTTGTGCACGAGCAGAAGCTGCAGCTGAGAGAGGAGCACCCGGACCTCCCCTTCACTGAGATAAGCCACATGCTGGGGCTGCAGTGGTCCCAACTGGGCCCCAACGACAAGCAGGTCTGACCCCTAACCTTTAACCCCTAACCCATATCACCCGCATGCTGGGGCTGCACACTGCAGTGGTCCCAACTTGGCCCGACGACAAGAAGGTCTGACTTCTGACCTCTAATCTCTGACACTCAACTTGAAATTCTAACCGAAACATCCTATAACATCCTATATTTCTTCCTGTAGAAGTACAACCATGAGGCAGAGAAGGACAAGCAGCGCTACATCACAGAGCTGACGGACTACCAGAACACTGAGGCATACAAAGACTTGTTCAGGAGGAAAGCCCTGAGCAGGGGACCAAAGCTTTGTGGTGTGTGTTCAATGTTGTTTGGGTGCAATGTTTGTGTAGTGTGTTGCATAGTGCCTAGACTCTAGGATGTAGTAGTTATGTAATTAGATGAGCTCTATGTTGATTGCTGTTGATGGTTTTTGTTGATGATTGTTATGTTTTGTTGTCGTCAGGACTCCAGGGAGTTGAAACTGAGATGGAGGAGGAGACCATGGCTCTGAATCCAATAGATGTGAGTAACTTAACTGCTCCTCTGTCGACACAAGCCATTCTGACCTTCACCTAGACCAGGGATGGGCAACTTTGAGGGGGGTGAGGGCCACAAAAAAACGGAACTCATCATAATATGCCATTTAGCAGACGCTTTTATCCAAAGCGACTTACAGTCATGCGTGCATACATTTTTGTGTATGGGTGGTCCCAGGGATCGAAACCCACTACCTTGGCGTTACAAGCGCCATGCTCTACCAGCTGAGCTACAGAGGACCATCATGTTTTTGAGGTGCCCCCCCCCCCCCCATTTTAGCGCCCCCCCCCTCGTGACAGCGAAGAGTTTATAGTTCCTTTCCTCCAATTCTGCCCATTTTGCCATGGGGCTGAGAGAAAATGTGCAGTTTTATAGCTAATTTCATGCAATTCTACACATTTTGCTATAGGGTGGAGGCAAATGTTTGCAGTTTTTAATATGATAACTGATGATCAATGGGCCTCACCCTGATCGGTAATTCGACCATGATTACTACAAGTTTAGATAGTGCACAACCAAATTTTTATTGAGACCCCGACTGAGTTCCTAAAACGTTTTTGGGTGAAGGGCCTCCCTCTCCCCCCCCCCCCCCCCCCCCCCCCCCCCCCCCCCCCCCCCACCCCCCCCCCCCCCCCCCCCCCCCCCCCCCCCCCCCCCCTCTCTCTCTCTCTCTCTCTCTCCCCTCGCTCTCTCTCTCGCTCTCTCTCAGGGCTCTGATTGTAGTGATTTGTTGTGTTGTACCTGTAATCAGTACTTCAGCTCTCTGCACAACAAGAAAGAACACCTTCTGGGCAAAAAAACATCTGCAGGCCATCACAGGTCTGTGTCTGTCTGTGTGTGTGTGTGCGGGCGTGCGGGCGTGCGGGCGTACGGGCGTGTGTGCGTGTGAGGTACATATGAGATTACGTTCTATGTGCAAGTCTCTTTCGTATTTGTAAACTGATGCAATAGCAGTGTTTCACCATTAGGGGGCTGTATAGGATTCAAGTCAGTTAGGTTCTCTTTTCAAAGTGCTGTTCAGCATAGTGACTCCAGTGAACAGAAACACACATAAAGTCAAAGCCATAGTCTTTGCTGTATGATTTTTGGAGAGTGTGGTTTTGACTTTGTGTGTGTTTCTGCTCAGAGGAGTTTGAGAAGGACAAAGGCAGCCAATAGCAGGCTCCAGAGATGGAGAGAGGCCCTGTGGAGGAGGAGGAGGGGGAAGATGATGAGGATGATGAAGAGGAGGCAGAGTTGGCTCGTACGTTGGGTCTGTCCTCGCTGGACTTCAGTGTGCTGCAGGAGCTGCTGCTCAGACACATGAACCGTAAGAGCTACTGACCAGCACTGACCGCATTTATAACTCGGACACAGACCATCTCTCTCTCTCTCTCTCTCTCTCTCTCTCTCTCTCTCTCTCTCTCTCTCTCTCTCTCTCTCTCTCTCTCTCTCTCTCTCTCTCTCAGTGAGGGTCTTTGAGCTGCAGCACTTGGTGGTGTGTCTGGTCAAGGAGAGGGAGGATCAGCTGAGGTCGGTGCTCAACGACCTGCAGGTGGGGTTATGTTCAGGTCAAGCACCAGCTTTCCCACGACCCCATCTTAACCTCAGCACTCAAACAATGCTGAATTAAAGTGTTTACTGTGCACTGTGTCCCATCATGGAAGCCTTATGCCCAACACACAGTGTTCTCTCTCACTCTCTCTCTCTCTCTCTCTCTCTCTCTCTCTCTCTCTCTCTCTCTCTCTCTCTCTGTCTCTCTCCATCTGTAGGAGTGCAAGGAGTGTCTGGAGTCTGAGATGCAGGTTCTCAAGGCTTCCAGGGAGAGCCTGGACTGTCAGCTCCACACCCTCACAATGCAACCACTGCTGTTCCACACAGACAGAGGTGACAGAGAGAGGAAGGAGAGCGAGAGAGGATTATGTGTATATTTAAAGAGAGAGGGGAAAGGGATGATAACGGGAGAGATGAGTGACAGAGAGGGGGAGAGAAAAATGAGTGTGAATGAGAGATGGAAAATGAGTGTGAGAAAGAGAGGGAATGAGAGGGAAGTGAGAGATGGAGGGAAAGAAAAAGAGAGAGATGGGAGTGGGAGAGAGCGAGACAGGAAAGAGGGGGGATTCATTTCTTAACAGCAGTTCCATTGAAGCAGTTTTATAAATTAAACCTGATTAGTAGATTACTACATCCAGTTGGAGGGGATGAGGGTGTTTACTGCTCGGGCACTTTCCATTCACACTCTGTGACACAAACAAACACACACACATACTTTCTGTTTAGTACCAATGCTCTTGCGTGTCTGAATGCACACATAAACCCACACACTCACTCACACACACACGTTTGGTATTCAAAATCCGATTTTTCCTAACCCTTAAACCTAACCCTAACATTAATCCTAACCCAAACCTTAACTCATAATCCTAAACCTAACCCTAATTCTAACCGTTACCCTAAAATAGCCTTTGTCCTCATGGGGACTTGGGAAATGTTCCCACGTGGGAGAATTGTCCTTGTTTTACTATCCTTTTGGGATTTCCGGTACCCACAAGGATAGTAATATAAGCCCACACACACAATCATACAAACACAAACACGCAACACATGTTCCCATGTATTGGGTAATAAGCTCAAACCGGAGGTTTGGAATAATTTGCTTGCTATGAGTCCAATCCCTTTCATTGTGCTAATCTCCATCAGGGTGTTAGGTCTACACCTAGCCAAGCCAGGGAGGGTTACAGTTGGGGAACAGCAGGGCTGGAGTTGGAATCAGTTAGTTAGTGGACCATGGTAGAGATCACAGTAGTGTTTTGTTCCAGACAATAGACTCTCTTACCCTCCTATCAGCTCTATCATCCTTTCCTTGTCCCTGTCAGGTGGTGACTGGTTTAAAATGATAGTACAGGATCCAGCCTCATGTTAGGTATTCACTGTATTGATGTCACCTATTGTACAGTTCATTCAGATCAGGGATCAGGAAGGAATGGAGAATAAGAAAAAGATAGATGTAGAATATGGTAACAGAAATATGATTTTTATTCAATAGAAAGAGTTACAGTATTTACAGAACTGACCTAGCCCTGTCTCTAGGTAACAGGCTTCTGCAGAAACAGGCTCCGCCCATTGTTGCCCTGACTAAGTGATGAGCAGAGCCGCACAGGAAGAAGGGAACCTCAGGTAACCATAGCAACCAGCCAGGGGTTGTGTGAGAACGGACAGTGACTGAGTAGATTAACATCTGTATGTGTCAGCAAAATTATGAAGTGCCCCTAGTATCCACAACCCACCCTTTGAAGTTCCCTTTGTAGGGAAGTTGTAGTTTTTCAGAATGGAACCAAGCCTGAGTACCACAGCAGCCATATTGACAGTAGTGGTAACTTGTGACTGAGATGCTGCTGTGATAATGATGATGGATAGGATTTACATGGTGTTTTTCCAAGAGCTCAAAGAGATTTACATTGTAACAGGAAACCTAGCTCAGCCAGTGTGCTAATGTGTGATGTAGCTCGCTGCTAGATCGCAGGAGGGGCGGGCAACTTCCCTTCTACATATTGATCCTCTTCTATTCGTAGGCTCTGGGAGATGTGAAGATGAGGAGGATGATGAAGATGAAGCCCGGGAGACAGAAGGGGCCGTCGGTTGGCAGCTTTACACGTTTGTTTTTGTTCTGTTTGGGGATTTGAGTGTTCCTTTGGTTTTGGGGCGGTTTTATTTGTTTCGAGCGATGAGTCAGTTCTCGCAGCTTTCAGTCTTTTGTAAACTGTTGCTATGCTAATACAGTATGAGTGTGCGCGCAGTAGAATGCTGCTTAGTTAGCAGCTTTGGTATTGGACACGGCACTACAACACCGGAGCAGTGTGTATGTATAGTCTATGTAGCAGCATGTACAGGCTTTGTTAAATGTTTTCTTAACATTGTAATGAACACACTAGAATGTATGTTTACTTTCCAACCACTGAAGCAAATATATACATTCCATTTCCTATCCTGAGCCCACGTGTTGTTCCTTGCACTGGCCACACAGGAGCTTTTGATCTAGATATTGTAATTCTGTGTTATAACGCTGGGTGAGGAAGGTATAAAGGGCAGTTTCTAAAGTAAAGCACAGTACTGAAATGCGTAATGGAACAGTTCTGTTTCCATGGTTCTGTTCTCATTCACTGTAAACAGACAGATCTGTTTACATTCTGTTAGGTCTTTGAATGGACAGGAACATTCTGTTAGGTCTTTGAATGTACAGGAACAATCCGTTAGGTCTTTGAATGGACAGGAACATTCCGTTAGGTCTTTGAATGGACAGGAACCCAATCAATAAATGGTACTCCAAGCTCTTTCTCTACCAACATGTACTCTGTACAGTCTGTGGTCTGCTCTGTGTGTGCTTTTGGCTGTTGTTTTGGGTAATGATGTGGAACACCAGAATCAAACCCATGTACTCTACCTATTAGAGTGTAAGTCATGCTCATCACAAGTTCTCATTTAAACTGCGACCTGGCCAAGATAAAGCAAAGCAGTGCGATAAAAAACAACAACAACACAGAGTTACACATGAGATAAACAAAACATACAGTCAATAACACAATAGAAGATCTATATACAGTGTGTGCAAATGTAATAAGTTATGGAGGTAAGGCAATAAATAGGCCATAGTGCAAAATAATTACAATTTAGAATTAACACTGGAGTGATAGATGTGCAGAAGATGATGTGCAAATAGAGATACTGGGATGCAAATGAGCAAAATAAATAACAATATGGGGATGAGGTAGTTGGGTGGGCTAATTACAGATGGGCTGTGTACAGGTGCAGTGATCGGTAAGCTGCTCTGACAACTGATGCTTACAGTTAGTGAGGGAGATAAGAGTCTCCAGCTTCAGAGATTTTTGCAGTTCGTTCCAGTCATTGGCAGCAGAGAACTGGAAGGAATGGCGGCCAAACGAGGTGTTGGCTTTGGGGATCACCAGTAAGCTATACCTGCTGGAGCGCAGACTACGGGTGGGTGTTGCTATGGTGACCAATGAGCTAAGATAAGGCAGGGATTTGCCTAGCAGAGATTTATAGATGACCTGGAGCCAGTGGGTTTGGCGACGAATATGTAGGGAGGGCCAGCCAACGAGAGCGTACAGGTCACAATGGTGGGTAGTATATGGGGCTTTGGTGCCAAAACGGATGGCACTGTGATAGACTACATCCAATTTGCTGAGTAGAGTGTTGGAGGCTATTTTGTAAATGACATCGCTGAAGTCAAGGATCGGTAGGATAGTCAGTTTTACGAGGGCATATTTGGCAGCATGAGTGAAGGAGGCTTTGTTGCGAAATAGGAAGCCAATTCTAGATTTAACTTTGGATTGGAGATGCTTAATGTTAGTCTGGAAGGAGAGTTTATGGTCTAACCAGACACCTAGGTATTTGTAGTTGTCCACATATTCTAAGTCAGACCCGCCGAGAGTAATGATTCTAATCGGGCGGGAGGGTGCAAGCAGCGTACGATTGAAGAGCATGCATTTAGTTTTACTAGCGTTTAAGAGCAGTTGGAGGCTACGGAAGGAGTGTTGTATGGCATTGAAGCTTGTTTGGAGGTTTGTTAACACAGTGTCCAATGAAGGGCCAGATGTATACAAAATGGTGTCGTCTGCGTAGAGGTGGATCTGAGAGTCACCAGCAGCAAGAGTGACATCATTGATATACACAGAGAATAGAGTCGGCCCGAGAATTGAACCCTGTGGCACCCCCATAGAGACTGCCAGTGGTCCAGACAACAGGCCCTCAGATTTGACACATTGAACTCTATCTGAGAAGTAGTTGGTGAACCAGGCGAGGCAGTCATTTGAGAAACCAAGGCTATTTAGTCTGCCAATAAGAATGCGGTGATTGACAGAGTCGAAAGCCTTGGCCAGGTCGATGAAGACGGCTGCACAGTACTGTTTTTTATCGATCGCGGTTATAATATCGTTTAGGACCTTGAGCGTGGCTGAGGTGCACCCATGACCAGCTCGGAAACCAGATTGCATAGCGGAGAAGGTACGGTGGAATTCGAAATGGTCGGTGATCTGTTTGTTAACTTGGCTTTCAAATACTTTCGAAAGGAAGGGCAGGATGGATATAGGTCTGTAACAGTTTGGATCTAGAGTGTCACCCCCTTTGAAGAGGGGGATGACCGCGGCAGCTTTCCAATCTCTGGGGATCTCAGATGATACGAAAGAGAGGTTGAACAGGCTAGTAATAGGGCGGCAGGTAGCTTAGTGGGTAAGAGTGTTGTGCCAGTAACCGAAAGGTTGCTGGTTCTAATCCCCGAGCCGACTAGGTGAAAAATCTGTCGATGTGCCCTTAAGCAAGGCACTTAACCCTAATTGCTGATGTAAGTTGCTCTGGATAAGAGCGTCTGCTAAATGACTAAAATGTAAAATGTGTTGCTACAAATTTGGCGGCTAATTTTAGAAAGAAAGGGTCCAGATTGTCTAGCCCAGATGATTTGTAGGCGTCCAGATTTTGCAGCTCTTTCAGAACATCAGATATCTGAATTTTGGTGAAGGAGAAGCGGGGGGGGCATGGGCAAGTTGCAGTGGAGGGTGCAGCGCTGGTGGCCGGGGTAGGGGTTGCCAGGTGGAAAGCATGGCCAGCCGTAGCAAAATGCTTATTGAAATTCTCGATTATCATAGATTTATCGGTGGTGACAGTGTTTCCTAGCCTCAGTGCATTGGGCAGCTGGGAGGAGGTGCTCTTATTCTCCATGGACTTTACAGTGTCCCAAAACTTTTTGGAGTTAGTGTTACAGGATGCAAATTTCTGTTTGAAAAAGCTAGCCTTTGCTTTCCTAACTGATTGTGTATATTGGTTCCTGACTTCCCTGTAAAGTTGCATATCGCGAGGGCTGTTCGATGCTAATGCAGTACGCCACAGGATGTTTTTGTGCTGGTCAAGGTCAGTCAAGTCTGGGGCGAACCACGGGCTATATCTGTTCTAAGTTCTGAATTTTTTGAATGGGGCATGCTTATTTAAGATGGAGAGGAAAGCACTTTTAAAGAACAACCAGGCATCCTCTACTGACGGAATGAGGTTCAATCTCCATCCAGGATACCCAGGCCAGGTCAATTAGAAAGGCCTGCTCGCTGAAGTGTTTTAGGGAGCGTTTGACAGTGATGAGGGGTGGATGTTTGACCGCGGACCAATTACGGACGCAGGCAATGAGGCAGTGATCGCTGAGGTCCTGGTTGAAGACAGTGGAGGTGTATTTAGAGGGTAAATTAGTCAGGATGATATCTATGAGAGTGCCCATGTTTACGGATTTAGGGTTGTACCTGGTAGGTTCCTTGATAATTTGTGTGAGATTGAGGGCATCTAGTTTAGATTGTAGGACGGCCGGGGTGTTAAGCATATCCCAGTTTAGGTTACCAAGCAGTACGAACTCTGAGGATAGATGGGGGGCAATCAATTCACATATGGTGTCCAGGGCACAGCTGGGGGCTGAGGGGGGTCTGTAGCAAGCAGCAACAGTGTGAGACTTATTTCTGGAAAGGTGGATTTTTAGAAGTAGAAGCTCAAACTGTTTGGGCACAGACCTGGATAGTATGATAGAGCTCTGCAGGTATCACTACAGTAGATTGCAACTCCGCCCCCTTTGGCAGTTCTATTTAGACAGAAAATGTTGTAGTTGGGGATGGAAATTTCAAAGTTTTTGGTGGCCTTCCTAAGCCAGGATTCAGACACTGCTAGAACATCAGGGTTGGCGGAGTGTGCTAATGCAGTGAATAAGTCAAACTTAGGGAGGAGGCTTCTGATGTTAACATGCAAGAAACCAAGGCTTTTACGGTTACAGAAGTCAACAAATGATAGCGCCTGGGGAGTAGGAGTGATACTGGGGCTACAGGGCCTGGGTTAACCTCTACATCACCAGAGGAACAGAGGAGGAGTAGAATAAGGATACGGCTAAAGGATTTAAGAACTGGTCTTCTAGTGGGTTGGGTACAGAGAATAAAAGGGGCCGATTTCCGGGCGTTGTAGAATAGCTTCAGGGCATTATGTACAGACAAGGATATGGAAGGATATGAGTACAGTGGAGGTAAACCTAAGCGTAGGGTAACGATGAAAGAGATAGCATCACTGGAGGCACCGATTGAGCAGGTTTCCGCGTGTATGGGGGGTGGGACAAAGGAGCTATCTGAGGCAGGTTGAGCGGGACTGGGGGCTCTACAGTGAAATTGTATAATAAGAACTAACCGAAACAGCAATAGGCAAGGCATATTGACATGGGAGAGAGGCATAAAATAATCACAGGTGTTATTCGAGAGAGCTAAGACAACAACTGGTAATGGCAACGAAAGTTTGGGCTGAGGCTAAACAGATAAACAGGACAGATAAACAGGATGGGGTACCATGTAAAGGAACAGTCCAGCAGGCATCAGCTGTTTAGCTGAGTGATCATAAGGTCCAGTGAATAGCAAAAGGAGAGTCTGGGAGCAGTTCGATGGCTGCTATTGCACAGGGTAGCAGGAGGCACGGCTGTTGATTGCGTGTGCTAGCGGGCCGGGGCTAGCAGATTGATCTTCGTGGTTGTCGCAACAGGAAGCATATTGAAACCACATCAGACGATGACGTCGGCAGACCAGTCGTGATGGATCAGTGGGATCCGTGTCGACACTAGGAGGTCCCGTCCGGTTGACAGAGAGGTAGATAGCCGGGAGATGGGCCTGGCTCGAGGCTAGCTCAAGGCTAACTGGTGCTTGTTTCGGGGCAGTGGTGATTAGCCAATAACAACATCCATTCAGTTGCAGCTAGCTAGTTGCGATGATCCGGTGTTAAAGGTCCAGTGATTCAGGCAGAAAATCCGATATGTTCTGGGTCGATAGCGGCAGGCTGTGACAGGGTGGGACTTGGATCAACATTTGGAAAGGAGGGGACATTTCAGAGTCTGTACTGTACTGTGAACATTGACTTGGGGGAGAGATAGGGGTCCAGGAGATTATGTGTGTGTGGGGGAAAGGGAGATAGAGAGCGGTGGGAAGGTATCAGTAGCTTCACTTGATTATCTAAATCTCCATATAACTCAGTCTCTCTCAGGTCCCATCTGAGCACTTCGGACTGTCACTAAAGAAGCTGGTTTATAATTAGTTTAAAGCGTTAATGCTCATGAATATGTTTAGCTGATAACGTCACGCACTCATGAATATGTTGAAATCTTAAGCTGGTTATGTAAAGTTAATTACGACAGAGGCTCGTTTCTACACTCAGCGCCTTTTAGTACAGCCATAGAAATAGAACACATAGTGTGTCGATCAGCAGCAGTATTTCTACACTGAATATGGCCTCAAACGCTCATTCCACAACACACAAATATGAAAAGAGTTGAGACACATTCATAAAATTATACAAAGGCACACCTTCATTACCAGTCAATCTCTCTCTGCCCGCCCTGCATTCAAACACCACACTATATCTGATGCCCGACTGCACAGTTTGATAACATGTCACGCAACAATTGGTTGATGCACTTCAATGCCTTGAACTTGACCTATCTGTGGAAGGGCGTGTTCCTCTGCCCAGACGTTGCTGACGCATGCCAGATCTTACAACACCTGGATAGGTATTTTACGTATCAGATAACCACATCATATGTTATAGCAATCTGTCAGTCGATGACGTGGCACACAACCATTGGTTGATGCATGCAACGTCTGAGCAGGGGAGTGCGAACTTAGTGTGCTGTCCTCAGCATGAGGCCTAGTCTACCAACCACACCCAACCTCCTTTGGCCCTGCAGCGATGGGCTACATATGCTGCCACTAAACCGTGCAGTAATGTGTGTGTGTGTGTGTGTGTGTGTGTGTGCCACTCAGACAGGCCACAGCAGTAGGCAGAGAGAGGCAGCTGGGCGTGAGTAATGCATCCATCCAGGTCCAGGGAATCTGTGTCAGTCACACTACTGTGGGACTTCAGGCAGACACTCTCTCATTTACTCTCACTGTTAGATATACATACTTATACTGCTGGGTGATGTTCACTAACAAACACTCCTCCTATTCAAACATACCCATAGTCGGTCCAAAAGTGAGCCGTGGGAGTTGGTTTTTACAGTGAGTATGCAGCTGCATTGATTGTCCAGAACTCCTGCTGGAAAGGATGAGCAGTCAGTCACCAGATATAAGAGCAAAGGGAAGCAAATGGAACAGGCTAGGGCCCAAAGCTCTCAAGGCTTTTTGTCCCATTCAGTCCACTTCAAAGGGTCAGAGGTTAATTGGGTATCATCCTTATTCAATGGCCTATTATTAGGATAGAGGACTGCTGTATTAACTATTATTATGCCTATTTTAAAGGGGAGGCTTCCTGCGCTGACCTTTGAGCTATAAAAGGATCTCATGCTGCACGCTGCTCCCCCACAATGCATGCACGCTCTTCCCGCCATGCGGTGTCATTCCTGAACACGCAGTCAGCTATCGCGTGTCTTTTGCCTTACCCGCGACGTCAGTGATTTTTCAACATCCACGTAGCTTTGGGTTTTCTCTCTCATTTTTATATGCCACATTCATGTGCATATGGGAAACTCGTAAATGTCGGACATGTGTATAACTGGTTAGTTGTACACGTGCTGTGTTCAACGAATCAGTAAGTCGGACATTTCCGAGTTCTGACTAGCATATGAACGCGGCATCATAGGCTACTATCCACTCTTTATACCGGAGGAGCTAGGGCGCGTTCAGCAGGACGTTTTGGAACGTTCAGATAGAAATATGTTAGGCTTATGTAAAACAAATATGCCTCTCTGACATAAGGAATCACGTCGGCTATATTCACGGCATGTCTTTCTGCATCGTTCAAAAACGTTTGGCAACTGAACGTGGCCTTGGGATGCTGGATGAAATGTTTTGAGAGACAGCCGACGTCATGTGTAGGCGTGGTGTGTGCCAGCCGTGCCGGGTGTGCCTAAATAAACCCACAGCAGAAGAGTAAATCCAGTCTGGCCACCACGTTAACGTTTTAGTGGAATTTATTATACATTTTGCTCAACTTTACCCTCTGCTGCTAGTTAAAAATAGATTAATTAATAGCAGGCTATTTGAGAGGATACATTTGTAACTCGCCTGCCCGACGGAAAAAAGAGAACGCCCAGCTGTACAGCATCTCTCAAATTGAGGTGAGGTGTGCGCTCTCTCTCTCCAACTGATGTCGAGGCACCGCTGCAGTAGTGGATGAGAACCAGTCAACCAGAAACGTTTGACATCTCTATCGGAGCCCCAAACAGACAAGGCTACCTCTCACTTGATGACAGACAACATTTAAGTAAGTTTATATGTTGCTAGTTGGCCAGCCCCATAGCTCTGCTGGCTAATAAATGTGTGCTACCTGCGCAAACTCTGACAGGCAGGCAGACTGGATTCTGCAGAGAGCGACGTCCTCTGATATCCGGGTAGTGCTGCCATCACCTCGCTGTATGGATACATTCGGTTACATTGTATCTTCTTTACAGAGTCCGTGTTAATCACTGTCTAGGCTGCTGATGTTACAACACGGCCATAATAGACTACTGATCTTCAACTTTTTAGAGCCAGGCAGATCGGTCATAAATATGGATGCTGTGGTCTGCAGACGGTGGCGGCTAATAGCTGATGTGCTGGTGACATGTCCATCTCCAGCTACAGATGTTGTAAAAGGAAGTTGTGATTTATGGGTCTGGACTGTAGCCAACAACGGCTTGTTAACGTTGTGTATTACAATGGCTAGTAGCCTATATGACATTCCAGCTACAGATGTCGTAAATGGAAGTTGTGATTTATGGGTCTGGACTGTAGCCAACAACGGCTTGTTAACGTTGTTTATTACAATGGCTAGTAGCCTATATGACATTGGTGCATGGCATATGATGGCTAGGCACAATAGACTTGATCCTTAGTTAGGCTTTAAAATTGTCGTTATGTTGCCCATGCATCACCAGCCATATTCGGTTGACTATAGGGTGGAGATGACACGAGCACCGGTGGGGTGTGATCCCCAGAACTGGGAGCACGCTCGAGACTCTGGCTTATTGCATGGGCATATTTGCATGTCACGGGCTGTGCTCTTCATCATGGCACCCACCCCATGGCTAATGGTGGAACATTGTGTTTTTATCAGAATGACAGCCTACAACTGACTGATGTGGACACCGGCCTGATGGTGGGTTGGTACAGAGCTCTACACAGCCGAGGGTGTGGTTGGACACACACACATCCCAGCCAGCCTGTCAGACTAGCGGCGTAACCCCCCCCCCCTAATCTCCCACGCAGTCGGGGTGATTTGACAGCTCATTAGAGTTGGCCGCTTCGCATGTCTCTGTCGGGTCCCTTACAGTAGCCTGCTTCCCTCCACCACGCTGTCGAACGGGCTTAGTGTCTGTCGAGACTAGCCTACACTACAGTACTGTATATTGCCTGAAGCAGCTGGACGCACAGCCATTCCAGTAAATTCAACCACACCTTTGTTTCATCACAAAACCGGAGAGCAACCTCTATCTGCTGAAGTCCACAATGCATATAACAAACAGTTACATGACCTACAGCATGGTAAAGAAAGTTCATGTTTCCGACATTTTCGGACTACTAAACAACTATTGATTTATTTATTTTATTTATTTATTTTTGTCATTTAGCAGACGCTCTTATCCAGAGCGACTTACAGGAGCAATTAGGGTTAAGTGCCTTGCTCAAGGGCACATCGACAGATTTTTCACCTAGTCGGCTCGGGGATTAGAACCAGCGACCTTTCGGTTACTGGCACTATGCTCTTAACCACTAAGCTACCTGCCGCCCTAATAGATTTAGAACCATGAAGAGTTACTGCAAGTCGCAAAGAAAACAGGAGCTGCCTCCACTATTCCAGCACCATTTCAACTTCAACATCATCGAATCACCTCTGCTTAGTCTAATACAGTGACAACTAAAAGATACCAAAAACAATTTTGTCCAATCAACGGAAGCTAAATATGATGTGGCTGTCCATGGTTCTGATTTGTGTGTGTGTGTGTGTGTTCATGCAAGCAGAAAAAACGTATCCTACTTGTAGAGAAATGCCATCCTCCTCCATTTCATGTTGACAAAACGTCTATGACTCTGTCATACAGTACACACTTTTTTATTTTTTGCTGTCCTAGGCTGCCTGGCTAAAATGCTTGCTCGCTTGCCGAACTTCCTTTCATGGGCAAAGTTAGCTAGTTAACATTAGCCTTCTACATCTAGCTACATATTGAACTTCCATCCTCTCAGTCCAGGGCCACAATGTATTTTATGGTTGGATCAGAATCGCCATTATAATCATTGGCCAGTACAGATAATCCTTCTTTGCCTTCCCTCCCTCACATTTCACATGGAGAAGTACTCTCTCCTTGCTTTCAATGCTGAGTCTGTCTCCCTCACCTCACCTCTGACCTCCTAGCCCTCTCTCCTTAGCCTTGAGAAGGGTTAGAGGTAAGGGAGACCCTCCTAGAAGTAGCCTTCTAAAGGCAGTGATGGGTTTCAGGGCCACAGACAGACAGGCAGGCAGCAGTGTGGAGTGTACACAGAGAGACAGAGAGACAGAGACAGAGAGAGAGAGAGAGAGAGCACACAGACAGTCACATGATGGGCCTGCCAATGAGCACCCAAACACTGCCTATTAACGCAGAACATCCACACCTCTGCAGTACGATCACACCTTCTCCTATTTAAATCCCATACATTGCTGCATCACATTCAGCATAGTACCATCACATACAGTAGCCAGTAGTTCTTTAAATAGACTGCATTACTAGTGTTGATCCCTGCGCCCCCTCCCTTCACCAAACACTGCAGCGCCCATCATGACTTGGACTGTTGTGAATATAGTTGTTTGTATACATGGTTGCTGTGTATGAATGAATAGACAGTAGCTATGTGTTTGTATTGGTCCAGTTATTGTGTGTAAATAGGGCTGTTAGTGTGGTTGTATGTGTACAGGATCATTTTATGAGCGTATTGTGTCGTTTTGACGGTATGACAGTTGTTCATTGTTTTGAGTGAGTAGCATTGCAATTATAGTGTGGTTGTGTTTCAGTGTTATGTGTGTGTGAATTGGGTTGCTTTTATGTTATTCTTGCCACGTTACCCTGCTCTGCCTGCCGCCCCATAGGCCTTAGTTACCCAACCTCCTAGCCACTCAACCGTAGCCCTATAGTTACCCAACCTCCCAGCCACTGAACCATAGCCCTATAGTTACCCAACCTCCCAGCCACTGAACCATAGCCCCATAGTTAACCAACCTCCCAGCCACTGAACCATAGCCCTATAGTTACCCAACCTCCCAGCCACTCAAACCGTAGCCCCATAGTTATCCAACCTCCCAGCCACTCAACCGTAGCCCTATAGTTAACCAACCTCCCAGCCACTCAACCATAGCCCTATAGTTACCCAACCTCCCAGCCACTGAACCATAGCCCCATAGTTAACCAACCTCCCAGCCACTGAACCATAGCCCTATAGTTACCCAACCTCCCAGCCACTCAACCGTAGCCCCATAGTTATCCAACCTCCCAGCCACTCAACCGTAGCCCCATAGTTATCCAACCTCCTAGCCACTCAACCGTAGCCCTATAGTTACCCAACCTCCCAGCCACTGAACCATAGCCCTATAGTTACCCAACCTCCCAGCCACTGAACCATAGCCCCATAGTTAACCAACCTCCCAGCCACTGAACCATAGCCCTATAGTTACCCAACCTCCCAGCCACTCAACCGTAGCCCCATAGTTATCCAACCTCCCAGCCACTCAACCGTAGCCCTATAGTTAACCAACCTCCCAGCCACTCAACCATAGCCCTATAGTTACCCAACCTCCCAGCCACTGAACCGTAGCCCTATAGTTAACCAACCTCCCAGCCACTCAACCATAGCCCTATAGTTAACCAACCTCCCAGCCACTGAACCATAGCCCTATAGTTACCCAACCTCCCAGCCACTCAACCGTAGCCCCATAGTTATCCAACCTCCCAGCCACTCAACCGTAGCCCTATAGTTAACCAACCTCCCAGCCACTCAACCATAGCCCTATAGTTACCCAGCCACTCAACCGTAGCCCCATAGTTATCCAACCTCCCAGCCACTGAACCATAGCCCTATAGTTACCCAACCTCCCAGCCACTCAACCGTAGCCCCATAGTTATCCAACCTCCCAGCCACTCAACCGTAGCCCTATAGTTACCAAACCTCCCAGCCACTCAACCGTAGCCCTATAGTTACCCAACCTCCCAGCCACTCAACCGTAGCCCCATAGTTACCCAACCTCCCAGCCACTCAACCGTAGCCCCATAGTTACCCAACCTCCCAGCCACTGAACCGTAGCCCCATAGTTACCCAACCTCCCAGCCACTCAACCGTAGCCCCATAGTTACCCAACCTCCCAGCCACTGAACCATAGCCCTATAGTTACCCAACCTCCCAGCCACTCAACCGTAGCCCCATAGTTATCCAACCTCCCAGCCACTCAACCGTAGCCCTATAGTTAACCAACCTCCCAGCCACTCAACCATAGCCCTATAGTTAACCAACCTCCCAGCCACTCAACCGTAGCCCTATAGTTAACCAACCTCCCAGCCACTCAACCGTAGCCCTATAGTTAACCAACCTCCCAGCCACTCAACCGTAGCCCCATAGTTATCCAACCTCCCAGCCACACAACCGTAGCCCTATAGTTAACCAACCTCCCAGCCACTCAACCGTAGCCCTATAGTTAACCAACCTCCCAGCCACTCAACCGTAGCCCTATAGTTAACCAACCTCCCAGCCACTCAACCATAGCCCTATAGTTACCCAACCTCCCAGCCACTTAACGGGACCTTTGGAGTGCTACTGTCAGTTGTTCAGTCAGTCATTTAGTCAGTCAGTCAGAGCCTGGCCCGGGGCCTGGTGTCTGGCCGGACCTGTTCTGTAAATCCACAATCTGCTCGTTCTCTCTCTCTCTCTCTCTCTCTCTGCTGCAGCTTTTATCACAGCACAACCTGCTGAGACCACAGACTAGAGTGTGTGTGTGTAAGAATCCTGTTGTGAATCCTGTTGTGAATTAATGTACAGTGTGCTGAGTGTGCCTCCCTCCCTCCCTCTTATAGGTTAATTCCCAGCCCAGACAGTATTTGTGTATAAGGGTATGTCTGTTTGTTATGTGTACTTATTGGGTTTTCTCTCTCTGTCTCACTTCAGTCACTTTGGCTAAGTTAATGTTTAACCCACCCGTGTCTGTGGGGTCTGTTCTGCAGACTGGCCTTGAGGTGGTCCATCTGTGTTTTGGCCATGAGCTCTCAGCTCCGGACCAGTCTAAAGGCATCTGCCTTCACTGCTGCACTACTATTGCATTGAACTTACCAGGTTATAGCTGCTACTGTCATCTCTGGAGTGTGGAAATACCACCTTTACTACAATGTAGTACAGAGTTCACTATGTCAGTTATGGTACCACAACAAAGGCTCACTCAGTACAATGTAGTGTGAACCACAGTTAAGGCCTCAGGGACCGGAGGCTCCGGAAGGAAGGTGTGTTCTGAATAATACTACATTGTTTGGCTTAGGTTCAGGTTGGTCGTTTGGCTCAGCCGGTTCTGCTCGGGTTCTGGGTTCTCCTGTGTGGTGAGTATCAGTATTGAGGCATAGCTTCAGTTGTTGGTGAGACTGAGAGGCAGTGTCTGGGTCTCACATCTTAACTTTTGATGGTAGTATTTGGGTATTGGTTCTGTCAGTTCCTAGTGTTTTGGGTATTGGTTCTGTCAGTTCCTAGTGTTTTGGGTATTGGTTCTGTCAGTTCCTAGTGTTTTGGGTATTGGTTCTGTCAGTTCCTAGTGTTTTGGGTATTGGTTCTGTCAGTTCCTAGTGTTTTGGGTATTGGTTCTGTCAGTTCCTAGTGTTTTGGGTATTGGTTCAGTGTGATGCTTGGCTGTTTGGAGGATTTGGGAGAGTTCAAAAGGGAAGCCTCTCTCTCACTCTGTCTCTGTCTCTCAATTCAATTCAATTTCAATTTAAGGGCTTTATTGGCATGGGAAACGTATGTTAACATTGCCAAAGCAAGTGAAGTAGATAGTAAACAAAAGTGAAATGAACAATAAATATTAACAGTAAACATTACACTCAGAAGTTTCAAAAGAATTAAGACATTTCAAATGTCTCTCTCTCTCTCTCTCTCTCTCTCTCTCTCTCTGGTGGTGTTGTGAAAGTCCTCAGAAGTATTTCCTCATTAAGTCTCCTACTCTGTTGTGTAATTAAGCCCTTTGTTGTGTCTGATTAGTAGATTGTCTCATTTAACTAGCTAGGCCTCAGAGGAGTTCGCTCTGGCTCCCTTTCATATGACTGACTGTTTAAACATGGAACCATGATCACATGATTGCTATAAATAGAGTGTGTATACACTACAGTGGGTGTATGAATTAGTTGTGTAGACTATAGTGAGAGTTATGGTCCTGTTAAATGCAGAGGATTGATGGTAATGGTACTATATTATGAACTGGTAGACTCTCTCATGAAATAGGTTTTTAGAGACTTCAAATGAAGGTCAAATAACTCCATATGGTTGGATGAGGTCTGTATGTAAACGTTAACCGTGATGGGTAGGCTTGAGAGAGTTCCTCATAAAACAACACAGCTTCCGATATTGCATTCCTGCTTTTCCATGGACCTTAAAAACACACACACACACTCAGTGGGGATGGGGATGGAAACATCTGTTCCAGGGATGTGAGGTGGATGTATTTGATGTGTTACTATGCTGCCAGGGTTAAGGAGGGGACCCCCTCCCCCATATGTTACTAGGCTGCCAGGGTTAAGGAGGGCCCCGTGCCCCCCCCCCCCATATGTTACTAGGCTGCCAGGGTTAAGGAGGGGACCCCCTCCCCCATATGTTACTAGGCTGCCAGGGTTAAGGAGCCCCCCCCCCCCCCCCCCCCCCCTTTGGCTGCCAAGGTTAAGAAGGGGAACCCCCCCCCCCCCCCCCCCCCCCCCCCCCCCCCCCCTCCTATGTTTTACTAGGCTGCCAAGGTTAAGGAGGGGTACACCCACAAACACACATTGAGCTACCGGCTGAGGCATGCTTCTCATCTTGTTGGTACTGATTGCGCAAACAAATGATTCAACAAACATGGGATACACGTTCCCTCAAAATATGAGCTTCTGGACTCATTCTGGTGACACTATTTGTGTTAGTGTGAATAGATGCTAGTGTGAATAAAAGTATGTTCTTTGTATGTGACTGTGGCTGTTTCTTCCTCTCTCTCTCCGTCCCTCTCTCGCTCTCTGTCCCTCTCTCTCTGTGTGTCCCTCTCTCTCTCTCCATCCCTCTCTCTCTCTGTGTGTGAATGGGAGAATGAGATCACTGCTTTCCCCTCCACTCTGTTCCGTGACATCATCATAGCAACGGAAGGGATGGAGGTAGGAAATGTAAGAGAGGAGGAGGAGGGGGTTCAGTGTGTCCTGGCCTTTGCAAGCTGTTACAACAGACAAATCTCTCACTCTTGTTATCTTTTTATTTTAGTGATCCAATTGACATTTTAGTCATTTAGCAGACGTTCTTATCCAGAGCGACTTACAATTAGTGAGTGCATACATTTTTCATACTGGCCCCTCTCTATCTCCACTTCTCCTTCCCTCTCCACCTCCCCCTCTCTCCCTCACTCTCTCCATCTCTTCCTCGTTTCCTGTATTCACCCAGTGCGTGCCTGTTCATTCTGTCTATCGGTGTGTGGTAGAGAGCTCCCCTGCCCCCAGCAATGCATTTCTGACTCTCAGTCAACCTCGTCTGAGAGATGGTCTTTAGATAAAGAAATCATGTTGTCTGTGTGTGTTTAGTGTGAGTGCAACACAGATATTTGTGTGTGTGTGTGTGTGTCGAAAGGTCGGAAATCCTCCGGGAGGCTCTTTCCTCCTTCCCAGGGTCCTTTGCTGTGGGATGAGTGAAGTTTAAGAGCAAGGGTAGTCTTGGTAACAATTGCTGCCATCTGTGTGAGTGGTGTGTTTCTACACTTGCATGTGTGAAAGGATGGAGCAGCATGCGGTCTTAATGCTTCATCTCCTTCATGTTGAATTATTTATTTAATACTCAGCAGAATGGGAAGGTTACTGGGTTACACTGGAACACTTCCACAGCATTATGAATCTAGAAAGAGACACTTAAGTCCATTCTCAATGTGGACATTCCTGGACAAGAGGGTACTCTTGATATATTCTGTCATACTGTATAATAAAACCTCTCACATCTGCAGCCAACCCTTAGACAAAATGGCTCCCTATAAGAACTACAAAGACATTTCCTTGTGGCTCAGTTGGTAGAGCATGGCACTTGCAATACCAGGGGTTGTGGGTTCGATTCTCACAGGGGACCAGTATGAAAAATGTTTGCACTCAATACTGTAAGTCGCTCTGGATAAGAGCGTCAGCTAAATGACAAAAAAATATTAAATGTAAAGAGAAGGGCAAGGAGAGAGTAGAGTGGGGCGGGATCAGGGGAGGACAGACAGAAGGGTGGTAGGTTTGAGGATAAGGATAGGGGACAGGCCAGCAGGGGTCTGAGGTGAATGTGACTCCCTCTGATAGCTGAAGAGGGCTTGGGGTGAGGAGAGACTGAATCATTTGTAGTAGTCCCAGACAGACCAATAGTAGAGTGTTCTCTTGGATGTAGTAGTAGAGGGTTCTCTTGGCTGTAGTGTTCTCTTGGATGTAGTAGTAGAGGGTTCTCTTGGCTGTAGTGTTCTCTTGGATGTAGTAGTAGAGGGTTCTCTTGGCTGTAGTGTTCTCTTGGATGTAGTAGTAGAGGGTTCTCTTGGCTGTAGTAGCAGAGGGTTCTCTTGGATGTAGTAGAAGAGGGTTCTCTTGGCTGTAGTAGTAGAGTGTTCTCTTGGATGTAGTAGTAGAGGGTTCTCTTGGATGTAGTAGTAGAGGGTTCTCTTGGATGTAGTAGTAGAGGGTTCTCTTGGCTGTAGGGTTCTCTTGGCTGTAGGGTTCTCTTGGCTGTAGGTTCTCTTGGCTTTAGTAGTAGAGGGTTATCTTGGCTTTAGTAGTAGAGGGTTCTCTTGGCTGTAGTAGTAGAGGGTTCTCTTGGCTGTAGGGTTCTCTTGGATGTAGTAGTAGAGGGTTCTCTTGGCTGTAGGGTTCTCTTGGCTGTAGTAGTAGAGGGTTCTCTTGGCTGTAGGGTTCTCTTGGATGTAGTAGTAGAGGGTTCTCTTGGCTGTAGGGTTCTCTTGGCTGTAGTAGTAGAGGGTTCTCTTGGCTGTAGGGTTCTCTTGGCTTTAGTAGTAGAGGGTTCTCTTGGCTTTAGTAGTAGAGGGTTCTCTTGGCTTTAGTAGTAGAGGGTTCTCTTGGCTTTAGTAGTAGAGGGTTCTCTTGGCTTTAGTAGTAGAGGGTTCTCTTAGCTTTAGTAGTAGAGGGTTCTCTTGGCTGTAGTGTTCACTTGGCTGTAGTAGTAGAGGGTTCTCTTGGCAGTAGGGTTCTCTTGGCTTTAGTAGTAGAGGGTTCTCTTGGCTGTAGGGTTCTCTTGGCTGTAGTAGTAGAGGGTTCTCTTGGCTGTAGGGTTCTCTTGGCTTTAGTAGTAGAGGGTTCTCTTGGCTGTAGGGTTCTCTTGGCTGTAGTAGTAGAGGGTTCTCTTGGCTGTAGGGTTCTCTTGGCTTTAGTAGTAGAGGGTTCTCTTGGCTGTAGGGTTCTCTTGGCTGTAGTAGTAGAGGGTTCTCTTGGCTGTAGGGTTCTCTTGGCTGTGGTAGTAGAGGGTTCTCTTGGCTTTAGTAGTAGAGAGTTCTCTTGGCTGTAGGGTTCTCTTGGCTGGAGGGTTCTCTTGGCTGTAGGGTTCTCTTGGCTTTAGTAGTAGAGGGTTCTCTTGGCTGTAGGGTTCTCTTGGCTGTGGTAGTAGAGGGTTCTCTTGGCTTTAGTAATAATAAAATAATAATAATAATAGGCCATTTAGCAGACGCTTTTATCCAAAGCGACTTAGTCATGCGAGCTACAGAGGACCACAGTAGTAGAGAGTTCTCTTGGCTGTAGGGTTCTCTTGGCTGTAGGGTTATTTTGGCTGTAGGGTTCTCTTGGCTGTAGTAGTAGTAGAGGGTTCTCTTGGCTATAGGGTTTCTTGGCTTTAGTAGTAGAGGGTTCTCTTGGCTGTAGGGTTATTTTGGCTGTAGGGTTCTCTTGGCTGTAGGGTTCTCTTGGCTGTAGTAGAGGGTTCTCTTGGCTGTTGGGTTCTCTTGGCTGTAGTAGTAGAGGGTTATCTTGGCTGTAGTAGTAGTAGTAGTAGTAGAGTATAAAAAAAAAAATAAAAAAAAATAGAGTGTTCTCTTGGCTGTAGTAGTAGTAGAGTGTTCTATTGGCTGTAGTAGTAGTAGAGGGTTCTCTTGGCTGTAGTAGAGGGTTCTCTTGGCTGTAGGGTTCTCTTGGCTGTAGGGTTCTCTTGGCTGTAGTAGTAGAGGGTTCTCTTGGCTGTAGTAGTAGTAGATGGTTCTCTTGGCTGTGGTAGTAGTAGAGGGTTCTCTTGGCTGTGGTAGTAGTAGAGGGTTCTCTTGGCTGTAGTAGTAGAGGGTTCTCTTGGCTGTAGTAGTAGTAGAGGGTTCTCTTGGCTGTAGGGTTCTCTTGGCTGTAGTAGTAGAGGGATCTCTTGGGTGTAGGGTTCTCTTGGCTGTAGTAGTAGTAGAGGGTTCTCTTGGCTGTAGGTTTTCTTGGCTTTAGTAGTAGAGGGTTCTCTTGGCTGTAGGGTTATCTTGGCTGTAGGGTTCTCTTGGCTGTAGTAGTAGAGGGTTATCTTGGCTGTAGTAGACCCACTCCCAGACTGTCCTGGCCAAACAGATTTTTATGCACAATGGAGCCTCTAAGCGGATCCCAGGGAGAGGAATTTGATTTTGATAAATGGCCAGAGATCATTTTACATTATAGTCATTTAGTAGACACTCTTATCCAGAGCGACTTACAGTTAGTGAGTGCATACATTTTTCATACTGGCCCCCCGTGGAAAACGAACCCACAACCCTGGCGTTGCAAGCGTCATGCTCTACCAACTGAGCTACAGGGGACTACAGGAGATCTGCCAGTTTGGTCTCTGTGGGTGTTGAAAGTGTGTGTGTATGTGGAGGTGTGTTTGCGTGAGTGTGTGTGTGTGTGTTGAAATTGTGTGTGTGTGTGCACGTGTGCAGGGTCATCATGCACCCCAAAAATCTGAGTGGACACAATGTATGTTAGGATGTCAGGGGGATGGTCCGACGCGGGGCTAGGACCCCTGTCCTGAAGTTGGAGAATTTAGCATTTTTCAAACACCTGAAACAGCTTTTTTTCTGTAATCTAGAGCCATAATCATTATGCTTAATTCTATGTCAAAAAATATATATTTTTTCTGCATATCTAAGCATACCTCTTGAGCTGTAGAGATATCCTCCTGACTGGTGGTTATTTTTTAAAGAAACAAAATATGCTTCTCTGCATCTCTGGGTGAAAGATTGAAAGGAATGTGGGTCTTGTTCAGTACATCTAGTAATTGAGTGCTTTTCTAAAGTTTACCAACCGTGCCAGCAGGCATGCCAGCTAAAGTAGTTAGACAAGCTAGCTACTCTAACTTGATTGCCTTAAATGGCTTCTTGGTAGCTAGTTATGAGGTTGGGACATTGGGAACCTATCTGGGCTAGCTAAAGCCAACTTCATAAAATTGCAAAGTGGCTAGTAGAATTACAGAGAAACAACAAACATATATAGATTCTTCAAATAGCCACCCTTTGCCTTGATGACAGCTTTGCACACGCTTGGCAACCAGCTTCATGAGGTAGTCACCTGGAATGCATTTCAATTAACAGGTGTGCTTTCTTAAAAGTTAATTTGTGGAATTTCTTTCCTTCTTAATGCGTTTGAGCCAATCAGTTGTGTTGTGAGAAGGTAGGGGGGGGGTATACAGAAGATAGCCCTATTTGGTAAAAGACCAAGTCCATATTGGCTTTAGCTAGCCCAGATATTTGAAGAATCTCAAATATAAAGCATATTTTGATTTGTTTAACACTTTTTTGGTTACTACATGATTCCATATGTGTTATTTCATAGTTTTGATGTCTTCACTATTATTCTACAATGTAAAAAATAGTAAAAATAAAGAAAAACTCTTGAATGAGTAGGTGTGTCCAAACTTTTGACTGGTAGTATGTATGTCTGTGTGTTTTTTTAAACAGGACAAATCTGAGGGGGGCACTTGACCCTATGGGCATGACGCTTCTGCACGTGTGTGTGTGTGTGTGTGGTGTGTGTGTGTGTGTGTGTGTGTGTGTGTGTGTGTGTGTGTGTTTCTAGGTCTCAAAATATAATATTTTACTCAGGCTCCACTGTGCTGGCCTATGATTTTATTTACACACAATGCTTGTTGGCTCTCATATCTAAGGCATTCACTTTTTGTAGTAATGTAATGTAGCCTCTAACAATGAGTATTGGTAAATGAACACAATAATATCATGACTGTGGATAGTCAGATTAATATAATAGTTTGTTTAAAACGTTTACATGCTTTGCAAGAAGAACAATTTCCCTAATAATCCTGTTTCCATGGACACATCTGAAATCAGGCTACCTGATGGGACTTAAATCACCAATCAGAATAAACGTTCTACCACAGCGACCATGTTATTTTGGGGAAGCCTATAAAGTTTGTATGGGAAAACTATTTCTACGATGAATACTTTGTTTTTCCGAACATAAGAGGGAGGCTTGAGCTACTGATGCTGGCACATCAAATATACCGCTGGAATGCCGATTTAAGCTGTTTACATGTCCTAATAATTTGATAGATTGTTTTGAAAACCAGGTGTTTTAATCGGCGTATGCTTACTTCGATTTTGACCTTACGCCGATTTAAGATAAGCAGAGTAAGGTGTTTACATGACTACAGCCATAATCAGTTTAATATCAAATTATTAGTGTGCATGTAAACATACTCAGTGCTGTTACTAATCTGTTGTTCCTCTCTCTCTTGTTCTCTCTTTCTCTCACTCTCTTGCTCTCTCTATCTCTCGCTCTCTCTCTGCCTCTCTCTTTGCCTCTCTGCAGGACAGACAGGGATCCCCAGCCAGTGATGTAGATGAGGATGATGAAGGTGCATAAGAAAGACTCTGTGGGGAGAAAGAGCAGCGCCTGACTCTCCTCTCCTCCACTTACTCATCCACTCTGAGCTGTGCCCTCTGATTGGGCAGACGATGTCATCGACCACGCCCACCTCAGCCCCGCATCCCAAGAAGACGCGCGGGAAGGAGAGGACTGAGGTCATGGGCGACTTTGTGCAGACAGCCAATGAGGAGCTTCGGAACAAGCTGATGGACATCCAGATAGAACTGCAGCAGGAGAAGGGCAAGGTAATAAGGATGAAATTGATGATGTTGATAATGATATCATTATCTGTTGGTCTTTTGTGATCTACTGTTAATGATACTATTAAGAATAATTATATCTCTTTTTCCTATTCCCTCCTCTCCCTCCCCTCTCCTCTCCTCTCCTCTATCCCACCCCCCACCCTCCTCTCCTCCCCTCTCCTCTATCCCACCCTCCACCCTCCTCTCTCCTCCCCTCTCCTCTATCCCACCCTCCTCTCTCCTCCCCCCTCTTCTCCCTCCCCTCTCCTCTCCTCTATCCCACCCCCCACCCTCCTCTCCCTCCCCTCTCCTCTATCCCACCCTCCACCCTCCTCTCTCCTCCCCTCTCCTCTATCCCACCCTCCTCTATCCCTCTCCCTCCCCTGGGTAGGTCTCTAAGCTGAGAGAGCGTCTCCAGGAGCAGAGGCAGGTCAGGGAACTGGAACAACACAAACACACGGTGGTCCTCACCGACCTCCGCGCCAAACTGCACGAGGAGAAGCTCCGCGAGCTGGCCACGGCCCGCGAGGCGTTGGCACGGCAACACGAGTTGGAGCTGGCGCGTACCATTAAGATCCGTGACGGGGAGGTACAGCGGCTGCAGGGGCTGGTCCATGCACTGAGAGACGGTGCTGCTGACAAGCTGAAGAGTGCCCTGCTAGGGGAGGCCCGGGAGGAGGCCAGGAGGTCCTTCGATGGGGAGAGACTCAAACTGCAGCAGGAGGTAGGCTGGCCTGGGGGCTCAACTTGAATCCAACCTGCATTGTGGTATTTGCGCAGTCGTTTTTTCCCCCATGGTCAATCAGAATCCTAGCCTGGTTTGGGTTAGGCTACTGTTAATTCTTTCTACTACCAGCTAGACTCCCCTCACAGGTAGATGCCTTGTTTTCAGAATAAGAAGTTTCAAGCCTGTGATTTAGTCTGGTTTTGAAAGTTGTTGTTCAGGGTGACTTTTTTGTTTCTAAAAGTCATGTGACATTACTATCTCCCGAATCATCTTAATTGCTTCAGGGGGCGTATACTTGGAAGTGTATACTAGATGGGAAGTGTAACGTTATACACTAACTGTGTTCCCCCCCAGATCCTGAAGCAGGAGACTGCACGGAAGCAGGTTGAGGAGGCTCTGTCTAACGCGCTGCAGGCAGACAAGGCCAAAGCAGCCGACCTCCGAACAGCCTATCAGCAGCACCAGGATGAGATCAACCGCATCAAGAGAGACTGTGAGAGAGACATCCGCCGGGTGGTGAGTTAATTGTAACATGACCGCACACCACGTGCCTGTCTGCAAACCATAACCCCGATCACAAATCATAACTCCTGATCGATCCTAACCCACATCACACAAGTCCATGTGCAAGAATGGAGTGTCTGGTCTGGTGAGTGACCTGAAAGTGAACCAAACTCCAAACCAAATGATGACCATAAACCATTAACCATAGCTAACTGAAATGGGAACCACTGTCTAACAATAGACTTATTCATCAGATCTCGTTCTGCGGAGTTCCCTGCATGCACTTCTACTGAAGTTTATCTTGAACTTACTGTAATAATCTGATAGGGTAGAGTGCAATTCAAGCTCTCTATGTTAATCTCCAGCTGTATTTAACAGTGACCCAGATAACACAGAGACTGATTAACTACAGCACAGAAGAACAGTGAAAAGACAGGGCCATAAAAGAGATCTCTGTAGCTGCTTTACAGCCACGGCTATATTATAGAGGGGGATAGGAAGAGAGAGGGGAGGGAGATGAGGAAAGGATGAGAGAAGAGAGGTGAACTAAGATTCATGAATTAATTTCTCTCAACAATGTTGGTGTCGTATAATTTGTTGGTGCACTGGTCTGTGGTTGGAGGAGAATGAGCTGGTTTTGAAGGAGGAGAGCAATGGGTTGGAGAAGGAGAGTGAGAGCAGCTAGGGATAAGGCTAAAGAGTTCCAGAGTGAAGGTGTGTCACCTTTTCTCTCTGTCTCGTTCTCACCATCACACTATCTCTCTCTCGCTGTCCTTCTCTCTCTCTCCTCTCCTCACTATATTTGTCTCTCTTTCTCTCCTTCTCTCCATCCTCTCATCTCTCCTCACTATATTTGTCTCTCTCTCCTTCTCTCCATCCTCCCATCTGTCCTCTCACTAGATGGATGAGTTGAAGGGGAAGGACCGTGTGGTGTCAGCGTTGGAGAGGGAGCTGGGGGTGCAGGCTGGTTACGCCCAGAAGCTCCAGCTGCAGAAGGAGGCTCTGGATGAACAGCTGGGTCACGTCAGGGAGGCAGAGAGGCACCACAGCAGCCCCAAGAGAGAGGTGGTCCCTGCCCTGGGGGACACCGCTGACTACCTCAACAACCAGGTGAGGACAGCCCCATGAAAATACACACGCACGCAGGCAGGTACGCACAAACACAAGCATGCGTACACACACACACACACACAAATACACAGGTACACGCAAGCACACACTCGTGCACACACACATTTTACTGGCATGGCATTTTCCAAAAACCTGGTGGTCAACTTATTAACACATTGTCTTCGTCCTTAATAATCTCCTCCATGTTCTGTCTCTCTCTCTCCTCTCTCTCTCTCTCTCTCGCTCTCTTTCTCTATCTTTCCGTCTCCCCCCCCCTCTCTCTCTCCATCTTTCCACCCCCCCCCCTCTCTCTCTCTCTCTCTCAGGAGGTGGAAGAACTTCGCGATGCGAGGAGGTTCCAGCTGAAGATAGCTGAGCTCCACTCTGTTACCAGGAAGCTGGAGGACAGAAACACACTGCTGGCTGATGAGAGGAATGAACTGGTGAGGAACACACACACCTGCAGAAAATCACTTGGTGGATAACGGAACATTGTAGGGACATTATGGGAACATTGAAGGGATGTTATGGAAATATGCAGGTATATGGAAATAACTTGTCAGTCTACATATCTCATCTATCGATTTCTGTATTTTTCTCTTTCTTTCTCCTTCCATCTCTCTCGCTCTCTCTCTCCTTCCATCTCTCCCTTCATCTGTCAGTTGAAGCGGGTGCGTGAGGCAGAGAGTCAGATGAAGCCGCTCTTAGATAAATATAAGAGGATGTCGAAGAAGAACAATGATCTCCAACAGACTCTGCAGCGCATGGAGGATAAACTCAAGAACCTCAGCAGAGGGAACGCAGAGATGGTGAGGGAACCAGACATAACCTTCTTGGTCTACTTTGCTTGTCTCCTTTCCTTGTCTCATCTCCTTCATGACTAGGGGAGGACAATGTTGATAAGTGTAACAGAAGTATAGGCAATGCTTTGATATTTCTGAATGGATTAAGAGGAACCACATTGTAGGGACCATGTGAAATGGAGGCAAAGGGAGACCTCCAGTGGTCATCTAAGGAAAGGGCAAGAGCCCTACAAGAGAGGTTAGCCAGTATCTGTGTGAATCAGTATTTGCATTTCTCCTTGATTACAAAGCCACATTGCACAAGTTAAAGTAATGAGTCACGGTTCAGGAAATGCTGTCTCTCTCTCTCTCTCTCTCTCAATTCAATTCAATTCAATTCCAGGGGCTTTATTGGCATGGGAAACATATGTTTACATTGCCAGAGCAAGTGAAATGGATAAACCAAAGTGAAATAAACAATAAAAAGTGAACAGTAAATATTACACTCAGAAGTTCCAAAATAATAGAGACATTTCAAATGTCATATTATGTCTATATACAGTGTTGTAACGATGTGCAAATAGTTCAAGTACAAAAGGGAAAATAAATAAACATAAATATGGGTTGTATTTACAATGGTGTTTGTTCTTCACTGGTTGCCCTTTTCTTGTGGCAACAGGTCACAAATCTTGCTGCTGTGATTGCACACTGTGGTATTTCACCCAATAGATATGGGAGTTTATCAAAATTGGATTTGTTTTCGAATTCTTTGAGGGTCTGTGTAATCTGAGGGAAATATGTGTCTCTAATATAGTAATACATTTGGCAGGAGGTTAGGAAGTGCAGCTCAGTTTTCACCTTATTTTGTGGGCAGTGTGCCTACGGCGACCTTTCTCAATAGCAAGGCTATGCTCACTGAGTCTGTACATAGTCAAAGCTTTCCTTCATTTAGGGTCAGTCACAGTGGTCAGGTATTCTGCCACTGTGTACTCTCTGTTTAGGGCCAAATAGCATTCTTATGTTTTTCCCCAAACACCACTTTCCATCAATTTGTAAAGCAGACCCCCATGCTAAATTGAGTCAAAAGCTTCAAAGCATCTCTCTCTCGACCTCACACTCGAGTCGCTTACCCCTGAGAATGTCTCTCTCCTCACCTCCATCTCTCTCTTTCCCCCTCCCTCTCTCTCTTCCCCTCTCCCCTCCCTCTCTCCCCCTCCCTCCCTCCCTCCCTCCCTCCCCCCCCCCTCTCTCTCCCCCTTCCCTCCCTCTCTCTCCTCTCTCCCCTCTCCCTCCCTCCCCCCCTCCCTCTCTCTCTCCCCTCTCTCTCTCCCCCCCCCCTCCCTCCCTCTCTCCCCCTCCCTCCCTGAGTCAAAAGCTTCAAAGCATCTCTCTCTCGACCTCACACTCGAGTCGCTTACCCCTGAGAATATCTCCCTCCTCACCTCCATCTCTCTCTTTCCCACTTCCTCTCTCCCTTCCCCCTCCCTCTCTCCCTTCCCCCCTCCCTCTCTCCCTTCCCCCCCCCTCTCACCCCCTTCCCCCCCCTCTCACCCCCCTTCCCCCTCTCTCCCTCCCACCCCCTTCCCCTTCTCTCCCTCCCTCCTCTCTCTCCCTCCTTCCCTCTCTCTCTTCCTCCCTCCCTCTCCCCCTCAGAAGGAGAAAGTGCACTCTTGTACCCAGCAGCCTCAGCAGCTGAAGAGGCCTACCTCACTGACAGACCTAAGTCAGGCCCACGAGGAACAGGAAGTAGAGTTCCTCAAGCTGCAGGTTGCCGAGCAACGAGGCATCATCGACGAGCTCACGCAGGTCAGGGAGACACTCCGTCATTGCAGTTTACCTGATCTTTAAACCACCAGAACTTCCAAACAACAGGGCATTGACAGAATCATATTGTAGTGAGATTAGTGAATATGGGCACCCGCCTAGCTCATGGGTTCTTAAACAAACAGGCAGACATGTTGTTGTATTTTACTACAGTACATTGAAACAGTGGAATAAAATGTCTGCCGCTAGGGTGAGTGTACTGTTTGGTAACATGTTGGTCTTCTGTACCCTTGGGCTGCCCTCCAGACCCTCTCGCCAGCCAGCCACTCACTGCCCTCTCTCTGCTCTAATCACCTTTAATCTGAGCCTGTTGCTAATTTACTCATTAGCACAGTGATGTTCTGCTGGCTCCTTGCTGCTGATTTTATAGGGGAATGGAAACACTAGGATGTATTACCCCAGCTAACTAACTGTAAATCGCCATATTGGCATTGTTGCTTCACTGGCAGGAGAGAAAAATTTGGAACTCTCCCAAAATGGCTGAATTTACCGAGTAGCTCCAAGTCCATTTCCGGAGACCTTCTCCCTTACCTCACCTCGCTCATCAACACATCCTTGACCGCTGACTATGTCCCTTCCGTCTTCAAGAGAGGGAGAGTTGCACCCCTTCTCAAAAAACACTCGATCCCTCCGATGTCAACAACTACAGACCAGTATTCCTTCTTTCTTTTCTCTCCAAAACTCTTGAGCGTGCCGTCTTTAGCCAACTCTCTTGCTATCTCTCTCAGAATTACCTTCTTGATCCAAACCAGTCAGGTTTCAAGACTGGTCATTCAACTGAGACTGCTCTTCTCTGTGTCACGGAGGCTCTCCGCACTGCTAAAGCTAACTCTCTCTCCTCTGCTCTTGTCCTTCTAGACCTGTCTGCTGCCTTTGATACTGTGAACCATCAGATCCTCCTCTCCACCCTCACTGAGTTGGGCATCTCCGGCGCGGCTCACTCTTGGATTGCGTCCTACCTGACAGGTCGCTCCTACCAAGTGGCGTGGCGAGAATCTGTCTCCGCACCACGTGCTCTCACCACTGGTGTCCCCCAGGGCTCAGTTCTAGGCCCTCTCCTATTCTCGCTATACACCAAGTCACTTGGCTCTGTCATATCCTCACATGGCCTCTCCTATCATTGCTACGCAGACGACACACAACTAATCTTCTCCTTTCCCCCTTCTGATAACCAGGTGGCGAATCGCATCTCTGCATATCTGGCAGACATATCAGTGTGGATGACGGATCACCACCTCAAGCTGAACCTCGGCAAGATGGAGCTGCTCTTCCTCCCGGGGAAGGACTGCCCGGTTCCATGATCTCGCCATCACGGTTGACAACTCCGTTGTGTCCTCCTCCCAGAGTCTAAAGAGCCTTGGCGTGACCCTGGACAACACCCTGTCGTTCTCCGCTAACATCAAGGCGGTGACCCGATCCTGTAGGTTCATGCTCTACAACATTCGGAGTACGACCCTGCCTTACACAGGAAGCGGCACAGGTTCTAATCCAGGCACTTGTCATCTCCCGTCTGTATTACTGCAACTCGCTGTTGGCTGGGCTCCCTGCCTGTGCCATTAAACCCCTACAACTCATCCAGAATGCCGCAGACCGTCTGTTGTTCAACCTTCCCAAGTTCTCTCACGTCACCCCGCTCCTCCGCACACTTCACTGGCTTCCAGTTGAAGCTCGCATCTGCTACAAGACCATGGTGCTAGCCTATGGAGCTGTGAGGGGAACGGCACCTCCGTACCTTCAGGCTCTGATCAGTCCCTACACCCAAACGAGGGCATTGCGTTCATCCACCTCTGGCCTGCTGGCCCCCCTACCTCTGCGGAAGCACAGTTCCCGCTCAGCCCAGTCAAAACTGTTCGCTGCTCTGGCACCCCAATGGTGGAACAAGCTCCCTCACGACGCCAGGACAGCAGAGTCACTCACCACCTTCCGGAGATACTTGAAACCCCACCTCTTTAAGGAATACCTGGGATAGGATAAAGTAATCATTCTACCCCCCCTTACCCCACCCCCAAAAAAAGAAAAACATATTGTAAAGTGGTTATCCCACTGGCTATAAGGTGAATGCACCAATTTGTAAGTCGCTCTGGATAAGAGCGTCTGCTAAATGATGTAAATGTAAGTCTGAGAATTAGTTTATATCAGAGAATGAAATAATGTTAGTTAGGGAGCCAATAAACCTACTGAAGCTGTTCATGTTTGAGCAGATCGTTGCCCCAGATCAGAGTTTGTTCTCGTAGCAGTAACAATACAGATATATCCGCCTGAAACACCTCAGCTAGAGGGTCGGCGTAGCGGTGACACAAACTGGTGTGAGTTCGGATGCTGCCAGATAATGGCTAGAGTGTGTGTGTTGTAGAGAGATGGTGGTGATACAGCACAAAATCCCAGCGGATGGTGGCTGTATTACATCCAGTCAGAGGTTCCTGTCAGTCTGTCTGGATGGCGACGTATTGGACGTGTCAATAATCCTTATGAAGGACTTCCTGGCAGAAGAAGTTACTCGACCAGTCAGCAGCCAGTATGCCAGTTAAATAATTGCTGAAATGTTCCTTGATTATAAATTGTTTAAAGTTAACATCAGTAGTGGGTAGGTGCTCAATATATATAATCAGTAACCTATAACGATGTTTATCACCAGCGCTATGGTAACGCATTCACATTTTGATTCGACAACCATCGCAGACAGCAGCATGATTAATGAAAAATCATTAATTATAAATGCATTGTGATTTAGTTTCGGTATCAGACTAACTTTTCTTATGATTTTGTTTGGAGAGCATACAGGCTGGCAGCTTATCGCCAGTTCACCCTATGGGCACAAGGGATAATTGGACGAGGTGTACGGCGTGGCATTTACATAGGGTTTGAGTTTGAATAAAACCAGTTCATTTAGTAAATCTAGCATGTTGTAATTTTTTTCAAGACATAGGCCTAACACATGCGCCTTATGTAAAAATTATATTAGTTAGCTTGTCCACTATAACAACAGGTTCAAGCTTAACCAGATAAACTTGCTTTGAAGATAAAACTACTTTCAACACGCACTAACCCAGAGTCCCTGTTGCTAGAGTAGTGACTTCAACTAGCTTTGGCTGCCATCTATTGGAAAGGAATGGTAACTACACTGGACAGCTAGTTGGAGTCAAAGGAGAATTGTATAATATATGCCATTTAGCAGACGCCTTTATCCAAAGCGAACTGGGTACATGGTAGTGGAAATAGATAATAGAAACGGGATTACAAAATACATAGTCAATTACAGGGTTATTAAGGTGTTTTTACAAGTTCCAAGAAGAGAAGAGGATTCACATGAAAGGCTTGTGATTGCAAGTCTTTGCCTCATGCACAAGATCAATAGACAAACAGCAGCATACCTTAAAGGGGCAATCAGTAGTTACTACATCCATTTTTGCACTTATAAATGTATGATATGTAACCATTGATTTTTGAATAATCTAATTATAAATGCCTCATGAGCTTAGTTCAACTGTCGTACCCCACCAGAACCCCAAATATAAGCTCCAACGTTTGTAAACAAAGAAAATGTAAACAAACACAGTATAGCCTCAAAACATAGTTGAAACTATAATGTTGATATCATGGATGGTCAGTCCTTGCATCAATAGCTCTGTCTATGAATTTGAGAGTGGTTACATTTCTCCAGCCCCATCCCTCAGCTTTTTACCGAAAGAGGAGCAGGGAGTCCCTTTGTTATTGTTTCTAATGCTAATTGCCACTTTAATAAGGTAAATTGGAGATTAAATACACACCAAAATATGTTACGGATACTATAAAAATGTCACATCACTGAGACCGTTATTTATACACAGCATGCAGCACAGCAATCAATCAATCAAATGTATTTTACAAAGCTCTTTTTTACATAAAAAATATAACCACAGTGGTTATAGAGGGTGCAACAGTTCAACACCTCAGGAGCAAATGTCAGTTGGCTTTTCATAGCTGAGCATTCATAGGTTGAGACAGCAGATCCGGGAGAGAGAGAGTCGAAACAGCAGGTCTGGGACAAGGTAGCACTTTCGTTGAAACGAGTAAAAAAATCAGTGGAAAAACAATTCCACTCCGATTCCCTTTATGGATGTGTGTATCTTTGAATTCGCTGTTGAATGGCCTGCTCCTTCTCCATTTTCGGAACACCAGCCCGCTCCCCCAAAGTGACCACCACTCTCTCTCTTTGGGCACTCAGGAGAGTCCGCTGGGATGGTCCTAGAGCCAGATAGAAGTTACACAAATCATTTTAGGTAATTTCTCTCTATGTCTACATCTTACCATTGGCACAGCGGTCAACGATGCCGTGTTGGAGCTCAGACCGGAAACACCATGTCTTCTCCTCCTTGATGGGTTTCACCACAAACGCCCTGGCAGCCTTGGAGAACTCTTGCTTGAAACGGAGCACTCCCTCCTTTGTTGGAGCCTGCTGTCTGTCCACCGAATAATTGTGGTCCAAGGCAGCCACTTGGGAGTCTTGTGACCATCCCCTGCTGGCCGAACTTGTTCCTCTTGGGCACGTATTTAGTGTACAGGGCATGTACACTCTCGAGTTCACCTGTCTGAACACACTTTGTCACATACAAAAGAAAATATCAAATTAATGTAACTAGAGATTAATAAGTAGGCTACTACAATTATACTGTTACTGATTTTATTAAATCAATCGGTTGTAATTATTCACATAGGAATGCACAAAAAAACAAAAACAAGGGTTTTGTGATGTGGTGAACTTCAGTGATCCACTTTTCTTTTAGCACCTGGACACTCCCACCAGCAGTCGTGGCACAGTACCACAAGTGGTGTGTTAATGCCCTCACCCATGGCAGTACCTGAGACACAGGGAATAAGTGAGACCCCTGTGTCACTGACTTGAATCATCATAATCATATAGTTCTGACTTTACTATAAAATATATGACAGTACTTCTGGCTTCCCAATGGCCACCAGCTTTTTCCTCACACCTTTGGCAATGTGTCACAGGTCATACTCATGCCAGATATCAGCATGTGAGTCCCTCAAGTGCACCCTCACACTTGGATGCCTGTCAGTGGCCAGAGTTTCAATACTGCATCCATGGGCCTGTTAGTAATAATGATTTTATTATTACATTTACATTTACGTCATTTAGCAGACGCTCTTATCCAGAGCGACTTACAAATTATTATTCTCCTAAAGGTACCTATGTTAGGCTAGCTACAAAATATAGGTTAGGCTATAGCTGACCTCAACGTGTTGCAGGCATCTCTCTAATCCCTCCGTCTCCAACCAGTAGCTGTTCTTCACTTCGGTCACATGCACAGTCTCCTGGGCGAGGATCAGGTGGGAAGCAGAGTCCAGGATGGTGTAAGTGCCAAAGGAGGCACAAGGCCTGGCGAATCACACCGTGCGTCTCCAGATACGATTAGTGGACTGTCACCAATTGTAGCCAGAATGGCCTCAATGTGCTGGGTCCACATGTAGTTAACCTCTGGCACAATGTAGATGCTCTGTTGGTTTGCGAACTGTCACAGTGACATGGACACCAGGCTGAGGAGGTGACATGTTTCCACAAAAGTGGAGTGGGAGCCGCCAGTAAGGGAGACCGCTGACGGCATCAACAGATTCCCTGCAAACAACTTTCCCACACTGGTCTGGGACTCCCACTTCCTCCTGTGGCCGACAACACACTGTCTCCATGGTGATGGCAAAACCACTTATTTTCAGGGATGAACTGATGACACCTGCTCGACATCCTGGCTCAAGGCAGACATTGAACAACTCCTTCAGCTTGCTATCAAAGACTATGTATTTCGGATCTTGCACACACTCTTTGATAGTATATCTTGGCTCGCACTGTGATGATTGTGATTCTGAGCTCAGGTTCATACAGCGAGTTCTGGTCTTCGTTGATCTCACTCTCCGTCAGCTCCATCTGTGGCGTATAGGGGCAGGACTCGGTTGTATACTGATGGTCGTGAGCTCAATCTAGCTGGGCCTCGAGCTCTTTAGTGATGGTCCCAGTGGACCTCTTCTCCACCGCAGCACAGGAACAGTCTGGCATGCTGTACTAACCGTTCTTTCCTGTTGGTAGAAAACAATTAAGGCATCTATTAGGCTATAGGTATATTCAAGAATCACTGCATATACTGTAGATTGTCCATTTTATATCCAAAATGGCCTCAGGGATGACAGACTGTGTCTGGAAATAAACAATAGCCTTAAAAATAACATGGATTTGCTTGTACCTCCTCTGCCTCCTCCTGCACAGTCTCCTCCAGGATGAAACTCTTTTCAGGTATAAAGATGTCATCCTGAAAACAAACAAACGTTTTGTTAAGACAATTGAACCCAAATATATCAGTTGGCGTTAACAATCTACCTGTCTTGTATGCTATGTCAACACACACACACACACAGCAAATACAGGGACATTTATTTTTCAGCAAAAATTAGCTATGTCAACTTCAGTTTAGCTAAATTAGGTGGAGCTAACAAACCATTCCAAAAACAAAACTGTCAACAAAATGTATTACAGTACTTGACTGAGATGGAAGCTAGCTACAGTAACTACCTAATAACAGGGCTACACAGAGAAACTGTGTTGCAATTTTAGTGCAATTTTAGTTGCAGTTGAGTTACTTGCTAACGTTAGTTGCTGGGGGGTGTTACACAAAACACTTCAGACGCAATTAGCTAGTTACCTTCAACTAGAGTTGCAACAAAGTTGTCCAGTGTCTAACGCTAGCCTAGTCAACAACAGTCATGACTCATGACCGGTTAACGTTACCTCAGGTTCCATTGACTCGCGTCGCCCTCCGTTCAGTCCGGCTTTTGCTTGACTCGGAAGTCAGCGATGTTGATGATGGTCGGTCTGTAACCCATACAACATAACCATCGAAATTGAAAATGGAGCGGCAAGCAGAGGGCTTCAACGTAGGCCTATGACTCCTTTCCATTCGAAACTCCCGGTTGCCGCATCGAAAGTGCCCTTCATCGCAAAGTCTTCCTCCGCGATGTGGTGGCTGCAGATCCTGCTAGCTCGAGCTGACACGTCCTTCCTCTTCAGGACATGGAGCCACTTCTTGAAAAGTTGTGGGTCCTTGGGCAGCCTATGGTAGCTTACCGAGGGATTTATTTTGGAGCCAATTCCTACAGCCTGGTGCTATACAGTTCATGTTTGAATTACTACTTGTTATTGCCATCTTCGTTGTCTGCACCTAACCTCACTCTCTTCGATTCACTCTCCGCACGAAAACTACATACCACAGACAATTAGCTGATTCCTGCCAGTGACGCTCTGGCGTCAGTCGTTACTATGGCAATTTAAAATGGTGCTGACCATAGATCAAATAAACCTTGTCGACGATCAAAATACTAAATATAGAAATGGTTTTATGTCAAATGCACGTTTATTATTAGTGGATTGAATACATCTCTTTGCTTAGATTTATTTCGTAAAGTGTTTCCATTCCCCTTTTAAGTTGTTTACATTATTCTGGATTGCCCCAACATGTCCGGACCTGGGGGCAGGTGTTGGACACACAACTATTTTTACCTTCTCCAACTCTGGTTGTTCCCATAAAGAATCCTACCCGTCTCACTTTATACCATGGGCGCATTTTGACAAGCCTAAATCAAATAGTATTTATATTCTGTCCCCAGTATTCCACACACAGGGGATGATGATGGCCTCGATTAGTACAATTAGTTTGTCAGGTTAAGGATCAGTCCCACGTCAATCAGAGCCTTCTCATACAAAAACGATGCATGTTGTCTAATCTCAAAGGCTAGAAATCCTAAATTGCTCCTTTCTGCACAGGAACGTGACAGACTGATGCTCTGCAAAAAGAAACGAAGAAAAACCTTCAAGCTACCACCTAAAGTAAGACTACTGCTCCCTCTACCATTCTGTTTGTGTGTGTGTGTGTGTGTGTGTGTGTGTGTGTGTGTGTGTGTGTTTTGTTTTATAGTGTTTCTTTGTTGTGTTCTATGTCTCTGGTCACACACTTCTGGTCCAGCGGTGTTGTCACTAAGCAACAGTCTCTTCTCATGTTGCTGATGCGCTGGTTCTGTCTAATTGGGGTCAGATGGTGCGCGTGCGTGCATGGGTTCCTAAGTGTGTGTGACTGTGTTTAATTAGGCTCATGGGGAACAAAGACACCTGTTTGTTAATCTCTTCCAAACTCAGTCAGAATGATAGGTAGATGAGGTGTTGATGATCAGGACAGGAGAGGAGGAGCGATTCGAGCAATTGGGCTGGGTCCTCGAGAGAGGTAGCAGAGTCGGTGATGTATGTTGCTAAAAGATTTAACACACTCCCTGCATCTATAACTGGAGCTGGTTACTGGGACTCTCACTCTCAAACTGGGAATGGAACGGAACAAACTTACTGGGAGAGTCTGACTGGAATGGGAAAGTACACTGCTGCTACCTCACAGGCCTGGAAACTATCTTAAAGAGGATTGGTGGATGGTAGTTAACACTCCTCTCTCTCTGTGTCTGCTAAGTGCGTGACTGAGACAGCCCTGCCTCAGAGCTCAGTGCTAGAGGACACTATAGATCGCCTTCGAGGATACTATCTTTGTCGGGAGGTTTATGCACCAGTATGTATGAGTATTTCCAGCTCGTCCTCTCCTTCTCCTGATTCATCTGCCTGTGTGCTGTGGTCTGTCTCCTTCTCCTGCTTCATCTGCCTGTGTGCTATGGTCTGTTTCTACTTCTCCTGCTTCATCTGCTTGTGTGCTATGGTCTGGTTCCTTCTTCTGCTTCATCTGCCTGTGTGCTATGATCGTCCTCACCCTCTTCTCACTTGGCTTTCTGTCAGTGACGATGACTCCGTGGGGCATCTAGACTACTGTTTCCCCCCCCCTTCCCCTTTTTCCCTCTTCCCCCCCCCCCCCCTTCCCTCCCCTTCCCTCCCCTCCCCCCTCTTTTTTTTTTTTTTTTTTTTTTTTTTTTTCTTTTTTCTTTTTTCCCCCCCCCCCTTTCCCCCTTTCCCCTCCCCCTCCTCCCCCCTTTTCTTTTTCCCTTTTTTTCCCCCCCTTTCCCCCCCTTTTTCCCCCTTTCTTCCTTTTTTCCCTCCCCCCCCCCTTTTTTCTTTTCCCTTTTTTCCCCCCTTTTTTTTTCCCCCCCCCCCTTTTTTTTCCCCCTTTCCTTCCCCCCTTTCCTTTTTCCCTTTTTTTCCCCCTTTCCCTCCCCCCTTTTTTTTTTCCCCCCCTCCCCTCCCCCTTTTTTTTTTTTCCCCCCCCTTTTTTTTTTCCCTTTTCCCCCTTTTTTCCCCCCCCCCTTTTTTTTTCCCCCTTTTTTTTTCCCTTTCCCTCTTTTCTTTTTCCTCTTTTTTTCCCCCCCTTTTCCCCTCCTCCCCTCTCCTCTTTCCCTAAAACCCCTTTTCTTTCCCCCTTTTTTTTCCCCCCTTTTTCCCCTTTCCCCCCCCTTTCTTTCCCTCCCCTCCCCCTCCCCCTTTCCCCCCCTTTTTTCCTCCCTTTTCTGGGCCCCTTTTTCCCCCCCCTTTTTTTCCCCCTTTCCCCTTTTTTTCCCCCCTTTCCTCTCCCTTCTTTTTTCCCCCTTTCCCCCCCCCCCTTTTTCCTTTTTTTCCCTTTCCCTCCCCCCCTTCTTTTCCCCCCCCCCCCCCTTTTCCCTCTTTTTTTTTCCCCCTTTTTTTTCCCCCCCTTTTTTTTTCCCCTTTTTTTCCCCTTTTCTTCTTTTTTTTTTTTTTTCTCCTCTCCCCCCCCCTTTTTTCTCCCCCCCCCCTTCCCCTTTCCCCCCCCCCTCCCCCCCCTTTCCCCCCCCCCCCCCCCCCCCACCTCCCCCCCCCCCCCCTCCCCCCCCCTTCCTCTCCCCCCCCCCCCTTTTCCCCCCCCCCCCTTTCCCCCCCCCCCCCCCCCCTTTTTCTTTTCCCTCTTCTCCCCCCCCCCCCCTCCCTTCCCCCTCCTCCTCCCCCCCTCCTCCCCCCCCCTTTTCCCCCTCCCCCCCTCTCCCTTCCCCCCCCCCCCCCCTCCCCCCCCCCCCCCTCCCCCCCCCCCCCCCCCTTTTTTCCTCCCTTTTTCCCTCTCCCCCCCCCCCCCCCTTTTTCTCCCCAAGGGAAATTTTAGACTTTTTTGGTTTTAGGGGCCTGGGGCCCGGGGCCGTTTTTTTTTTAAACCGCCCTCAAGACGCCCCCTCCCCCCAAAATTTGGGAAAGGGGGGGTTTTTAGGGGGGGTTTTTTTTGGGAAGTTTTTTTCCAGGTGGGGGGTTTTAAATTCCCCCCCCCCAAAAATGTTAAAACCCAAACCCCCTTTTAAAACCCGGGGGTTTTTTTTTTTTATTCCCCAGGGTGATCCGTGAAGCGTCAGGCTGAGATTCAGACAACTGGACCCGAGGAGTACCAGGGCTCTCCAGCGGGCCTACCGCCCCTCTACAGGAACAGACTGGGGGGTACCTGGACGGCTCGAGAGAGAGGCCAGGGTGAGTAACTTTAACCCTTAACTCCTACGGCCTACCCTTGATATCCCTCAGTAGACTCCAAATGTGACCATCACTGTCTCAAAACATGAGCTGTCTTGGAAGGCTGCAGGGTGTGCAGGCTTTTGTTCCAGCCCAGCACTAACTCACCCGATTGAACTAACTTGACTCTGGTCTCTGATTGGCTGCATTCCCCTTCCCCCAGAACCGTGAGCAGCTGCAGGCGGATCTGATTGGGTGCCAGGCGAAGATCGCCGACCTGGAGAAGGCATTGGCCGAGAGGGGGCAGGTAAAAGAGGAAAAGGGTGGGAAGAAGACGGGGAGGTCCCTGGCTGCTCCGCTCTCATTGGCCCTGCTGCTTGTCTGTCTGGGGGCTTTGCTTTTGGCCTGGTGCTACGCCGACCGGATCTGCCGCAGGATCCTGTGATGTCACTCTGATGACGTCACAACTCTGCCTTGTGTGCATGCTCCACTGTCGTTGACAGTATTTTCATTTATATGGTCTATTTTCTCTGGAAAATAGAATCAGCATTTATCTACTCATGATCATGAGCAAACTGATTGAATGATACATCCTCATGCTAAGCAAATCAGCCAGTCATATCAAATTGTACCTACCATTTACAAATATGACTCTGAAGACACAAGGTTAATAAAAAAAAAACATGTATTGTCTTAATTATATCACATTATGTGGAAATCATCTTAAATCAGTTCCTCTGTAAAGATATATCAATTTGATTATTTCCTTGTATTAGTAATCATATTTGTAAAAGCACAGAGTGAAATACGTTTTGAGAAGTGTATATGGATTTTGGGGTCAAAACCAATGGATGCCAAATGCATCATAATGCAAATCACATATATTGTTCAATCTTATTGTTGATTGCTCAGCCTGATATCAATAGATTGAATAGATCTAAGACCGAGCAGGGTTTCACAGAGGTCGAAACTCATAGCAACCTCCATCATTCTCTGGTACCTGTTGCATGCCTCACATATACTGCATGTTTCCTGTTTGTGTCACTGTGGCCTTGTTGCACTTTTTGTTGCACTGCTCTCACCACTGGTGCCTCAATATTCCTGATTCTCTGTTCAGCATGACTTCTGAGCACTTTTCTCTGTAATTCTGGTGGTGGACTTTCTCTCTGTTTCTTTTTGGTTCAATAAAACCATGTTACAGCAATATCTTTTGTGTTTGTCTTGTGGTTGCATGCGTGTGTTCACTATTTGAATGCATTATTTCACTTATTTTGGCCTTGTGGGTCTCAGTTCAGAAACGGACAGTTTGGGCTATTACTGACCAGGTGTGGCTGAATCTCTTTAGGTTGAGGTGCTCATGCATGTACATTGTACAGTATCCCCTATGAGTGGCAAGGTGCTCTTTTCTCCCATATGATTCTGTATTGTGATACTTTAGTTTTCCTCTGAGGTGTGTGTAACTGTGTTTCTCCAGGACTCTAAGTGGGTGGAGGAGAAGCAGTACCTCAGCAGGACCAATCAGGAACTCCACAACAAGGTAAGGTACCTCCTACTCCTCTGTCACTCAACACAGTCCTGTGAGCCATCTGGAAGGGAAGGACACTAGGATAGGGAGCATTTGAGTGTATACTTTATTAGATACATTATTTATCCAACGTGGCGGGAAATACAAAAATATGTGTGTGTTTGTAGATGTGTATGTTACAGCGAGCTGAGTGGAAGCTGCAGGCGGAGGTGCAGGACGCGAGGGACCAGAATGAGTTGCTGGAGTTCAGAGTGCTAGAACTGGAAGTAAGAGAGTGTACCACCATCAAACTGTCCCCAGGGGGCAACACCGGCCTCCAGTCCCCACGCAGGACCTTCATACAGTGACCAGAACACACACACACAAGAGCTCTCGTAGAGGAGGCTGGTGGGAGGAGCTATAGGAGGACGTGTTTACTCCATTCCATTAATTCCATTCCAGCCATTACAATGAGCCCGTCCTCCTATAGCTCCTCCCTCCAGCCTCCTCTGGCACGTAGTACCATGTACACACACACACACAAACATACACACTACTGTGCCTCGACCCATTGTATGTACCTTGTATTTCCTCGCTTTGCTTTCTGACCGCCTTACCATCCCCACTGAACTGGAAAAGTTTTATTTTTTTAATTGAAAGAGAATGTTGTCTTAAGTGAGAATTTTGAATGGAATAAAATGTATTTAAGTTCACCATCCACCCATCTTTGTTCATTTGTCTCTCCTCCTTGCATGTAGTTGTTCTTAAGTTTCTTTATGTTAATTAAAATGTAGTTGTATGCACAACATTCAAATCATCAGTCACACGTGTCCTAGATCTCTTGATTGTTCTCCATAATAGAAGATTATCGACTGCATGGCTTTCCTCCTTTCAGGTTTCACCTACTGTTTCTATCATCAACAAACTCTGCCTTCAACAACTGATGTAGGATATCTTTCATGAGCTCTTTCATATACTTTATTAGAGTTTTTCCTTTTTTTTGTATCATATTAGTATCTTTCATAGTATCCTTTTTTTCTATATTTCATGATAACTTCATAGGAGATACTCGATCACTTCAAGAAGATATATCAAAGAAACTCGTAATGCACACACATAAGGATGGGTGGAATGGACCCAAAGAGCCTCTCAGTCACTTACACTCATCCATTTGAAGTCGCACAGTTTAAGTATGTTTTAAAACCCTATTCTTTGGTTTGCATTTTAAATCATGTTTCTCCACCCACCTCATTTGGACAGATCCTGAGCATGCTAGCCTCATCATGTACAGTGGGGAGAACAAGTATTTGATACACTGCCGATTTTGCAGGTTTTCCTACTTACAAAGCATGTAGAGGTCTGTAATTTTTATCATAGGTACACTTCAACTGTGAGAGACGGAATCTAAAACAAAAATCCAGAGAATCACATTGTATGAGTTTTAAGTAATTAATTTGCATTTTATTGCATGACATAAGTATTTGATCACCTACCAACCAGTAAGAATTCCGTCTCTCATAGACCTGTTAGTTTTTCTTTAAGAAGCCCTCCTGTTCTCCAGTCATTACCTGTATTAACTGCACCTGTTTGAACTCGTTACCTGTATAAAAGACACCTGTCCACACACTCAATCAAACATACTCCAACCTCTCCACAATGGCCAAGACCAGAGAGCTGTGTAAGGACATCAGGGATAAAATTGTAGACCTGCACAAGGCTGGGATGGGCTACAGGACAATAGGCAAGCAGCTTGGTAAGAAGGCAACAACTGTTGGCGCAATTAATAGAAAATGGAAGAAGTTCAAGATGACGGTCAATCACCCTTGGTCTGGGGCTCCATGCAAGATCTCACCTCGTGGGGCATCAATGATCATGAGGAAGGTGAGGGATCAGCCCAGAACTACACGGCAGGACCTGGTCAATGACCTGAAGAGAGCTGGGACCACAGTCTCAAAGAAAACCATTAGTAACACCCTACGCCATCATGGATTAAAATCCTGCTGCGCACACAAGGTCCCCCTGCTCAAGCCAGCGCATGTCCAGGCCCGTCTGAAGTTTGCCAATGACCTTCTGGATGATCCAGAGGAGGAATGGGAGAAGGTCATGTGGTCTGGTGAGACAAAAATAGAGCTTTTTGGTCTAAACTCCACTCGCCGTGTTTGGAGGAAGAAGAAGGATGGGTACCATCCCAACCATGAAGCATGGAGGTGGAAACATCATTCTTTGGGGATGCTTTTCTGCAAAGGGGACAGGACGACTGCACCGTATTGAGGGGAGGATGGATGGGGCCATGTATCACAAGATCTTGGCCAACAACCTCCTTCCCTTAGTAAGAGCATTGAAGATGGGTCGTGGCTGGGTCTTCCAGCATGACAACGACCCGAAACACACAGCCAGGGCAACTAAGGAGTGGCTCCGTAAGAAGCATCTCAAGGTCCTGGAGTGGCCTAGCCAGTCTCCAGACCTGAACCCAATAGAAAATCTTTGGAGGGAGCTGAAAGTCCGTATTGCCCAGCGACAGCCCCGAAACCTGAAGGATCTGGAGAAGGTCTGTATGGAGGAGTGGGCCAAAATCCCTGCTGCAGTGTGTGCAAACCTGGTCAAGACCCACAGGAAATGTATGATCTCTGTAATTGCAAACAAAGGTTTCTGAACCAAATATTAAGTTCTGCTTTTCTGATGTATCAAATACTTATGTCATGCAATAAAATGCAAATTAATTACTTTAAAATCATACAATGTGATTTTCTGGATTTACAGACCTCTACATGCTTTGTAAGTAGGAAAACCTGCAAAATCGGCAGTGTATCAAATACTTGTTCTCCCCACTGTAAGTACTGTACATCATTCAGTTCAGTTCCCAACCCTGACCTATTCAGTTCAGTTCCCAATCCTGACCCATTCAGTTCAGTTCCCCAACCCTGACCCATTCAGTTCAGTTCCCCAACCCTGACCCGTTCAGTTCAGTTCAGTTCCCAACCCTGACCCGTTCAGTTCAGTTCAGTTCCCAACCCTGACCCGTTCAGTTCAGTTCAGTTCCCAACCCTAACCCATTCTGTTCAGTTCCCAACCCTGACCCGTTCAGTCCAGTTCAGTTCCCAACCCTGACCCATCCAGTTCAGTTCCCAACCCTGACCCGTTCAGTCCAGTTCAGTTCCCAACCATGACCCATTCAGTTCCTTTCCCAACCATTACCCATTCAGTTCAGTTCCAAACCCTGACCAATTCACTATCATTCTCACTCACCAATCTACCCAACCAGAATATTAGTTGTGAATGTGCTGTCCACTTTAGAGGTCTGGCTGTTGTGGTCTGTAAATTAGATTGGGAGGACTGTGTGTGTGTGTGTATGTGTGTGTGTGTGTGTATGAGGGTGGGGTTAACTGCCTTGTTGTCCAATAGGAGAGGGAACACAGGCCTCCAGCCATGGGCTTCCACGTGACTACCTTCCCAGAGAACAGCAACAGCGCTCTGCAGATCTTCTGCCACCAGGAGGGCATCAAGGTAACACACAAACCACATACCCTGTCTCCCTCTCGCAGCGTATAGAAACTGGATATGTAATCCCTCTTTAGGATGTGGTTATTCCAGATCTGATGAAGAAACTGGATATCCTGGGAGATAATGGGGTGAGTTTACACTCTCTCCACTGTTCCTAATGCTCTCAATATAATGATCTTACTAAAATTCACAATGCTATTTTCTCCCTCAATTAAAACCTTAATAAATACTTTAATCCTTCCCCCGATCCTCTATATCCATTTCTTGTCTTCTCCTCCTCTCCAGAACTTGCGTAACGAGGAAGATGCGTATTAGCGGGAGGTTTCAAGGGAGAGGTCAGTTCCCTCTCCCGCAGACGGAATTGTCAGTGGGAGAACCGCGCCCCCTACCTCCTCCTTCTCCTCTCCTCACTACTTCCACTCTTCCATCTCCCGGGTGGGCTCCCACTTCCTCCGCGTTCCCTTCCTCTTTCCCGTCGCTCTTTATCGCAAACTCTCCACCGCTCGAGTTACTCCTCACCTCCGTAAGTCTAGCCAGCAGCCTCCATCATCATCTCCTCTAGCCTAACTGCCCCTACTGCTCTACGCCTCCGACCTTCACTCTGCCTTGACGAATCCGCCGCTATCGGACTTAAACTAACCCTTCGGCACCCGTCCAGAATGGCTTCCTCCACAGATGAGCTCCCCCTCAGCATCACTACACACCACGATCCTTCCCCTAAAGCACTCCTATCAGCAATTTTGTACTGCTGGACCTCGCAGTCAGTGTCATGCGATTGATCCGCACCGCCCTCAACGGAGTATACGCGATCGGCGGGCGCCCAAAGCAGGAGCGCGAGAGACGGGTAACTAGGACTGGGAAACGAGCAGTAGGAGAGTGAGCGAAGCCCAGAACGCCCCAAGGGGAGAAGCAGAAGGAGACAGAGGAAGCCGACCCGAAGAGATGACCGGAGAAAGAAGGAAGAGAAGAAACGACATAGAGTTTACATGAGTACGCGTCAGACAGGATACGAGTGATGAGCGACCGACAAAGAGAGAGTCTCTACGATAGCTAGCCTGCACTCACCCTACTTTCATGCTCCTCTCTCGTTCCGTATCCTCTCTGATCCTAACCTGCCTCGCACTGCTGGCTTCCTTATCCCCTTATCTTAAGTGTTGGGTGTGTCATACCTTATCCTGTGGATTAAGTACAGTATGGTGAGTGGTGCTCTTCTCGCCCCAAGTGTTAAAGCAGATGAGACGGGAAGGCCCAAAATATTGACCTGGAAAGAGGACGTAGATAGAGCAAAAACAAATTTCTGTATCATTGTTATGTGATTAGCTTGTCAGGACGTTCAGTAAGATGGGTTTCGGAGCGTAGAGGGGGGAGAAGAGAGGAAGAAGAAGAGAGAAGAAGGAAGAAGGATGAAAAGGAAGACAGACGAGAGAAAGAAAAGGAAACAAAGAAATGAAAGTGAGAAGAAGGAAGAAGAAAAGAAGAAGGAAAGAAAGGAGAAGGAAGAAGACAGGAGGAAAAAGAAGGAGAAGAGGAAGAAGAAGAGAACGATGAGAGGAGAAGAGCTAAGCAGGAAGACAGCGACGAGCTAGATCTGCCGAAGATGGACAGGGACAGAAGCAGAAGCAGGAAGGCAAGAGACTGTAGAAGGCGAGCAGAAGAGAAGAGAAGAGCGGCAGAGCGCAGTAAAAGGACCAGAGCCACGATCGAGACGGCTGCGACACGGAAGAAAGCCGCCTGCACTACTAGCTACGACGTCCCTAGCACGAAAACTCTTAGCGTACCCCGCTGCACTGCAAGCCGGGCGATCTACGGAATCTTTAATCTCTAATCCTGCTATCTTTATACTCTTCCTCTCTGTTCTCTGTCTCTCTTCCTCCTCCTCCTCTTTTCTCCTCCTCCTCTTTATCTCTAAGCCTGCCTCTGACACCTGCTGGTCATATCCTTTATCTACTGTGGATTTAACTGTACAGTATGTGTTGAGTGTGTCTGTCTCTCTCTCGCTCCCTCCATAGTGGTTAAAGCAGATAGACAGCACAGAGGAAGCCTTGACCCAGAAGATGATTGACCTGGAGAATGAGACGGTGAGAGACAAAAAAAAAACATCTGACCATGTATCAGGGTTTTTTCACTGCCTCTGACGTTACGCCATTGTCATGGTGATGCAATGTGATATCCTGTGATGTGATGTGGCTGTTCCAGGACCTGTTCAGTAAGCAGAAGGGTTTCCTGGAGGAGGAGCTGGACTACAGGAAGCAGGCCCTGGATCAGGCCTACATGGTACAACACAGCAACATGATTGGACAAGAGGGTTACTCTACAGCTGTTTCCTGCTTGTAGGAACATGGGTGGTGGTCCTCAGTTGGTAGAGCATGGAACTTGAAGTTGCAATGCCAGGAGAGTGGGTACGATTCCCGGGAACACCTATACGTAAAATGTATGCACGCATCACTGTAAGTCGCTTTGGTTAGAAGCGTCTGCTAAATGGCATATATTATATTATAATTATATATCACAATGGTCATTATATTATCAAGATGACATGCAATAGTTTCATAAAATACATGTTGTAAAGTACACACTGTCAGCCCTCTAAATGATGTAAACCCATCAAACATCACTAACCCACAGACCAAGCCCTGCTGTTTGAGTTTGTCATGTGTTGTCGGGGATACTGCATCTTCTACCTCAATGAACCCGTGTTTGCACTGAGTACTAAAGGACAGAAAGAGAAACGCCCTACTGACTGTGGGAGTATGGCTGTGCATTCACTGTTCAGACACATCCCTAACACTCTCTTAGACGAACACAGTAAGATCCCGAGACAGGACGTCTAGTGATTCCCTCAGTGAAGTGTGCAATTCTAATGAGAAGGTTTGGCCCAGCGATTGGCCCAGCGTCGTCCAGGGTAGGGGAGGGAATGGCCGGCAGGGATGTAGCTCAGTTGATAGAGCATGGCGTTTGCAATGCCAGGGTTGTGGGTTCGATTCCCACGGGGGGCCAGTTAAAAAAAATATGTATTCACTAACTGTAAGTCGCTCTGGATAAGAGCGTCTGCTAAATGACTAAAATGTCAAATGTCAAAATGTCAAGGTGTATCAAGAGGAACTACACGTAGGCTAGAGATGTGTGAATGACCCCAGAGTAGAGGCATGAACAGCCCATATGATTTATATTCTTCCCATCTCTAACTTGATTTAACAGTCACTACCACCATGAGTTAGGTAACAACAACAGTATCTAGCACTCACCACCATTTATTAATTTGATTCAGTGTGTGTTTTTGTGTTTTAGTTCCACTTTATACAGTGTCAATAGAAGCATGTATTTACATGGTCACTACACTGACATTATAAGCTGTAAACAGGCATAGCAGTTGTAAGTACTATGTAACAAAGTGGACTTTAGTACCTACACTGTAGTTACCATGCAATTACCATGAAAAACACACCATTATAGTGACACTAGAAATAAAGTGGAACAGTGTTTTCCATCTCTGCCATGATCACAGTGGCATACCTGTGTGTGTGGCTGTGTGACAGAGGATCGCGGAGCTGGAGGCTACGCTGTATAACGCTCTGCAGCAGGAGCCGGGGGGGCGTGCGGTGGCAGAGTCTCTGTCGGACAGGCAGAGGGAGGAGCTGGGGCTAGCTGTGGACAAACTGCGGAGGCAGATACTCAGGCAGAGCCGGCCAGTATGACAGTCAGATCTTACAGGAGCGCATGGAGCTGCTACAGCAGGCCCAGCAGGTAAGGGAAGGCCTTAACCTGCAGCCGCCACAGAGAATAGATGCAGTATCCCTCCTACTTGTGTGTGTGTGTGTGTCCTTGTGTTTTGTGTATTCCTCCAAACCTCAGCATTTCACAGAAGTCCTATCCTTATTCCATTAGTCTTTATGCTCCTAACCTCAACATGACACTCCTAACCTTAACATAACACTCCTAACCTCAACATTACATTCCTAACCTCAACATGACACTCTTAACCTCAACATGACACTCCTAACCTCAACACGACACTCCCAACCTCAACATGACACTTCTTATCTTAACCTTATGCGATCCATTGCTTCAGAAACTAACCATCAACTTTCTAATCAATAACACAATAGGAGTTTACTAAAGACATCAATTATAATAAAACATTCTCTATAACTGACTTGCAGTTGAGACCTTTTTCCTAGTCCTCTTCAGTGGTCTCTCGTCCACCAGCCCTGCTCGGTGCAATACAGGATCTCATCCTAATCCCGTCCCCCAAAACCACTCTTTTCCAGGCCCTGCCTCTCCTCTGGCTGACTCACCCTCCCATGGTTATGATCTAAGCAGCTTTTAGGGTTTAGGTCAGCCACGAGAATGTGATCAGTGTGGTTCCAGTGTTTCATAACTCTGACAGGATTACCTACCAGTAGACTTGGACTGGTATGCTTCCAGTGAAGGTTTTGGATTTCACGCTTGTCTGAGTCTGTTTGTCTCAAATAGTATTTAAAGAAGAGGAAAGGAGCAGATGGAGGTGTGTGTGTGTGTGTGTGTCTACGCGTGTGCGTGTGTGTGTGCGTGTGTGGTGTGTAGCCAAGACCAAAGGTCAGTCACTAAATCAGCTCATGTGGTCTGAACAAAGATTCACCATTGTTCCACTTGCTCATTGTCATGGCAGCATGATTTTTTAATTTGAGGCTGTGCAACAGCTGCCATGGTAACACGGGAGTAGTGCAGCTTCTGGGAATACATGTGGAAAGGGTTGTCGTCACTTTCATTAGCAAGTGTTTAGCAACCACAGCCATTTATTTTTCTACTTCTGAACTATAATACAATGCCTGTCGTCAGTAGGAAGTTGACCTCCTGAACCATATGTTCTGTGTTATTTGCCTTACAGAGAATAAGACAGTTGGAAGGCATGATTGAGATGCAAAAGAGACAAGTCAAGGAAATAGAAGAAAAGGTAGATATATATGTAATTTCTCTCTCTGTCTAAGAAACATTAATGCACATGTTGTGGGCACAGGTGGCTACTGGAACCTAATTTGGGGAGGAAGGGCTCATAGTAATGGCTGGGAAAAAAATGACTGGAATGGTATCAAACACATGGTACCGCTCTATTCACTTAATTCCAGCTATTATTATAAGCCGTCCTCCCTTCACCAGCCTCCTGTGGTTGTGGGTCATGTGAGCATGTAGTATAACTCTTTAGTTAGAATGATGAACAGTAACATGTGTCTTCCTCTCTCTCCTTTTATTAACATTCTTTAACATTCTTATGATTTTTTTAGTTTTTGTTCCTCTTTTTGTTTTTCTCACTAGCTTTTATTCTTTGGCCTTAATGACGCTGACATGGACCGACATCAGGTAATGATACACAGCTATGCAACCTCTGTAATACTGTGTAATAACATGATGATGATGATCATTTGTCTGTTTCCTCAGGTGCTAAGGCGCTCAGGTGGAGAGTGAGGAAGAAACGCACAACATATTAGTTTTTTATGCATTTTTAGATGGTTCACAAACCTTATGGCCTTTTTGATAAACATGCACTTTTAATCTGGAATGCAAAACAAAACAAAACCATGACTCTGAAAAGTGAACAAATATCAGAGACATGTAAAGAGATGTATATCAGTGTTTTTTATATAAAGGAAGTCACCTACCATTTCTGGAAGTGGAACAATTAGGTAAACTCTAATGTGAGTTCTAAAAAGCATAAACATTGTGACTGGAACACTGAAGCAGGTCAACAAGGAAAACAGTGATTGAGACAGTGCCTCAGATGAATTTAGAGCCACACAACGAAAGAGTGCAATCAGAGAGGAGGGAGGAAGAAGAAGAAGGGGAGGGAGGGGGGGAAAGAAAGCAGGAAACCCTTCTAACACAGACTAGCCAAGTCCTGGGCACTGGACATTCCCGGAAAGCTCAGCGCATGAGGGTCACCATGGAAACAGCTGTCACGGCCAAGTTCAAAGTGTATGAAGTGAAAGCTCTGAGTAGACTCCGCAGTAGCGAGACACCAGAGGACTGAGGCGACAGGAGGAGTCTAGTCTGTGGAACACAACAAAGAATCTTCAGTAGGTAAGTTACTCAATCTTGACAAAACACCCCCAACACAAATACTTCCTTCTCCAGCTCTGTTGTGCAGTTCTGAGTTATCCATTGGCTCCACATTGTATTCAATAATTAGCTTAATCAGAGTTACACAATAGCTTGGCTAACTGGGGGTGATGGGATGAGGGGGAGGTCTTGTTGTTGTTAGGGAGAGGAGGTGGTGAGGTAACTTTAGAAGCATGTCTGAAGCTAGTCAGCCACTTGCTGCAGCCGAGCTGCTGCTCTCATGAATAATGCAATTTGTGTGAGCGTGTGTGTGTGTGTGTGTGAATGAGTGAGTGTGTGTGTGTGTGTGTGTTACACCACAGCAAAGGGTCAAGAAAGAGAAGGAAGAGAGGACGAAGAGAGAGAAGTGAAGGGAGAGGAAGAGGGAGGTCAGAGAGGGATAGAGAGAAGGAGGAGAGGGGAGGGAGTTGTTAAAAAAGAGAGGGAGGTTTGACTGAGATTGCAGAAGGAGTGTGTTTGCTACCACACAGTGGATAAAGACAGGGAGAGGATCAGTAAGGTTTCTGAACGGAAACCGTTGGTTTGCAGGTTCTAGAGAGGAGGTCACCCATGAACAACAACCATGGAGGGGAACATGATTACAGCAGGGACCGGAACCGGAGCTGGCGCTGTAACCATGGTAACAGGTCCCACTGGCACCCCGGACCTCCAGGTTCTGACCCACAGAGTGAAGCTTCTAGAGCACAGCTTGAGAGACAACGTCAGCTCCTTCACTGAGTCAGAGAGCGCTCTGCACAACAGGTGAGGAGTAGGTGACAGAGAGACAGGGATCACGTATCACACAGCTACGACATATGGCCACAACCATATCACATTGCACATGTCCTGTTGTGCGAACATGCAGCTTACCACACAGCATTTTGCGTAGTAACAGACTATTGGTTACCTCTTAGCATGATATCACTGTTTGTGAGGTTTATTTCAAACTTTCCAGTCAGTAAGGTATGTGTGCACACTTGTACTTTCTCTTGGACTGATGACAGGCAAAAACTATTTGACAGTAAGAGGTCTCATCTCTGTTGAATGCTAATGTAATCCTATGCTAGTCATGTAATGGTATGCTAATCATGCAATGCTATGCTAACCATGTAATGCTATGAGAATGTCATGTGATCTAATGAGTCACGTCGTCCTACTATGCAGGATCAGAGAGTTGGAAGTGTCAGAGCAGAGACTCCTACAGAAGGTGGAGGACCTCACTGCCAACTCAGTCCTCCACTGTCCCAGCATGCCGCAGCGCCAGAGGCTAGACGAGCGGCTCCACGCACTCAGGGAGGAGGTACGCTCCATGGTGAGAGACATAATTGAGATTTACATGAGCTTCAATGAGGCATAGCAAACATACGAGTAAGCCTGTTGTAACTCAAGTAGTGTAAGCCTGTTATAACTCAGGTAATAGTGTAGTGTAAGCCTGTTGTAACTCAGGTAATAGTGTAGTGTAAGCCTGTTATAACTCAGGTAATAGTGTAGTGTAAGGCTGTTGTAACTCAGGTAATAGTGTAGTGTAAGTCTGTTGTAACTCAGGTAATAGTGTAGTGTAAGTCTGTTGTAACTCAGGTAATAGTGTATTGTAAGTCTGTTGTAACTCAGGTAATAGTGTAGTGTAAGTCTGATGTAACTCAGGTAATAGTGTAGTGTAAGCCTGTTATAACTCAGGTATTAGTGTAGTGTAAGGCTGTTGTAACTCAGGTAATAGTGTAGTGTAAGCCTGTTATAACTCAGGTATTAGTGTAGTGTAAGCCTGTTGTAACTCAGGTATTAGTGTAGTGTAAGTCTGTTGTAACTCAGGTAATAGTGTAGTGTAAGTCTGTTATAACTCAGGTATTAGTGTAGTGTAAGTCTGTTGTAACTCAGGTAATAGTGTAGTGTAAGCCTGTTGTAACTCAGGTAATAGTGTAGTGTAAGCCTGTTGTAACTCAGGTATTAGTGTAGTGCAAGGCTGTTGTAACTCAGGTAATAGTGTAGTGTAAGCCTGTTGTAACTCAGGTAATAGTGTAGTGTAAGTCTGTTTTAACTCAGGTATTAGTGTAGTGTAAGCCTGTTGTAACTCAGGTAGTGTAGTGTAAGCCTGTTGTCAGTCAGGTAGTGTAGTGTAAGCCTGTTGTAACTCAGGTAATAGTGTAGTGTAAGGCTGTTGCAACTCAGGTAATAGTGTAGTGTAAGCCTGTTGTAACTCAGGTAATAGTGTAGTATAAGTCTGTTGTAACTCAGGTATTAGTGTAGTGTAAGGCTGTTGTAACTCAGGTAATAGTGTAGTGTAAGTCTATAACTCAGGTAATAGTGTAATGTAAGTCTGTTGTAACTCAGGTAATAGTGTAGTGTAAGTCTGTTGTAACTCAGGTAATAGTGTAGTGTAAGCCTGTTGTAACTCAGGTAATAGTGTAGTGTAAGTCTGTTGTAACTCAGGTAATAGTGTAGTGTAAGCCTGTTATAACTCAGGTAATAGTGTAGTGTAAGCCTGTTATAACTCAGGTAAAAGTGTAGTGTAAGTCTGTTATAACTCAGGTAAAAGTGTAGTGTAAGCCTGTTATAACTCAGGTAAAAGTGTAGTGTAAGTCTGTTATAACTCAGGTATTAGTGTAGTGTAAGTCTGTTGTAACTCAGGTATTAGTTTAATTTAATGTATTGTACTTTATTGTAAGTATAAGAAGAAGGAGAATGTGCATGTATTATAACTCTATTGTAGCTCAGGTGCATGTCAGACGTTATTGTAATCGCTCTGTCTCTGTCCCAGTCCCAGGAGAAGGAGCGTGGGGATCGCGTGTGGAGGGAGAGGCTGCAGCGCTGCCAGGCCCAGCTCAGGGCTAAAGAAGAGGAGATGGGCCGCCAGTCTCAGTACTTTGAGCACTTTAAGAGCCAGCTGCACCACAAGCTAGGCCTGGCTAGAGACAGAGAGCAGGGCCTGCAGACCAGACTCCACCAGCTGGAGAGACCGGTGCTGGAGATGAACGTATCTGCTGCCACCAACATAGCCCCTGTCAACACAGCTAGCATCAACTCCGTTACTGCAGCCAATGTCAACCCCATCATGGTACCAACCTCAGGCCAACAGAGACCAGAGACAGAGAGACTGCCCCACCCAAGGGAGGAAGGAGAAGGAGAGGAGGAGGACGAGGAGGAGAATAAACAGTCGAGACACTATGGACAACCGCTCCAGCAGAAGCAGGGAGCGGATGATAGAGAAATAGAGGGTGAAAGAGAGGGGGAGGAAGGAGAAGAGGGTGAGAGTCTGGGGGGTGAGGCTAGACTGAGAAGCTTCATCTTCAGCCTCCAGGAGGACCTCAGGGTTCTGCTGGAGAGGGAGGAGCAGGGGCTGGCAGAGCAGAGGGGGCTGATGGAACAGCTGCAGGAAGTGCAGGAGAACAACCACTTCTTGTCCTGTACGTTGGAGGAGATGAGGACGGTGGTCCACAGGCTGAAGCTGACAGAAAGCTCCCTGATGGAGGAGGTGGAGGAGCTGCAAGAGGAGAACCAGAGACTGTGTCAGAGGCTCAGCCAGACCCTGAGACAGACCAACCACAGCCTGGGTTCTACTGACCCCAGCCTCAGCCCTGCCTCTACCCCTAGCCTGGCTACCTCCCTGCCAAACACCCCTGCCCTGGGTCAACCACTTCCCTGCTCTGTGGACAACACTGACCCGGTGAGTGATGACATTAAAGTTTATGTGGAGGGGACTCTGTAAATCAGTCTAAGAGTTGAAGAGTTAAGCCTCAAGAAAGGGAATGATTACGATTATAAGCAAACCTTATTTTAGGATTGTAAAATGGATTATAATGTGAGATTATCAAAGTGGAATGTTAATCTGATTAACTACAGAGGAACTAAAGAGTGTGGCTGGCTTGTGTGTTTGAGACTGGGCTCTGCTTTGTATTGAGTCTCTAATATTTAGTGTTCATCGTCTCTGCAGGTGAAGGTGATCCCAGGCCAGTCATCACTAGACACACCTCCCTCTGCTCACCACCATGGAGCAGCAGAGAGGTCACAGGAAAACTCCACTCTGCCTCTGCCCCGGCCGGACCTCCTGAACCTCTCAGGCCACCGTAGCCAGAACCCCGGCCTCATATCCCTTGGCACTAAGAGCATTGAGGGTCTGGGGGAGTTGAGCCTGGGGGACTGGTATCCTGGTCCTGGGGGCTTAACCTCTCTCAACCTGGAGGAGGGGACGAGTGAGGAGACTGAGGCCCTGAGAGAGGCTTACAGGAGCATGGGGGGCGACATGGACTCACTCCGGGACCACAGGGACCAGCTGGAGAGCACGCTACGACACACACAGGACCAGCTGCACAGGGTGACCGAGGAGAACGCCCAGCTGAAATGTAAACTCAGGGAGCAGGGAGAAACAGGGTCCTGCGAGGTGGAGCAGGGGTCCTCATTTGTAGGCAAGAGCATGTCAAATGTCCAGGAAAACAAGGTGCCAACTCAAAATCTAATACCCCAGGGTAGCAGAGAGCTCACTGCAACTCCAACCCAGAATGATACTATCCTGTTCTTAGCCCAGGATGACCTGTCTCTGTATGCCTTGGCCCAAGATGACCTAGCCCTAGCCTTGAACCAGGAGAACCGGGCCCTGGGCAGGCATATCCAGGAGCTCCTAGCCCACATAGAGAGCCAGGAGGGAGAGAGTGAAAGGGAGCTAGTCCAGCTCAGGATGCAGGTGTCCCTGCTAGAGAGGGAGAGCACCAGGCTGGAGCAGGAGAACCAGGAGCAGGGAAGTCTCATCACCGAGCTGACCAGGAAGAGTGAGGATGACCTCAACACTATCATAGACCGGCAGGAGAGACGGATCAAAAGCAGTCAGCTAGGCCTACAGCAGGGTGACCATGGTTTGACCACTGAGTCAGAGTGCGGTCAACAGGGTGAGCATGCGGTTGGCTCAGTGTACGCTCAACAGGGTCAACCCACGGTTGGGTTTGTGACCAGTCTACAAAGTGATCAGACGCCAGGGTCAGTGAATAGTGGTGTATTACAGGTTGACCACACGATCGAGTCAGTGTGTGGTCAACAGGAGGACCGTTTGACCACAGAGTCGGTGTGCAGGCTTAGAGAGGAGAGGGACGAGCTGATTGGCTCTCTCAGTGATCTCAAAGAGGAAAGAGAACAGGTAGCCCTCTCACTCAGCAGTCAGACAGAGGAGAAACACCAGCTAACACGCTCCGTGTGGGTTCTGAAAGAAGAACGCGACCAGATCCATAAGTCACTCTGCGGTTTAAAAGACGAGAAAGAACAGCTGACAAGGTCCCTCTGTGGTCTGAAAGACAAGAGAGACAAGGTCATGCGGTCAATGTGTGGTTTAAAAGAGGAGAGAGACCAGCTAGTTCAGTCAATGTCTGGACTCCAGGAGGAGAGAGACCAGCTAGTTCAGTCAATGTCTGGACTCCAGGAGGAGAGAGACAAGCTCTCGCAGTCTCTCTTCAGTCAAAAAGATGAGAGAGACCAACTAAACGAGTCACTCCGCGAACTAGAAAAAGAGAGAGGCCAGTTGATGCAGTCAATGTGTGGTTTAAAGGGACAGAGAGACAAGCTAACACAGACACTCAGCCGTCTAGAGCAGGAGAAAGACAAGCGGTCATCTCTCTGCCTACAAACACAAGAGAGGTGCCAGGTGAACCAGTTTGTCTCTGATTTAAAAGAAGAGAGAGAGCAGTTAGTTCAGTCAATGGATGTTCTGAGAGAACAGAGCGAAGAGCTCACAGAGGAGAGAGACCAGTTGCAGACGGACGTCGCTGCTCTACGGAATAAGCTGCTGTTACAGGGGCGGAGCCACAACCAGCAGCCCTCAGAGAACCATGTTGGCATGGCAACATGCACAGAGGGTGTGGCTACAGAGAGAGGTGATGGTGATGTCACTCAGAGAGGTCTGGCCACAGTCTACTCCTACAAGACTATCTGTCTGGGGCAGTCTGCACAGGTAGGAGCGAATCTTTGTACTTGTGTGAGTTGTTATGTATCTTGGCACTGATTAATTTCTGTCAGTAGGAGCGTGGCAGGGTTGTGTGAGTTATAGCATATACCTGTATCCAGGACCACTTGGGAGAGAAAGAGGGGACAGACGTGGAGCAGAGTGAACTGATGAGGGAGATTGAGTCGCTGGGGTTAGAACTCAGAACGTCACGAGAGGTACTGGAGAAGAGCCAATCAGAGGTGAGCTCTTCTTTCTTCCTGTCTTCTTGGCCAATCAGAGGAGAGGTCAGAGGTCAGAACCATGACTAGACAGAATCTGTGATTGCAGGCTCAAAGGTGGTACCGTGAGCTGGGTGTGTCTGAGGTCAGACGAGAGGAGGCTGAGAAGAGGGCAGTACAGGCAGCCAATGAGGTGAAGAGGATGAGAGAGGGAACCAAGGAGGTGGAGGAGACAAAGAGGGAGAACCACACACTAAGAGCAGAGGTATGGATAGAGAAAGTATCCCTCTCACTAACCACAGTAGTCATGTCATGATAACCCACTGGCTGTGTCTGTTGTTAGTTGGGAGAGGTGAAGAGCAGACTAGCGAGTCTGGAGAGAGAGAAGACCGATGCTCACTCATTAAGGATCAAGATTGAAGAGAAGTTCAGCTTGCTTCAGGCTGAACTCAAAGCCAAGGTGTGTGTTGTGTCAGGCTGAATTCAAAGCCAAGGTGTGTGTTGTGTCAGGCTGAACTCAAGCCAAGGTGTGTGTGTTGTGTTGACTAATTATTTATATGTGTGTACTGTATACCTGAATTTGTGATTGTTCATTCACTGAGATCTGTGTGTGTAACAGAGTGTTGCTCTGAAAGAGCTGAGTTCAGAGTACACATCTCTGAAGAGAGAGCAGGGCAGCAGAGAGGACTGGAGCAACACACTCATCTCACTGAGGGCGCGCTATGATGACATCAGAGCTAAGGTAAACTACCTTTTGTCAGCTAAGATAGGTAAAATATACCCTTAAGGTTACCAATTTAGGTAGAAGTCACCCTTTTGCACCGATCTAGGATCAGCTTAATAATCTACTCTCCCTGAATCCAGAGCCTTACCATTAGGCAGAAAATACAAAACGGACCTTAGATCAGTGTCAAGGAGCAACTTCATCATACTCGGATAAGACCACAGCTCCCTGCTTAGAGTGATGTTTGTTCAAAGACATGCAGAATTAATTGTATTGGAAGAGAGCTTTTACGATATCAAAAGAGCTGTATTTGTGGTCAGTGTTTTTGGTTTACTGTAATGTTTTTTGTTATTTCCAGTGTATTTAGTCTAATGGCTGTGACTCTCCTGACTCTCTCCAGTACAATGTTCTCCTGAGAAAGAGTCAGACGGATCTGGACATAGCTCCTTTAAAGGTGAGGGGGGTGGAGAATGGTGGTAGTCTGTTGGTCTGGTTTGATACATGGTTGTTTGGAGCTAATAGAAGATTTGGTGTTGGACTTGTTTTGACTGACAGCTTTTGTATCCAATGTCAGGCCATGCTGTCATGATTTGGTTTTGATTGACTGATGATCTGTCCAATGACACGCCAAGCTGTCATGTTTTTGTTTTGATTGACTGATGCTTGGCTTGTCCAATGACAAGCCAAGCTGTCATGATTTGGTTTTGATTGACTGATCATCTGTCTAATGGCAGGCCAAGTTGTCATGTCTGGTGGTGAAGTGCCAGCAGAGGAACAGTCTACTGGTGCAGTTGATGCGAGCCCTGCGTCGGTATGGCTGCCTGGACTACAATCTGACCCAGGAGGCTGAGGACCTGCTTAACGACACAGCACTGCAGGACTACGCCAGCACCTTCACACCCCCATCCACTGCAGCTCTGCAGGAGAACACCCACCTTTTCCCACCTGCAGCCTCAGAACGACCGGAGCGCTCACAGACCTCTCCTGCAGCATCCACAGCACAGGTAAGAGTTACAGTAACACAGGAGTTTTCAAACCTCTCCTTGGGGACCCCCAGCGGTTCCATGTATTCAAACTAATCCACAGCTAGTACATCTGATTCAACTTGTCAACTAATCATCAAGCCCTTGACTACTTGAATCAGTTGAGTTAGTTCAGGGAAACAACACAATTGTGAAACGTTTGGGGGTCCCGAGGAGAGGTTTGAAACCCACTGCAGTAACACACCATACCACTGCACTGAACCACTAACTCATTTTAGTACAGTGTAATACAGAAAACATACCTCACACCAGCTGAAGGGGTTTATAACATAACACACCCATGTAAGGGGTTTCCCATGTCATCTCTAAGGGGTTGTGCTCTCTTCCTAGGAGCTGGGTAAAGCTGTGTCTGAAGGCAGTGGGAGGGAACACTTCAGAGTGTGTGTGGCCACAGCAGACTACTGCCCCTCTCCGAACATGCCTCACACTCTACTGCCAATGGTAGTCTGATTTAGAAATATTACAACTCTCAGTTTCTGTGGAGCATCGTATTGATGCATATAACAACATTATAACACATTATATCTTGTTGCTTTAGTGTTGCATGTCTTATACAGTAGGCTTATATTATCCACACATTTCTGTTACAGCTTCCCCTTTCTGCGGGTGAATCAGTCCAAGTCACTGGACTCCCAGACAGACGTGGGATGTACCATGCCGAGGTGAAAGGGGAGTTTGGCCTGGTCCCTGTCCGTTTCTTAGAGGAGAATGGGAGACCACTCATCCTGACTCCCCCCTCGCCAGAGAGATGTGCCAGTCTGACTAGGAAGTTGACCAGTCCGGAGAAGATCATCAACCTTCACCAGCAGCTACAGAAGACTCTCTCCAACAGCTACCAGGTAGGCCTATAGTACAGCTTTAACAAACTCTACGCTACCTACCTGCACACAAGTCATTTTTTATTTATTTAACCTTTATTTTGACAGGGAGTCAATGCTGAGACCAGATGAGCTCTCTATAGCACCACAATACACATCAAAATACAATAAACACATTAAACTACACATTCATATACACAATAAAATAAAAAACACACATGTTAAATATTTAGTAACTTTATTGTTCACAAAGGAAACTTCAGTTGTAGTAGAATTCAGTACAAAACCAAACAATGCTAACCTGGCTTGAAGGACCGCAAATGTATATTGTTTATGCACAAAGTCCCAGTATAGTCTACACTTCAATGTCACCCATTCTTGCCCATTCTCTCCCTAGGTTTTCCCTTCCAAGACCAGCCCCCAGGTTTACTCCAGTCCCCCTCCAGGCCAGGGGAACTCCCCAGGATACCCCAACCCTGCTGCCCCCAACCGACCCAAACATACCCTCATAACAACTACCCCTATTATTATTACTACTACTACTCCCCTATCTACCACTGCCCCCACTAGAACTACCAGTGATGGTGCTACCTCTTCTAAGCAGACCCCAAACAGAGCACATCCAACTACTAACCCTCCTGTCCACACCACCACCACTGCCCTTAGCATTAGCAGTGCTAAACAACCCCTCTCTAAAACTGGCTCTACTGCTGCTACCTCCGATGCTACTACCCCTGTTAATACCCCTCCTACCGCTATGGCCCGGACTGTTAAAGCACAAACTACCACTGCCTTGTGGAACACTGCCTCCACCAAATCTGCCCCTCCAACTATTACCCCTGAAACTACAGCCCCCACCAAAATGGCCCCCATCACTACTGCTCTTCCTCTTGCTGAGTTGTCACAACTGCCTGGTGAGGACCATTGTATCAAGAAGCCCCTCTCCAACTGCCAACCTGAACAAGCTAAACCAACCAAACCCAGAGCTATACCAGGTGCAGTAGCCCACACAATACACACTGTTGACTGTACACTTGACGGAAAGCACGCGTCTGATTGTCTTTGGTCCCGCCGCTTTTAGAACCTCCAGCTGAGGTGGGCTCTGTTGAGGTCATCAGGATGGTGGGACAGAGCAGCCTCATGATTGGTTGGGAGAGACCGCCACTTGATGAGCTGGGCTGTAGCAACGGAACCTTTGTGTATGGATACAGGGTAGGCTGCTCCTCTCGCCTTGGATACAGTAGAATGTAAATAGAGGGTTTGGGTGTTGTTCATTCTGTGCTCTGTGTATGTTGTGCTTCTCTCTCTCTCTCTCTCTCTCTCTCTCTCTCTCTCTCTCTCTCTCTCTCTCTGTCTCTGTCTCTGTCTCTGTCTCTGTCTCTGTCTCTCTCTCTCTCTCTAATTTAATTTCAATCTAATTTAAGGGGCTTTATTGGCATGGGAATCATATGTTTACATTGCCAAAGCAAGTGAAATAGATGATAAACAAAAGTGAATGAAACAATAAAAAAATTAATAGTAAACATTACACTCACAGAAGTTCAAAAATAATAAAGACATTTAAAGTGTCATTATGTCTATATACAGTGTTGTAATGATGTGCAAATAGTTAAAGTATAAAAATAAATCAACATAAATATAGGTTGTATTTACAATGGTGTTTGTTCTTCAGTGGTTGCCCTTTTCTTGTTGGAACAGGTCACAAATTCTGCTGCTGTGATTGCACACTGTGGTATTTCACCCAATAGATATGGGAGTTTATCCAAATTCTAATATGGTCATACATTTGGCAGGAGGTTAGGAAGTGCAGCTCAGTTTCCACCTCATTTTGTGGGCAGCGTGCACATAGCCTGTCTTCTCTTGAGAGCCAGGTCTGCCTAAGGCGGCCTTTCTCAATAGGAAGGCTATGCTCACTAAGTCTGTACATAGTCAAATATTTCCTTAATTTGGGGTCAGTCACAGTGGTCAGGTATTCTGCCACTGTGTACTCTCTGTTTAGGGCCAAATAGCATTCTAGTTTGCTCTGATTTTTTGTAAATTCTTTCCAATGTGTCAAGTAATTCTCTTTTTGTTTTCTCATAATTTGTTTGTGTCTAATTGTGTTGCTGTCCTGGGGCTCTGTGGGGTCTATTTGTGTTTGTGAACAGAGCCCCAGGACCAGCTTGCTTAGGGGACTCTTCTCCAGGTTAATCTCTCTGTAGGTGATGGCTTAGTTATGGAAGGTTTGGGAATCGCTTCCTTTTAGGTGGTTGTAGAATTTAATGGCTATTTTCTGGATTTTGATAATTAGCGGGTATCGGCCTAATTCTGCTCTGCATGTATTATTTGGTGTTTTACATTGTACACAGAGGATATTTTTGCAGAATTCTGCATGCAGAGTCTCAATTTGGTGTTTGTCCCATTTTGTGAATTCTTGGTTGGTGAGCGGACCCCAGCTCTCACAACCATAAAGGGCAATGGGTTCTATAACTGATTCAAGTATTTTTAGCCAGATCCTAATTGGTATGTCGGATTTTATGTTCCTTCTAATGCATAGAAGGCCCTTCTTGCCTTGTCTCTCAGATCATTCACAGCTTTGTGGAAGTTACCTGTGACGCTGATGTTTAGGCCGAGGTATGTATCGTTTTTTGTGTGCTCTAGGGCAACGGTGTCTAGATGGAATTTGTATTTGTGGTCCTGGCAACTGGACCTTTTTTGGAACATCATTATATTTGTCTTACTGAGATTTACTGTCAGGGCCCAGGTCTGACAGAATCTGTGCAGAAGATCTAGGTGCTGCTGTAGGCCCTCCTTGGTTGGGGACAGAAGCACCAGATTATCAGCAAACAGTAGACATTTGACTTCAGATTCTAGTAGGGTGCTGCAGACTGTTCTAGTGCCCTTGCCAATTCGTTGATGTATATATGTTGAAGAAGGTGGGGCTTAAGCTGCATCCCTGTCTCACCCCACGGCCCTGTGGAAAGAAATGTGTGTGTTTTTGCCTAATTTTACCGCACAATTGTTGTTTGTGTACATACATTTTATAATGTTGTATGTTTTCCACCCAACACCACTTTCCGTAAATTTGTACAGCAGACCCTCATGCCAAATTGAGTCAATAGCTTTTTTGAAATCAACAAAGCATGAGAAGACTTTGCCTTTTGTTTTGGTTTGTTTGTTTGTCAATTAGGGTGTGCAGGGTGAATACGTGGTCTGTTGTACGATATTTTGGTAAAAAGCCAATTTGACCTTTGCTCAGGACATTGTTTTCACTGAGGAAATGTATGAGTCTGTTGTTAATGTTAATGCAGAGGATTTTCCCAAGGTTGCTGTTGATGCATATCTCACGGTAGTTATTGGGGTAAAATTTGTCTCCACTTTTATAGATTGGGGTGATCAGTCCTTGGTTCCAAATATTGGGGAAGATGTCAGAGCTAAGGATGATGTTAAACAGTTTAGCCAATTGGAATTTAATGGTACAGCCTACCATTATCATTTAATTGAGGACACCATCAACACCACAGGCCTTTTTGGGTTGGAGGGTTTGTATTTTGTCCTGTAGTTCATTGAATGTAATTGGAGAATCCAGTGAGTTCTGGTAGTCTTTAATAGTTGATTCTAAGATTTGTATTTGATCATGCATATGTTTTTGCTGTTTGTTCTTTGTTATATGGCCAAAAAGATTGGAGAAGTGGTTTACCCATACATCTCCATTTTGGATAGATAACTCTTCGTGTTGTTGTTTGTTTAGTGTTTTCCAATTTTCCCAGAAGTGGGTAGTCTATGGATTCTTCACTTATATTGAGCTGATTTCTGACGTGCTGTTCCTTCTTTTTCCGTAGTGTGTTTCTGTATTGTTTTAGTGATTCACCATAGTGAAGGCGTAGGCTCAGGTTTTCTGGGTCTGTATGTTTTTGGTTAGATAGGTTTCTCCAATTTCTTTCTTAGGTTTTTGCATTCTTCATCAAACCCTTTGTCATTGTCGTTAGTTTTCTTTGGTTTTCTGTTTGACATGTTTAGATCTGATAGGGAAGCTGAGAGGTCAAATATACTGTTTAGGTTTTCCACTGCCAAGTTTACACCTTCACTATCACAGTGAAATGTTTTTTCCAGGAAGTTGTCTAAAAGGGCTTAAATTTGTTGTTGCCTAATTGTTTTTTTGTAGGTTTCCACACTACTTTCCTTCCATCTATAGCATATCTTAATATTATTCAGTTCCTTTGGCTTTGATGCCTCATGATTGAGTATTACTCTGTTCAAGTAGACTGTGATTTTGCTGTGATCTAATAGGGGTGTCAGTGGGCTGACTGTGAACGCTCTGTCTACAGTACTACTGCCAAGAGATGAGCTATAGGTGTACCTACCATAGGAGTCCCCTTGAAGCCTACCATTGACTATGTACAGTCGTGGTCAAAAGTTTTGAGAATGACACAAATACTAATTGTCACAAAGTCTGCTGCCTCAGTTTTGATGATGGCAATTTGCATATACTCCAGAATGTCATGAAGAGTGATCAGATGAATTGCAATTAATTGCAAAGTCCCTCTTTGCCATGAAAATGAACTTAATCCCAAAAAACATTACCACTACATTTCAGCCCTGCCACAACAGGACCAGCTGCCATCCTGTCAGTGATTCTCTCATTAACACAGGTGAGAGTGTTGACGAGGACAAGGCTGGACATCACTCTGTCATGCTGATTGAGTTAGAATAACAGACTGGAAGCTTTAAAAGGAGGGTGGTGCTTGAAATCATTGTTCTTCCTCTGTTAACCATGGGTTACCTGCAAGGAAGCATGTGCCGTCATCATTACTTTGCACAAAAAGGGCTTCACAGGCAAGGATATTGCTGCTAGTAAGATTGCACCTAAATCAACCATTTATTGGATCATCAAGAACTTCAAGGAGAGAGGTTCAATTGTTATGAAGAAGGCTTTCAGGGCGCCCAAGAAAGTCCAGCAAGCGCCAGGACCATCTCCTAAAGTTGATTCAGCTGCGGGATCGGGGCACCACCAGTGCAGAGCTTGCTCAGGAATGGCAGCAGGCAGGTGTGAGTGCATCTGCACGCACAGTGAGGCGAAGACTTTTGGAGGATGGCCTGGTGTCAAGAAGGGCAGCAAAGAAGCCACTTCTCTCCAGGAAAAACATCAGGGATAGACTGATATTCTGCAAAAGGTACAGGGATTGGACTGCTGAGGACTGGGGTAAAGTCATTTTCTCTGATGAATCCCCTTTCCAATTGTTTGGAGCATCCAGAAAACACCTTGTCTGGAGAAGACAAGGTGAGCGCTACCATCAGTCCTGTGTCATGCCAACAGTAAAGCATCCTGAGACCATTCATGTGTGGGGTTGCTTCTCAGCCAAGGGAGTGGGCTCACTCACAATTTTGCCTAAAAACACAGCCATGAATAAAGAATGGTACCAACACATCCTCCGAGAGCAACTTCTCCCAACCATCCAAGAACAGTTTGGTGACGACCAATACCTTTTCCAGCATGATGGAGCACCTTGCCATAAGGCAAAAGTGATAACCAAGTGGCTCTGGGAATAAAACATCGACATTTTGGGTCCATGGCCAGGAAACTCCCCAGACCTTAATCCCACTGAGAACTTGTGGTCGATCCTCAAGAGGCGGGTGGACAAACAAAAACCCACAAATTCTGACAAACTCCAAGCATTGATTATGCAAGAATGGGCTGCCATCAGTCAGGATGTGGCCCAGAAGTTAATTGACAGCATGCCAGGGCGGATTGCAGAGGTCTTGAAAAAGAAGGGTCAACACTGCAAATATTCACTCTTTGCATAAACTTAATGTAATTGTCAATAAAAGCCTTTGACACTTATGGAATGCTTGTAATTATAATTCAGTATACCATAGTAACATCTGACAAAAATATCTCATAACACTGAAGCAGCGAACTTTGTGAAGAGCAATACTTGTGGGCCTCTGTAGCTCAGCTGGTAGAGGACGACGCTTGTAACGCCAAGGTAGTGGGTTCGATCCCCGGGACCACCCATACACAAAAATGTATGCACGCATGACTGTAAGTTGCTTTGGACAAAAGCGTCTGCTAAATGGCATATTATTATATTATATTATATTATATATTATATTCTCAAAACTTTTGACCACGACTGTACATACCAAGCGTGTGACAGAGCTGCAGGAGTTGTGACCCGTTTTTGTTGGTTATGTTGTCGTAGTTGTGCCTAGGGGGGCATATGGGGAAGGGAATGCTGTCACCTCCAGGTATGTGTTTATGCCCATGTGTGCTGAGGGTGTCAGGTTCTTGTCCAGTTCTGGCATTTAGGTAGCCACAGACTAGTACATATCCCTGGGCCTGGAAATGATTGATTTCCCCCTCCAGGATGGAGACGCTGTCTTCATTAAAGAATGGGGATTCTAGTGGGGGGATATAGGTAGCACACAGGAGGAAATTTTTCTCTGTTGAGATAATTTCCTTTTGAATTTCTAGCCAAATGTAAAATGTTCCTGTTTTGATTAATTGAATAGAGTGAGTTAGGTCTGCTCTATACCAAACTAGCATACTCCCTGTTTCACACCTGGTCGTTTGGTGGATGGGACTACCAGCTCCCTGCAAGCTAGAGGGCAACCAGTGGGTCCATCTCCTCTATACCATGTTTTTTGTAGGATGACAATGTCTGTCTTTCTGATTTCTTTGGTGAAGTCCAGGTTCCTGTTCTTTAGGCCAAAGGCCTTGAATATTCCAGGATGAGATAGTGAAGGCTTTGTGCTCCATTAAGTGTCCAGTGTTAGTCGTGTGGTTTGGCCTCAGACCAGTATGTGTGAGCAGAGCCTGCTGAGCATCTGGTACATGCCATTGGCTTGGGCTAGTGTAAAAGTGGGGGTTGGGCCTGTTTGCCTGCTCATGACCTGGGCATATGTGTGACTTTCATGTTGAGGCCCTCTTTGCGGGAGTGGGGGGCATAGGGTGGGCAGGAGGGGCATAGGTCTGATCTGAGGGGGCTTAAATGGGGTGTGGGCATAGTTGACTTGTGGGGGGGGGCGGGGGTTGATGTGGTTGGTGGTGCTGTGGTTAGGATGTAGGTCCTCACGGCGTGGGTCCTCTATGTGTAGGTCCGGGTGGAGGTTCCGCTGGTCTGGGCAGGGTGTCTGTTGATATGTTGCTCCTATGTGAGGTGTTGGGGCTACGGTTGAGGGCGATGTCCTTTAGGGTCCGGGCGAAGGTGGGCACTGTTGCCTTGTATAGGTGGACCTGGTCGTAAAGGCTGTTCAAGTCCAGGGTGGAGTGGTGGGACAGGTAGACATTTGGTTTTGAGGTACAGTCATGGGAAATACTTGCGTTTACCCACTGTATGGTAGCAGGGTGGAAGTATTTTTGTGGTAGCAGGGTGGTGGAGATAACCACTTGTGCATTGGGGAAAGTAGAAGAAGCTTTTTCAATCACTCCCTTGAGTGCTGTGGCCACCCTTTCCTGCTGTGTTCTCAGGTCATTTGTGCCTGTGTGTATTATTATGTGGCTGGGTGACCCAAGTTGGTCCTCAGTCAGAAGGTCTAGGGCACACTGGGTGTTTGGACACCAGAGTTTAGACACTGTGTGTTTGGGAAAAAGTTTATTTTCTTGTATGTATTTCCCATTTGAGTCCATGAGGAGTACAATATGTGGCTTGTGTATGTCCTCAGTGGGTGTGGGGGGGTCGTCAGGAGGGCTATCAAGGGTGGCTGACAGGGGAGTTGCTCAGAGAGGGTGGGATCCCCTGGGCTTGGGGTTCTTCATTTATTTGCCCGGCTGTGATGTCGAGGCTATGGTCAGGATCTGAGGTGGGCTGTTCTGCTGTCTTCTCTGCGGGGGTGGCCAGCTCTCTACTGGGTTGTTCTCTGTCACCCGCCATCGTTCTCACCTTCTCCTCCAGCACTCTGATCCTCTCCTCTAGTGCTTTGTTCTTCTCCTGCTCCTGCTCTTTCTCCTGTTGATGTTGTCTCACCACAGTCCAGAGTGCAGTTATGTCTCTCTCCACCTCCAGCTCTCCGGGCCTGGTTGAGGGGGTGTTGTTGAGCTGGACAATTTTTTGTGCTGACTGGAGTGTGTTCACCTGCTGTTCCAGCTCCATCTGCCTTACCTCCAGCTGGGTGAATGTGTACTTCATTTCAATGAGGGAGTAGTACTCTGTGCTAGGAGGTTGACTTTCCACTTGGGGTTGCTCGTCTGTGGGGTTATATAATGAAGAGGTCTGGTCTGACCCGCTCGGGGTGGGGGTATCTTTCTCAAGGGAGCGCTTCTCCTGCTGAGGTATTTCTTTGATTAGGTGAAAGTCCAGCTGAAACTGTTTGGGGTTGCCCTGTACCATTACTGTTCCAGACTTATACAGGTTGACATTGGCTGACTCAGAGTCCTCATTGTCTAGTATCCTGAGTTTCAACCCATCGCTAACACCCCTCCTCTTAACAGAGGGGTAGTGTGTTAATATAGCACTGCGCCATGCCAGGGGATTGTATGGGTGGAAGATTAAGTTGCTTATGTTCCATTTTTATAATAGTCAGCAAAAAGTGTTTCTTGATTTTCCATAAGGAGGTTCTTTTTGTACTCTTTTCGTGCCTTATCATTTTTAACATCCAGAGGGTACTGTATGCTAATAATCTCTGTGCAGCGGGAGGGGGCTTCAAAGGCCTCTGCATTTGGGTGGGGTAGGCTGTGGAACTCTCCGGCCATTGTTGGGCTCAAGGGCTATGACACCTCTCGCTTCACACCTCAGTGCTAATTGAAGTTGCAATCGGATATGTACTGTCCTAGCAAGCTTGGTAGCCTTAACTTAGCATTCAGGCCTTATATATATAATATATCATTATAGTGTATTTTTCTTCTTGGTTGTAAAAGTAGCTTCGGACTAAACATTACTCACTCAGTTCCAGGTTGGATGGGGTTTTCTATTGTTTGTTTGACAGAGCATTTGCTGTATAGATTGGAAGTAGGAATCTCTGGTAGTAGGAATCCTTACAGGTAATTTTGTCAAAAATCAGGTTTTAGGATTGGAGTTTTGATTTTGGAGTGAAGGTATCCTGTGTATGTCCTTGCCAAAAAATCCAAGTTTATCTAACTCTAAATCTATCTTTTTGTAAAAACATGCCGAAAAATGCGGGAGCTCATCTGCTCATCTGCTCTCTCTCTCGCTCTCTCTCTCTCTCTCTCTCTCTCTCTCTCTCTCTCTCTCTCTCTCTCTCTCTCTCTCTCTCTCTCTCTCTCTCTCTCTCGCTCTCTCTCTCTATCTCTCTAGATCTATGTAGAAGGGGAATTCCACAAGTCTGTCATGAGCTCTGCATGCACTAAGGTACAGTGTTAAACGGTCCTTTGACAACATGCTCCTCCTTTCCTCCTCTTTCTTTCTCCTCTTCCTCCCCTCCTGCCCTAATGATGTAATAATATGTATCCCTGTGTGTGGTGTTTCTACGTATCATGAGTTGAATGGTTGAAGATGACAGTGTGTATCTGTCCTCTCTCTCAGTGTATTCTGGAGAATCTGGATCTGTCCGTTCCGGTCCACATCAGTGTTCAGACCCTGGGCTCCAACGGTCTCTACGCAGAGAAGGTCCTCCTCATCTACAGGGGAAAACACACCCAGTTTAGGATAGACCACACCCGTGTCAACACAGCTTCTGCTGCTCCCTGCACAGACCCTGCCTACCCAGACTGCAGAACTCCGCCCACACACCGACACAGTGGCTCCACCCAACCAGTGAGTTCTACAGACATGCCCACTTCCAAATTGACACACCCACCACGTGATCACTTTTGCCCTGACCTTGGGGTGCAACTTTCCCAAAATGTACCCTGGTTTTCAAGAAATCCTGGTTGGAAGATTCCTGGAATTTTGAAGGAATAAATAGGAAATACAGGAATCCTCCAGACAGGATTTTGGGAAATTTATCGGAATTTTGCAACCTTACACTGACCCAACCTTTTCACCTTTCAATATTTTACTACAGATTTTCACTCTAGAGTTGAAAGCTTACTCACCAGACTCAGAAACTCAAACAGTCATGATGTGTGCCTTTTCAGTTACTGTGTTTCATTGAAATCTGCATGAAATAATGAAATGTGATCCATTCATAATTCTCTACATTTACAGTCATGTGTGTGTGTGTACTCTGTGTGTATGTGGCGTGCCCTTCAGTTTGTGGCCATCTATAACTACAACCCTCTGAGGGACAGTCCTAACCTCCACCCCAGCAGAGAGCTGGCCCTGAGAGAGGGAGACACCGTCATGCTGCTAGGCAACCCACGCAACGACGGCTTCTGTCAGGCCGAGGTGGGCCAATCAACAACATCCAGGCAGCAGTCATTTACCAATGAACTTTCAGCATCAGCTTGTAGCTTGTACCTCTTTATATCAGATCATCAGGTGTATGTACATTGAACAGATCTGTGTCTGAGATATTGAACAGACTACTATCTAAACAGACTACTATCTAAACAGACTACTATCTAAACAGACTACTATCTAAACAGACTACTATCTAAACAGACTATTATCTAACAGACTACTATCTAAACAGACTATTATCTAACAGGCCACTATCTAAACAGACTACTATCTAAACTGTGTGTTGCAGATGAGTGCTACTGTAGATAGCTTGCTGAGTGACTGTGTGTTTCAGGTGAATGGCAGACGAGGTCTGGCTCCTGTGGCGTTCCTAGAGGAAGTTCCTGTTCCAGACAGACATGTAAGCCCCGCCCCTCCCCAATATCCTCCTGAGAGAGGACCAGGTGATAGGCCACTGTGACTGCCAATCAGAGAGAGAACAAGATGATAGGCCACTGTGACTGCCAATTAGAGAGAGGACAAGATGATTGCCCACTGTGACTGCCAATCAGAGAATGCTTCCCCACAGAGAGATTATAGTGGCCAGCGTTAATGACATCATTAAACACTACCTGCCTGTGACACAAATGTTTCATAAGTGCTCCCTGCCCAAAGTCATTTCAAATGGAAGACTACAGTAGAGCACCAGCCTAAATGTTGGAAGGACATATGTGTGTGGCCCAGTTTGACATTGTGCTTCGATGGACAGTTGCTTATAGCCTACATCATGCTCACTGAGATTGTGTCGAATCATCTCTAACTGTGCTTAAAAATCCCCACTGTTCTGTGTGTAACCTCTCGTGGACAGACACACGTAACATAACTGGTATCGTAACGCCTGTCAACAGACTGTGGGATGCGACGACTAACAAGGAACTTTGTTCCGATGTGCAGATTTTTCATCACTGATCATTTTGGACAAATCCGATTTCGCATCTTTCGAATTTCGGAAGGGGAGGGGACATTTGGCCCGTAGACTTGCCTGTAACTTGTAAAGGGGGGTGGAGCTACTGCCCTGCTTCCGCTACTTGCTCTAGTCTCTTTTTGAACACATCTGCCCCCAGAACTTAATCGAGTATCTGACGCAATTACGCAAGATTGTAATTCTGGGTTTCCAAGATTATTCTGTATGTGACAAGTGTCAAAAATGTCAAAGGTGGGCCTAAAGGATGTGACAACCTGTCTGACAACCTGTCTAATATCAAGTGATAGTGGGTTACATGGTAATAAAGCAAGGCCATTTTACTGGATCTTTTATCAAGCCAAATATGAAAAAAGGAGGTCCATACCAAAGACTTTGATATTTCAGTTCCTTGTCTTTATACACTGAACAAAAATATAAACGCAATATGTAAAGTGTTGGTCCCATGTTTCATGAGCTGAAATAAAAGATCACAGAAATGTTCCATACACAAAAATTCTCTCAAATTTTGTGCACAAATTTGTTTACATCCCTGTTAGTGAGCATTTCTCTTTTGGCAAGCTAATCCATCCACCTGACAGGTGTGGCATATCAAGAAGCTGATTAAACAGCATGATCCTTACACAGGTGCACCTTGTGCTGGGGACAATAAAAGGCCACTCTAAAATGTGAAATTTTGTCACACAACACAATGCCACAGATGTCTCAAGTTTTGAGGGAGCGTGCAATTGGCATGCTGATTGAAGGAATGTCCACCAGAGCTGTTGCCAGAGAATTGAAGGTTCATTTCTCTACCATAAGCCACCTCCAACATTGTTTTAGAGAAATTGGCAGTACGTCCAACCGGCCTCACAACCGCAGACCACGTGTAACCACGCCAGCCCAGGACCTCCACATCCAGCTTCTTCCCCTGCAGGATCATCTGAGACCAGCCACCCGGACAGCTGATGAAAGTGTGGGCATGCACAACCAAATAATTTCTACACAAACTGTCAGAAACCGTCTCAGGGAAGCTCATCTGCATGAACGTCGTCCTCACCAAGGTCTTGACCTGACAGCAGTTTGGCGTCGCTGGAGAAGTTTGCTCTTCACGGATGAATCCCGGTTTCAACTGTACCGAGCAGATGGCAGATAGAGTGTATGGCGTTGTGTGGGCGTGCAGTTTGCTGATGTCAACGTTGTGAACAGAGTGCCCCGTGGTGGCGCTGGGGTTATGGTATGAGCTGTCATAAGCTACAGACAACGAACACAATTGCATTTTATCGATGGCATTTGCATGCACAGAGATACCGTGACGAGATCCTGAGGCCCATTGTTGTGCCATTCATCCGCCGCCATCATCTCATGTTTCAGCATGATAAAGCACGGCCCAATGTCGCAAGGATCTGTACACAATTCCTGGAAGTTGAACATTTCCCAGTTCTTCCATGGCCTGGATATTCACCAGACATGTCACCCATTGAGCATGTTTGGGATGCTCTGGATTGACGTGTACGACAGCGTGTTCCAGTTCCCGCCAATATCCAGCAATTTTGCACAGCCATTGAAGAGGTGTGGGACAAAATTCCACAGGCCAAAATCAACATCCTGATCAACTCTATGCAAAGGAGATGTGTAGCACTGCATGAGGCAAATGGTGGTCATACCAGATACTGACTGGTTTTCTGATCCACGCCCCCATCTTTTTTTGAAGGTATCAGTGACCAACAGATGCATATCTGTATTTCCATAGATTAGGGCCTATTGAATTTATTTAAATTGACTGATTTCCAGTAAAATCATAGAAATTGTTGCATGTTGCATTTATATTTTTGTTCAGTGTATTTACAAAAGTCAATCATGGTTGTTCATCAAATCATAAATTTGATTGAAGTTTGAGATGTTCTTCTACTGTAGAATCTAATCACTCTATGAAGTCATGTCATTCAGATGGATAGAAGTTTATCACTGATATATATATTTTTAGATTATTAAAGAACCTGAGTTATGCCATTGGGATGTACAGTACTTTATGTGTGCCTGTGGGTATCAATCTCCTTTCATTTCCTCAGTCTCTGTCTAACTGAAGTTAATAACGTTTTACTTTTCCGTTCTGATCTGAAATAGAGAAAATACATTCTGTGTGAGACACGTGACTACTTGTCCTTCCTCTGATTGTGGGAACGGCCATGTGGCCACAAATGTATTTTTATATCACTGTGCATATGATGTAATTAGATTTCCTAATGATTTATTTAGACTGTATTAAGATAATAAATGTTTAGATGACATCACATATAGTAGCATGTCCTGTATTTTCTGGATTATACTGCGATGTACTACCTTAAATTTTCCACAAGATGGCAGTCATTGCAAATTTGCCAGCATGTTACTCTCAATAGCCAAATAAATACTCACCATAGAAATTCTATACACATTCTATTTGTCTGTGCTTTTTACAGGTGTTATTGCTGTGATGGCATTGAAATAATTGATATCAAAACTCCCACTGTGTGTTGCGTACAAACACTTACATGTAGATATGTTAGGGAAAACTCACACACACACACACACACACACACACACACACACACACACACACACAAGCATTGGAGGCAAGAGTGGCTTAATAACCACCTGCTGTGGTCTGCTGCTGTGTGAATTCCTCATAGAGTAAAACCCCACAGCTCAGCAGAAAGAAAGTGTTTGTGTGAATGGGGAGAGTGGCTCAATAGTCCCTAAACACAGAGGAGATAAGAACACATCCTCAAACCCAAACACGAACAAATGCACAGTTGGACGACCACAGAAAGGAGTCCTATGAGGGCCTGCTGAACTGCAGCATACATTTTTTGACTTAAAAATTAATTATATATACCTATTGATTCTTGAATGATATAACTTTGAAATTCCTCATGAGCTTAGTTCAAGACTAGTGCAGCTGTCTGTAGAGCTGTCCACTCCACTGTTGCAGCCTAGAGAGAAACCATAGACCCTGGAGACACTTATTACACACACACACACACACACACACACACACACACACACACACACACACACACACACACACACACACACACACACACACACACACACACACACACACACACACACACACACATCCCACACTCCTAGCACAGGGTGTGTTTGAAGGTTGTTGTTTACAGGCTGTTTACTCCCTGTATGGAGACTACTGTAGTGAAAACCACAGGGTCGTAACGTTGTCTTTATAAAACACACCCGGGACAACAGAGCAGTGTAGAACCCTCTTCTACTGGAGTTAATGACCTACATATTAGTGTACTGAAGGCTGATTTATTGAAGACATGCTTGTTATTCACTTCATGTTGGTCAGTTGATAATCTTACAGGATGGCAGAGAGAGATGAGGAGGAGAAATTGGTGGCGATATGGATTAATTGAGTTGTGTACGCTTCACTACTCATGCAAAACCTTGTGCATGTGTTTGTACAGTGGGGAAAAAAAGTATTTAGTCAGCCACCAATTGTGCAAGTTCTCCCACTTAAAAAGATGAGAGGCCTGTAATTTTCATCATAGGTACACGTCAACTATGACAGACAAATTGAGAAAAAGAAATCCAGAAAATGACATTGTAGGATTTTTTATGAATTTATTTGCAAATTATGGTGGAAAATAAGTATTTGGTCACCTACAAACAAGCAAGATTTCTGGCTCTCACAGACCTGTAACTTCTTCTTTAAGAGGCTCCTCTGTCCTCCACTCGTTACCTGTATTAATGGCACCTGTTTGAACTTGTTATCAGTATAAAAGACACCTGTCCACAACCTCAAACAGTCACACTCCAAACTCCACTATGGCCAAGACCAAAGAGCTGTCAAAGGACACCAGAAACAAAATTGTAGACCTGCACCAGGCTGGGAAGACTGAATCTGCAATAGGTAAGCAGCTTGGTTTGAAGAAATCAACTGTGGGAGCAATTATTAGGAAATGGAAGACATACAAGACAACTGATAATCTCCCTCGATCTGGGGCTCCACGCAAGATCTCACCCCGTGGGGTCAAAATGATCACAAGAACGGTGAGCAAAAATCCCAGAACCACACGGGGGGACCTAGTGAATGACCTGCAGAGAGCTGCGACCAAAGTAACAAAGCCTACCATCAGTAACACATAACACACTACGCCGCCAGGGACTCAAATCCTGCAGTGCCAGACGTGTCCCCCTGCTTAAGCCAGTACATGTCCAGGCCCGTCTGAAGTTTGCTAGAGTGCATTTGGATGATCCAGAAGAGGATTGGGAGAACGTCATATGGTCAGATGAAACCAAAATAGAACTTTTTGGTAAAAACTCAACTCGTCGTGTTTGAAGGACAAAGAATGCTGAGTTGCATCCAAAGAACACCATACCTACTGTGAAGCATGGGGGTGGAAACATCATACTTTGGGGCTGTTTTTCTGCAAAGGGACCAGGATGAGTGATCCGTGTAAAGGAAAGAATGAATGGGGCCATGTATCGTGAGATTTTGAGTGAAAACCTCCTTCCATCAGCAAGGGCATTGAAGATTAAACGTGGCTGGGTCTTTCAGCATGACAATGATCCCAAACACACCGCCCGGGCAACGAAGGAGTGGCTTCGTAAGAAGCATTTCAAGGTCCTGGAGTGGCCTAGCCAGTCTCCAGATCTCAACCCCATAGAAAATCTTTGGAGGGAGTTGAAAGTCCGTGTTGCCCAGCGACAGCCCCAAAACATCACTGCTCTAGAGGAGATCTGCATGGAGGAATGGGCCAAAATACCAGCAACAGTGTGTGAAAACCTTGTGAAGACTTACAGAAAACGTTTGACCTGTGTCATTGCCAACAAAGGGTATATAACAAAGTATTGAGAAACTTTTGTTATTGACCAAATACTTATTTTCCACCATAAATTTGCAAATCAATTCATAAAAAATCCTACAATGTGATTTTCTGGATTTTTTTTCCTCATTTTGTCTGTCATAGTTGACGTGTACCTATGATGAAAATTACAGGCCTCTCTCATCTTTTTGATGTGGGAGAAGTGGGAGAACTTGCACAATTGGTGGCTGACTAAATACTTTTTTTCCCCACTGTATGTACAGTGCCTTCAGAAAGTATTCACACCCCTTGACCTTTTCCACATGTTGTTGTGCTACAGACTGAATTTAAAATTGATTAAATTGAGATTGTGTGTCACTGGCCTACACTAAATACCCCATAATGTCAAAGTGGAATTATGTTTTTATAAATATTTACAAATTAATAAAACATTTAAAGCTGAAATGTCTTTAGTCAATAAGTATTTAACCCCTTTGTTATGGCAAGCCTAAATAAGTTCAGCGGTAAAATTGTGCTTAACAAGTCACATAATGAGTTGCATGGACTCACTCTGTGTGCAATAATAGTGTTTAACATGATTTTTGAATGACTACCTCATCTCTGTACCCCACACATACAATTATCTGTAAGGTCCCTCAGTCGAGCAGTGAATTTCAAACACAGATTCAACCTCAAAGACCAGGGAGGTTTTCCAATGCCTCGCAAAGAAGGACACCTATTGGTAGATGGGTAAAAAAAAAGCAGACATTGAATATCCCTTTGAGTACAGTGGCTTGCGAAAGTATTCACCCCCAATGGCATTTTTCCTATTTTGTTGCCTTACAACCTGGAATTAAAATTGATTTTTTGGGGGGTTTGAATCATTTGATTTACACAACATGCCTACCACTTTGAAGATGCAAAATATTTTTTCTTGTGAAACAAACAAGAAATAAGACAAAAAAACAGAAAACTTGAGCATGCATAACTACTCACCCCCCCAAAGTCAATACTTTGTAGAGCCACCTTTTGCAGAAATTACAGCTGCAAGTCTCTTAGTGTATGTCTCTATAAGCTTGGCACATCTAGCTACTGGGATTTTTGCCCATTCTTCAAGGCAAAACTGCTCCAGCTCCTTCAAGTTGGATGGGTTCCGCTGGTGTACAGCAATCTTTAAGTCATACCACAGATTCTCAATTGGATTGAGGTCTGGGCTTTGACTAGGCCATTCCAAGACATTTAAATGTTTCCCCTTAAACCACTCGAGTGTTGCTTTAGCAGTATGCTTAGGGTCATTGTCCTGCTGGAAGGTGAACCTACGTCCCAGTCTCAAATCTCTGGAAGACTAAAACAGGTTTCCCTCAAGAATTTCCCTGTATTTAGCGCCATCCATCATTCCTTCAATTCTGACCAGTTTCCCAGTCCCTGCCGATGAAAAACATCCCCACAGCATGATGCTGCCAGCACCATGGTGTTCTCGGGGTGATGAGAGGTGTTGGGTTTGCACCAGACATAGCGTTTTCCTTGATGGCCAAAAAGCTCAATTTTAGTCTCATCTGACCAGAGTACCTTCTTCCATATGTTTGGGGAGTCTCCCACATACCTTTTGGCGAACACCAACGTGTTTGCTTATTTTTTCTTTAAGCAATGGCTTTTTTCTGGCTACTCTTCCGTAAAGCCCAGCTCTGTGGAGTGTATGGCTTAAAGTGGTCCTATGGACAGATACTCCAATCTCCGCTGTGGAGCTTTGCAGCTCCTTCAGAGTTATCTTTGGTCTCATTGTTGCCTCTCTGATTAATGCACTCCTTGCCTGGTCCGTGAGTTTTGGTGGGCGGCCCTCTCTTGGCAGGTTTTGTCCCTGACCTGTTTGGAGAGGTCCTTAGTCTTCATGGTGCTGCTTACTTGTAGTTAATCCACAATACTAACCTAAATGACAGGATGCATGTTTGGGAATAAAAATATTCCTAAACATGCATCCTGTTTGCAATAAGGCACTAACTGCAGAAAATGTGGCAAGGAAATTAACTTTATGTCCTGAATATAAAGTGTTATGTTTGGGGCAAATCCAACACAACACATCACTGAGTACCACTCTTCATATTTTCAAGCATTGTGGTGGCTGCATCATGTTATGGGTATGCTTGTCATCGGCAAGAATTAGGGAGTTTTTTTGGGATAAAAAGAAACGGAATAGAGCTAAGCACAGGCAAAATCCTAGTGGAAAACCTGCTTCAGTCTGCTGTCCAATATGTTTTTACTTTGTCATTACTGGGTATTCATTTTGAATTCAATCAAGGGGTATTAATACTTTCTGAAGGCACTGTAGGTTTGTGTGTGTGTGTCTGCTTGTCAGTGACTGCAACATCTGGGCCCCGGCCCCACTAGGGATTCTGGGACATGCTGTGTGACGCAGACAGACACCTCTGGAACCTTCCTCACAGCGTGTGTGTGTTTATCTGCACATGTGTGAAAGTATGTTTATATGAATGAGAGCATATCTTTGTCAATTACAGTGTGTGTGTGTGTGTGTGTGTAGCAGGGCAGACATACAGCTGTCAGCAGGGTGCCCCCAGGAGAGGAAGAAGAGGGGGATGAGGAGGAGGGGAGGTATATGGTGGGGGGATGTAGGTCCCACAGGGACTCCATCAAACCCAAAGTGATGTGTCCCGAGGGGGATATGGAGACTGAGTGTCTGGAGCGCCAGTTCAAACCCTCCAGCCAGAGCTCGCTGCTCACACCCAGCAGTCCAGCTCCCAAAATGTGCTTCCCCCCCAATATGTCTGGGCCACCCAGCCGGATGGAAGTTGGATTTTGAGTTTTTCTGACAAAAAATGTTAATTAACATGATGTTCTTGTATTCCATGTAGGGGGTCAAAGGCTAATTGGTTGTCTGATGTTGTTTTCACTCAAGCAATAATTATTTATTTTAGTGCCAATATCTATTTGTGTGTGTGTGTGTGTGTGTGTGTGTGTTATACTTTGTGTTCTGAATATGTAAATAAGATTTTCTGTGGTGATGGGCTTCTTTTGCATTTTTATGTGTTTGCAGTGACTTCATATTCTTGGTCCCTCCTCCATCTATCTTACCCATTCCCCCCAACTTCTCTTTCATTTTGTACACCTTTTTCACCCCAATTTCGTGATATCCAATTGGTATTTACAGTCTTGTCCCATTGCTGCAACTCCCATACGGAGCCATGCGTCCTCAACCCGGAAGCCAGCCGCACATGTGTCGGAGGAAACACCGTACAGCTGGCGACTGAAGTCAGCGTGCAGGCGCCCGGCCGCCACAAGGACTCATTAAAGCGCGATGGGACAAGGACATCCCAGCCGGCCAAACCCTCCCCTAACCCGGACGACGCTGGGCCAATTGTGCGCCGCCACCCGGATCTGTAGTGACTCCTCTAGCACTGCGTTGCAGTGCCTTAGGCCCGTGCGCCACTCGGGAGGCCCACAACTTCTCTTTTCTCTTCTTTGTTTTTATCCATCCCCTTCAAACCCTTCCTTTGCCAATTTCCCCCCTCTCTTCCACCCCCTCACCCCCACTCTTCCACCCCTCACCCCCTCACCCCCTCTTTTCCACCCCCTCAGTTTGATTCCCAGGACCACCCATACATACAAATGTATGCACGCATGATTATAAGTTGCTTTGGATATATTATTATTATTATATTAAACAAACATCAAACAAAAACACTTATAATTCTTGAATCGGTATGTGAATGTGACCTTAATCGTATTAATGAATAACAATGAAGGTAATAGAACATGTTTATGCAAATTCACCCTCTCTTAACAATTTCTACATTTAATAACCGCAAACAGAGAAGCTGTATGGAAACAACTCCTCCCCCTTTCTCTAGTCCACTCATCTGATCTCCTCCACTCATCTATTGTCCTCCACTCATCCATTTTCTGGTATTTTTACCCTCCTCTTTAACTGACACCTTATGAGATCTCTCCTTAAATGTCCATCACTCCTTTCTCTCCTTTCCTTCTCTCCTCCCCCATCTCATGTTCCAATCTTTCTCATTTTGCTCTGTTGTCTCTGTCTGACCCTAACCATAACCTTTCTCAACCAAACACTTTTTCTCGCCTCCTCTTCTCCCCCATTCTCTTTTCTAATCCCTCTCCTCTCCTCTCCTCTCGTCCAGGATAGTCACAGAGGTAGTGTTGTGTCGAGAAAACGTTGCTAATTATACTGTGAGACCAAGGAAATCCGCTGACGCTGTACTTTGATTATAAAGGTTTATTATATCAGAGTGTTCCAGCATCAATTTATGGATGTCTGCAGGCACCCGGAGAACAGCCGACCCAAATTCAAATATGCTATTCTCACCGTCCTTTGTCCCAAACCATAGCATATATCCTATGTAATCTGATATGGGTGTTTTCCCCTACATACCACTCCCAGGAGGTCACCTAACAGACTTCCTCTGCTTTAGGGTGCCCCTCTAAAACTGCTCTCCAGATGTCTCCCTGGGCCAAATCAACATTCTCTAAGCTACCATTTGCAAACATTAACATAGTCATAATTCCTCAGATACTACAGTAGTAAACTAGTTTTAGTGTACAGTCAGGGCTAGTTCTGTGTATAAGCAGATATCTATCTCGTTCTCCTGGCGAGCCTGAGTGTGTATAAACTACGGGAGTTTATGGAGCATTGGATACATTATACAGCACCACCGGCACTGCTGCTTCTACTATCCTGAGCTCTTTTCCTCAATATTCACTCAACTGCTATTCCTCTTGATTTATGATATATGACTATTGACTCAGCTGTGTTGAGAAATAATTTCCCTTTGGGGATTAATAATGAAGCCTCAATAGTACAGGCATGGAAACTCTCCATGTTACAAGATTACTACTCCATCCCTTCTTCTATGCTCTCTACCGCTCGTCCGTCCGTCCGTCCATCCGTCCGTCCGTCCGTCCGTCCGTCCGTCCCTCTCCCTCTCTCTCTCTCTCTCTCTCTCTCTCTCTCTCTCTCTCTCTCTCTCTCTCTCTCTCTCTCTCTCTCTCTCTCTCTCTCTCTCTCTCTCTCTCTCTCTCTCTCTCAATTCAATTCAAGGGGCATTATTGACATGGGAAACATGTTTACATTGCCTAAGCAAGTGAAATAGATAATAAACAAAAGTGAAATAAAAAATGAACAGTGAACATTACACAAAAGTTCCAAAAGAATAAAGACATTTCAAATGTCATATTATGTCTATATACAGTGTTGTAACGATGTGCAAATAGTTAAACTACAAAAGGGGAAATAAATAAATATGGGTTTTATTTACAATGGTGTTTGTTCTTCACTGGTTGCCCTTTTCTTGTGGCAACAGGTCACACATATTGCTGCTGTGATTGCACACTGTAGTATTTCACCCAATAGATATGGGAGTTTATAAAAATGTGATATGTTTTCGATTTTTTGTGGGCCTGTGTAATCTGAGGGAAATATGTGTCTCTAATATGGTCATACATTTGGCAGGAGGTTAGGAAGTGCAGCTCAATTTCCACCTCGTTTTGTGGGCAGTGTTGCACATAGCCTGTCTTCTTTTGAGAGCCAGGTCTGCCTACGGCGGCCTTTCTCAATAGCAAGGCCATGCTCACTGATTCTGTACATAGTCAAGGCTTTCCTTCATTTTGGGTAAGTCACAGTGGTCAGGTATTCTGCCTCGGTGTACTCTCTGTTTAGGGCCAAATATAATTCTAGTTTGCTCTGTTTTTTTGTTAATTCTTTCCCATATGTCAAGTAATTATCTTTATGTTTTCTCATGATTTGGTTGGGTCTAATTGTGTTTCTGTCCTGGGGCTAGGTGGGGTCTGCTTGTGAACAGATCCCCATGACCAGCTTGCTAAGGGGACTCTTCTCCAGGTTCATCTCTCTGTAGGTGATGGCTCTGGTATGGAAGGTTTGGGAATCGCTTCCTTTTAGGTGGTTGTAGAATTGAATGGCTCTTTTCTGGATTTGGATAATTAGCGGGTATTGGCCTAATTCTGCTCTACATGTATTATTTGGTCGTTCACAGCTTTGTGGAAGTTACCTGTGGCGCTGATGTTTAGGCCGAGGTATGTATAGTTTTTTGTGTGCTCTAGGGCAACGGTGTCTAGATGGAATTTGTATTTGTGGTCCTGGCAACTGGACCTTTTTTGGAACACCATTATTTTTGTCTTACTGTCAGGGCCCAGGTCTGCTGTAGGCCTTCCTTGGTTGGGGACAGAAGCACCAGATCATCAGCAAACAGTAGACATTTGACTTCAAGTTCTAGTAGTGTGATGCCGGGTGCTGCATACTATTTTAGTGCCCTCGCCAATTCGTTTAGCAGACGCTCTTATCCAGAGTTAAGATGTATTAGTGAGTGCATACATTTTTCATACTGGCCCCCCGTGGGAAACGAACCCACAACCCTGGCGTTGCAAGCGCCATGCTCTACCAACTGAGCTACAGGGGACTTATATATGTTGAAGAGGGTGGGGCTTAAGCTGCATCCCTGTCTCACCCCACGGCTCGCTCACTCACTCACTCAGTCACACACACACGCACACACACCCTTATAGCTGAAGTGTGTTTGTTTGGGAAGGAGAGCTACCAGGTCTGAACTGGAGACATTAAGGAGGAGGAGGCAGAGCCTACACTGTAAGGGCCCTGATCTCTGACCTGTGAAAACAGGCTTAATTACACACCATTATGATTGGCTGACAGAGATGTTTTATTTTTTTAATGTTTTTTTATTTAACCTTTATTCATACAGGTTTTTCTTATTGAGATACAATCTCTTTTTCAAGAGAGACCTGGTCCAACAGCAGCAGGGGGAACAAAGTTTCAGACAAAACAACGTACATACACTAACACAACATTGAACAAAACTATAGAAACACATACAGTAAAACAATTACATATTATGTAAAGAACCACAAATGTCATAACTAAAAAAACAGCTGTCCTAAAGAAAATTACACTCTTCTATGATATTTACATCGACCAAGTGTTTAAACTCCACCAACGTGACTAGATCATCAAATTTTTAAATGTTCAGGAGAGAATTCCAGGACCACAGAGCTGAGTAAATAAAACTATTTCTACCATGACATGTTCTAGTTCTTGGTACTGTTAAAAGCAAATGAGAATGGGACCATAATATATATTTATTTACTGATCTGATTAAAAAAGAACAGAGATAAAGTGGCATTTGACCCAATATGGCCTTATAAATCAGTGTATACCAGTGTTTTAAGCCTACGCAACGTCAATGACGACCAGCCAACGGCGCTGTAGAGTTCACAATGATGTGTTAGACGTTTTTGATTGGTAATGAACCTGAGGGCCGCATGATATACTGAATCAAGTGCTCTCAGGGTAGTGGTTGAGGCCTGCATTTATATAACATCACTAAAATCTAAAGCCGCCAGTAATGTACATCGTACCAGCTCCTTCCTGGCCTCCAGAGAAAAACAAGCCTTATGCCGTTAATAAAAACCTATTGTCAGCTTGAGCTTCATCCGGAGACATTTGAAACCCCACCTCTTTAAGGAATACCTGGGATAGGATGAAGTAATCCGTCTAGCCCCCCCCCCAAAAAAAAAAAAAAAAAAAAAAAAAAATTTTTTTAACCCACTGGCTATAGGGTGAATGCACCAATTTGTAAGTCGCTCTGGATAAGAGCGTCTGCTAAATGATTTAAATGTAAATGTAATTATGAAGTTTTCCACATGAACAGTGAAGCTCAGCTTGTCATACACCCACACTCCCAAATATTTGTACAC